TTCTTTATCATATGTTGGCCATCTGCGCTGTTGCATTGTCAGCACCTTACTGTCGTAGGCGATGACTCTCTCCGTGTCACCCACCCTCTCCGCGAGCACTGAACCGACTGCAGAGTCGGATGCATCCGTGTACAAGACGAATGTACCACGGAACGTAGGGAGGGCTAACACTGGAGGTGCAGTCAGCGCCTGCTTCAGACTCTCAAAAGCTGCTTCAGCTTCCGGCGTCCACGTCAGGTGGTCACCCACCACCTTGGCTTCCCTCAGCGGCTTCGTGAGATCCATGTATTGTGGGACAAAACGGCTGTAATATCCGCACAATCCGAGGAAGCTCTTCATGCCATCCTCCGTCTTCAGTGGAGCCCAGTCGAGTATCTTCTGGATGTTATGTGGGTCTGGTAGGAGTCCCTCCTTTGCGACCCGGTGACCGAGGAACGTAACTTCGCGCTTTGCGAGGCGGCACTTTTCTGGTTTGAGCTTCAGCTTCGCCGACCTCACTCGCTTGAAGACATCACGGAGCGTTGCGATGTGCTCGTCCTCGGATCTGCTTGCTATGATGATGTCATCAAGGTAGACTAAACAGCGTTTCGAGTCCAGACCTGCAAGCACCAGTTCCATGAGTCGCTGGAATGTGGCTCCAGCATTTTTGAGACCCATGGCCATCACCCTGAACTGATGGAGTCCTTTGCCCGTGGAGAACGCCGTCTTTTCTCGGTCCTCTGTGGCCAGCGGGACCTGCCAGTAACCGGTCGCCATGTCGAGCGTCGTGTACCACGTTGCCCCCGCTAGGGTATCCAACGCCTCGTCGACCCTCGGCAGAGGATGCGCACATCCGCGAGTTCGGCTGTTGATCGCGCGGAGATCGACGCAGAAGCGGAAACTACCATCTTTCTTTCTGGCCAGGACGACTGGGGAGCACCACGGACTTGTACTCTCTTCAATTATTCCATCTTTCATCATCTACGTCTTCTGCATCTCGACTTGCTCGCGGAGTTTAACTGGTACCCGCCGTGGTCTCTGCTTCACGGGAGCCTCCTCCCCTGTGTCGATGTGGTATTCGAGCGAATCTGTCTTGCCAATATCACCCGCATACTGACTGAAGATGTCTGCATATTCGCTGAGAATGGTTCTGAACTTCTCCTTTCCTTCCGCTGAGAAGTCAGATCCGTCCACATCAAGTACTTCTGTCACCGTCGTATTCTGACGCCTTTCTGTTCTGCAGCTCACATCATCAACGTCGTCATCATCACTGTCCCCAACGCCTCCGTCTGCAACCAGGCACAGCTTGTACTCGCAGTCCTTCTCGTTTGTGGCATCATAAAATGTCCCTAGGTCGCTGCCTCTGAGAACACGGACTTCTTCAGACCCAACATTTGTCAAAATGATCGAGACGCACCCGTCGTCGTCTGCAACGACCAGAGCCCTTGGAGTCAGGAGTCCCTCCCGCTCCGCTACGGTTGATGGCTCGAATATCCCGGCTGCACCCATTTCATCACTCTGCACGCCGTCCACTCTCTCCAGCTTACCAGCTACCACGCACTCTGACCGTGCTGGAATGACGACGTTCGACAGTAATCGCACTCCCGCACGTCTTGGTCGAACCTGCTCCCGGCTCGGCAGGGGAACGCTCATGGTTCCAATCTTGAATGAACCATCGTCGTCGTCAATGACCGTGCGATGCATGCACGTGAAGTCGCGACCTAGTATCACGTCGTACACGAGGTCGTCTGCCACGGTCACTACCGGGCATCGGAAGCTGACCCCATCAATGCATAATGAGAGGTTTTCCAACTCACCAACTATCTGGAGGGAGGTACCTCCCGCTCCGATAGCATTGCGCGCGCTCGGGCTGAGCCGGATTGTTCTTAGTGCTGGATTCCCCTCATAAAATCCTTTTCGCATCATGGTGAAGTCGGCACCAGTGTCCACCAGCGCCCATGTCGGAGCGCCGTGAATGACGACCCGAACGGCCGACGCCGTGAGTGGGGACGCTTTAGAGAGGACTGGGACCTGTCCCACGGCTCCAGTCCGGTTCAGTTTTCCTGATGCGCACCGGCGCCCCGCCGGGGATCAGCAGCTCTTGTCTCGGAGTGGCCTCCGCCAGTGCTGCCACCCTGGAAGTATTGGCACCCCGCCATCCAGTGGCCCTGCTGCCCACAACATAAGCAGAGCGGCAGCGCGCGCCCGTCCCTTGTCGACGGCAATGAAATGGGGCAGTGTCGCTTGAGGTGACCCAATTCTCCACAGCCGAAGCATCTGACGCTAGGTGAACCACGGCTACGCTCGGGGCAGTCTCGCTGAAAATGACCCGGCTGCTCGCAGCGGTAGCACCGGGGAAGTCGGCGAGACTTACTCGCATCAGTTGTCGTCTTCGGCGCCATTGTCATGGCCGATATCGACTCGTGTAGTCCGTGAATGTGATCTTCGATGGCTGTGAGCCGGTTGTTGTCCGTCACAGTCTTTTCTGCTTGACCCACGGTTGCTTCACCCCCGACCGGGCGGACCGCCCCGATGACGTCGATCTCATGATTTTGCACTGCCTTGATCGTCTTCCTCGTCTCCTCGAATTCTTTACTAACGCGTACCGCGTCAGTCAGTGTGGATACGTTTTGGCTGATTAACCTCTCTTGCAATTGCGTGTCACGGAGGCCACAGATGAATCGGCCGCACTGGAATCCCTCCATAGCGCTGTGATCGCTGGGCAGAGCCGGCTGGGCTAGCCCACTCAGCTCTCTGATCCTGGCTGAGAAGTCTTCAACAGACTCCGAAGGTGACTGGCAAACTCGGTTGAGTTCGGCATGAGCCTGCAACGTGCTTATTTGCCGACCGAACCGACTTTTCAGCGCTTCAACCACCCTGCCGTAGTCCTTCCGTGACTCTTCGGTGAGTGACGCGAATGTGTCCAGTGCGACTCCGTCCAAAAGACCCACCATAGCCGCCAGCCGGTCCCCGGCTTTCATGCTCGCCGTCTGAGCTTCGAATCGGCGGAACCATTTCTGCCACACTTCCCCCGCCTCTCCACTAAATTTCGAGGCTCTTGAAAGGAAAATGGTAGATAAATCCATAGTTTGTTATACTGAACTCTACTGGAGAGAACCTCTCATCACCCAAAGTCTCTACTCACCGGCTCCGTCCACTTTTCCACCGTGAGCTTGCGCAGGCCGTCACAGAACTCTCACAGCAATCTTCTTTCTTAAAAACTCATATGCAGCCCATTTACGTTATTGGTCCTACCGACCGCGCCAAAATATGTTAGGGCCAAGTAAAGCTGCATATACCACGACACTGTGTATTGTGCTTTCAGCGACCGAAGACCAAGCACGGACACGGCGACCCGCCGACTGACCCAGTACGGTCACGGTCGCGCCCTTATATAACCACGGCACAGAGCGCATGCGCGGTGACCGCGCGGCGGTCAGGTGGCTCGCCGGCCGGACGGCCGGGCCGCCGACCCATCCTGTTCCACGGCCCCACACGGCCGGTCCGCGGTCACAATATCCCAACAGTTCCTACTACATTTTGGAAAATGTTTATCTAGTAAACTGCCATTTGCCAGAAAGTGCATCGCCGATGTGGTGATGCGACATCTCACGAATCATGGCACCCATCTCTCGCGCCTAATGACTGGAATGCCGAAGCCAGACTGTGCTGCTGACTGGACACTGGACAGCGGCTGCTTCGAAAAATCGGCCGGAGGAGGTATCACCACACCTGCACTCGTTGGAACTGGTTCAAACTGTATGACGCGAGTGACAGCTTCTACGGGCGGTGGTAGGCAATGTCTCAGGGGAGGAAAATAGAACCGTGTGTGGAAGAGCAGCTTCTTCTGTTGACACTGAACATTCGTCGAATGGAAGGTTTTTCGTGAGCCAAAACGGCGAAGCACACTTTGAGGTAATAATACAGATAACTTGTGAACTGCCTGCGAAAAGGGGCACGTTGTTCACTGTGGTGGAGTGGCGCACACGCGCGACAAATCGACTCCTCTCTTGCCCGACTAACCGGGCAGTCGGGTCTTTTGCTGTCCTCATGCCCCGCGCGACAGTCGAGACTATCTGCCAAGGATCGTGGATGGGGATGCAGTATAGAACAGAGGGATTTAACCGCACACAGTTAGCCGAAGGTCCTATTACCGTGCAATGTGCATGAGTGATTTGGAATTGTGTTTGATCACACGCAATAAATTTTTATCTATTAATTATGTTAATTTGTGTGCCACCAATCAGCTTTGTTCTTATTATCGTAATTTGTTTCCGTCTTATCATAGCTTTTGGTATTTCAACCTTTTATCGAACCCCCTTAAAACGAATAACTAATTGAATAACCTGCATCACAAGAAGACAGCATTTGTACCGTAATCCTACCATCAAAATCAGCCGTAAGAAATAATTAAGGTGGCAAAAATTATTTAGCAAAATAAAAGAGAAAAGATGCAGGCTTCGGTTCAACAGTGACACGGATTGAGAAACTGTTAGTCACGGTGCAGCATTGAAGTTTCTCGTCAAACACAGAACGTAGCAGGCGACGTGTTTACAGCAATGGCAAAAGATTTCGTGATTTCGTAGATAGTTGACTCTCCGGTCTGTGAACCTCAACCTTGCTTCAAATTACAGTTTATTTGTGAAATTCGTGACAACTGTGATCAAATCCCAAAACACAAGCAAGTAAACAGCTGAGGTATCACTCGAAATGTCGCATGTGGTGTCCGCCTACCTTTATCACGCTGGTTGAAATTACGCAATAAACGATGCTGATGCTTTTTGCAAGTTCCACAGGGAATCGGTAAAACAATGCAGAACGACAGCATTCACGCAGACTCAGAAGAGTGACGGCATCTGTGAGAGGTATACAGTTATTCAGCTGATCGTGCTTTGCTGTCAGCAGTAGGGTCTGTTTAAGTTCCTTGCTTCCCTGATTCCTCTCCCTCCGTGTGACATGGTTGCTAACTACTCGTATTTAGTCAATCATACCAAAACTTTCCGAGTTTCGCTTCCAAAACGTTTTTGTATGTGTTCTATGCATTGCATATATTTATTTTCACTTGTGACACATAAACAAATCCAGAAACCACGCGTCATGACACAAAATGACATTCAGCGGATCTCAACAAAGGTGCAGGACATGCACGACAATAACAATATGTTACAAAAACGAGGATGATATGGGATGTATGCAAGGTGAGCATCACGTCAAAAATATCACGCAACAGGAAGCCACTATCATTTCACTTAAACAACCAGCTCATAAAATTCATCAAAGCAGGATTTACAAAATCGACAACGGCTCCCATACATCACAAATATAAAACACGGAAGGGTGAAACACCCTTCCCACAAACACTGTCTTTTGGATAGCAATATCAGCTAAAGGCCAAGGTATGTCTCGAAAGTTGCTAGCTTTCGCTAAAAGTGCTGTACCCGACTGGGGTGCCCACGGCCGTCACCAGCGTGTACTCCTCGTCCTTGTCCTCGAACAGCTCCTCGATCTGCTGCAGGCTCAGGCCGCGCGTCTCCGGCACGGCGGCCGCCACCAGCAGCAGGATGGCGCCCGTGACGCCCGCGTGCGCCGCGAACACACCGCCTATGCCCAGCGCCGCCAGCAACGGCGGGAACACCTGCACGCCGATCAGCGAGGTTATGTTGTAGAAGAGCACCAGCGCCGCGCCGCCGGCGTCGCTCAGACGCGCCGGCACGATCTCGCCGATGACGCACCACGGCACCGGGCCGACGCCCATGCAGAAGAACGAGATGGCCAGGATGAGCGCCAGCAGCGGCATGTGCGTGAACTGAGCCAGCGATGGGATGTAGAAGTAGGCGGCCAGCGCTAGGTAGCTGGCCGTCATGCCGGCAGCCGAGAAGAGCAGCAGCACGCGCCGGCCCAGTCGGTCGATGAGGACGGAGACCAGGCCGACGGCCACGATGCGGATGACGCAGAGAAGCACGCTGACCACGGTGGCGTCCAGCGTCGACCCGAGTGTGCGCAGAAACACGAGCGAGTAGCTGAGCACGGCCATGTAGCCGCAGAAGGCGACGCCGAGCAGCAGCGCCGCCGACAGCAGCAGCGGACGGTAGTAGCGCGGCTGCTTCACCAGCGTCCACGTCGACTTGTGGGACACGCCCTCTTCTGTGGTGGTCGGCGCCAGGTCTGGAAGTGGTACTCCGAAGAACTTAGCAGCCTTCTTGGCCTCGCTGAGCCGACCAGTGCGCAGCAGGTATACAGGATCTGACGGAGCTATCAGGAGTGCCACGGCCGTGGGTAGGGCGAACAGCGCTGCACTGATGATCGCCGCCCACCACCAGGGGAAGTAGACTCCGAGAACCAGGCTCAGGATGACGTACACCATGTAGACGATGTCGGGCAGCAGTGCCAGGAAGCCCCGGTACTGAGGCGAGGCCACGGCGCTGATGTAGAACACGTGCAGCACGAAGGCCGGTCCGGAGAAGAGGCCGACTATCAGGCGTCCGATGAGCAGTGTGTTGTAGCACTTGGCGAAGGCCGTGACGATGAAGCCGGCCACGGCGGGCACGCAGCACCAGAGCATGGTGTTGCGCGCTCCGAACCGCTTCGACAGCTTCCCGGCCACCGCCGAGCCGGCCACCGTACCGATGTAGTTCGACGTCACTGTGAAAACGAGACGGCGAGCGATATGTCAAATTCGGCAAAAGGTAAGCCACTTTTTTAAGTTTTGACGTAGCATCGAAACATTTGAATAGAAAAATCGTGGGAACTGCACTTATTGCAGAAAATTATAGAGTAATAATATTGCTGATAGGTTGACCGAACATAAGCGGCTCTGTTTGTATATAGTGTTAAGCAAAGTCGGCAGAATATTTCTCACGATGCACATAATATATTTATTAAATATTGAAATTGAATTCATTGAATTAATCTCTATATCACAAATGTAGTTCATCAATTTCAACCACGGTAACTCACCAATCCACACTTGCTGCTCCTCGGTGAGGACGAATCCTCCGATTCCCCGAGACAGCTGGTCCACGCAGAGACTGCCGATTCCGATGCCGACGGCCCACCCACCGACGGCCATCGAGGCTCCCAGAGTGGCCAAGAACTGTGGAAAACACAATCTGCTTAGACAAAAGGACACTAAATAAAGCGTAACCAATTGTTAAACGGGTGACGTTGAAGTATTCAGGGCTTTACATGAACAAAGATATATAATGTAGGTATAGTTGAGGGAAAACAGGAGCTGAAATGCAAAACAAACTACCACCGGAGTGAATAATAATAACAGTACAAGCAGGCAAAAGATGTGTACAATCTCAATGCGTATAAATGTCTCACCTGTGCCCAAAGTCGGGGTCTGATGGGAGCTCTGCTGCTTCCCTGCACCTCCTCCTCACGGACACGACCCATGACTCGCTACCGTCGTTTGCAGACTAGTGATCCTCTAAAAACAAAGGCCTCGGAGACGGTCCGGAGTGGGGTGCGACTCGTTCTCCCGCCGACTGATGACTGACGAATGGCCGCCATCTTCAGGCTCGCGACCGCTTATAAACGCCGGGGACCGTCGCCCTCCTCCGTCACTACCGGGGTGCTGAGATGGTCGGCCGATGTTTAGACTAAGATGCGGCAGAGGAGCGTGCCAATCTAGATTAAACTGGATGATACCCTAGCTCCCAGGACCTTAGGAATGAAACATTAAAAGACCATGTGTCGTTTTTGGTTATTTGACTTGCTTGATATATGATCACTACATTTTGCACGCTTGCAAGTAAAACTCGTCTGTTATTTTGGGGCCGTGCACGGTTTACATTGTGCATCCTCTTTTGTTAGACATTCATTGACCAAGTAAAATGATGGTAACTTAGTCTTGAGGCCAATTTTTAGGTCTGTGACTTTGCAATGCAAAGCCATGTTCATAGTCGTATTGCATGTGAGCAACGTCCTTTCTCATTGGGTTAACGCCCTGGCGATTTCGGTCACACATTTCATATGCTATGCTATACAGTACCTACTTTACAGTGTACATGAAGTACACTGTACACTACCTAAGGTAAATAATTATGGCAAGGTCCAGCTACGAATCACAAGGGTGGATTGGACCATTCATCTTACTGAGGCACATGCTTGCTCGCAGTATAAAAAGCAATCAAAGTTTCCAAGTTGACTGATGTTCGTTCTTTGATCAGTTTAGAGCGTCCGAACTTCATCGCCAGTCGGCAAGAGTATCGCGATTTATGTTTTTGGGATATGATACAATAATTGCGGTCTCTAGCTAAGCAGTTTCCTTATTCTCCTAAACCACACCATGGAATAAAATGGTGAGGTCTAGTTGCCAATCCGAACTCAATCATTGAAGATTTCAATCGGAGAGGTAAATTTTTATTTGATTCAGGAGCTTGCTACCACTTTTAAAATAATTCATAAACAATATAGTTATAAAATTGCAATAGCCGTCTTCACGAGTCAAAATATCTTCATACTATTAATTTTTCAGTATTTTGATCGAACATAAGATCTGATGATTTGAAAAATAAGGTTTATAAGCATTTGTGCAGCCCAAAATGACAGCTTTGCTGAAACATACTGAGCCTGATTTGACCAAAAACGCACCTAATCTGACCAAATATGCACCCAATCTGCACAAAATGTGTACCAGATGGCCGTTGTGAAAATGGCTATTAACAAATTCAATGTTTCTATCTTACATTACTAACCAATCTATTTATCTATTTCAATTATAAATTAATATCACCTTCTGAAAAGTTTCCATATAACCCTGCATAGATTCCCACTCCAGCCATTAAAGTGAAAACGTTGCTGAGCTGTGACATTTTTTTACCGTTCAGACTCAAGAGGCTCAAGTCACGACTTGGTTCGGTGACTTGCAGTAAGACCCAAGAAGTGCGAGGTGCCAAAAATCCGCATTTGATTAAAACCCTATTATCTCAAAATATCAGCTTTCTACCTTCAATGCATTTTCATCAATCACAAGGAATCCTTTTGGCGGAGGGCGTTTTGCAATTCATGGCATTCCAGCTCCTCCAACACAGACTGCATGTATTATCATGACAGTGACCTTTGAGCTGATAATATCTGCGACTATTGACATCTCTCCCCATCTGCCACATGAGCCTCTGCCCGTCCACTGGCGGCGCCGACCTGTCGGGCCCGCCGCCCGCCGTATGACGGGATCCAGCTGTAACTGGATCCCCGGCACACCCCGCCGGCACGCGCCACCCCCGGGAGACACGCGTCTCCCGGCCGTCCAGCCGCCAAAAGAACTAAAGTCGCCGCAGGTTGTTTGCAGCGGCGGCGCCAATACAGAGATAGAAAGATAAATTATACGCCGACATGACCTTGCACAAGGCTGGATATCTATTGCGCTATCGCAGCGACACCAAAGGCTGAAGGAAGCCTCTTGTTTATACACATCTGGCTAATGTCTTGATATGAAAGCGATAAGCACGATAGTGTGAGCGCACTTGCTGAAGAATATGTGTGAAAGAGACCGATCATATATCAGATTGGCACATATGACTTACAATCAAACACATTGCAATGGTGAACAAGTAGGTACCTGGGTTTGTTGATTTTAGAAGAACTAATCCGAATTTATCTACCGTCTTTTTTCTATCTTCACGACGTACCAATCTCATCGTCATCAGTCATCGCATTCAGTTAATACAGACCTTTCCCATTCTCCCCTTTCCTGAGCTGGTGGTCCAATGTCAATGTTACCTTTTTCTGACTTATATGTTATGTAAGTAGGTATAAACCGTGAGATATGATGCAATTCGCGCAAATCGCGCGAATATGATGCAAATCTATTAACTTTTCCTGGGCTCTTATTTGTGATTATCCATTCTTTGAGGCGAGCAAATAATCAGGTTCGTTCTCAATCAAATTTTGGATATGGATTGTAATGATAATTTCGCAGTTAAATTTAAAGACCTGTCGTAGCCCCCGCTCGACATTTTGTCATTTCTAATATCTTTTCTGTTCGTCATGCGAGCGTCATGCAAGTACGGCATTCATGGGGGACATGGTTGCTGCAGAACAACTAAACCGTTTAGTAATGCGTCACTGCGATTCAGATCCTAAAGCATACTGAGGTAATGCATGACATCTGTATATCCGAATGTCATGAATCATCCATGAGGTATATGCAATGTGCATGTCTGCCCTCCTTGCCAAACACCGCGGGGAACTCCTTGACTAGAGCAGTTCATCCAGTTCAAACTAGATTAGCAGTGCACGCTGCTCCGTCACGTTCTAGTCTAAACATCAGCCGACGATACTCAGCACCCGGTAGTGACGGAGGAGGGCGACGATGCCCGGCGTTTATAAGCGGTCGCGTGCCTGAAGATGGACATCCGTCTTCACCATCCTCAGAACAAACCCATCCACATCCCCCTCACGCTCTCTTTCCGGGCTGGCAGTCACCCCAACTGACAACCGGCGCGGTGGGTGAAGTTGGGTCCTCACCAGGACCTGTAAATCATCTCTGGGGTGACCATTAGGGATGCGGTTGGACTGTCCCCACGGGGCGATCAGGTCCCATCGGGATGGTTCGCCTCCACGGATCACTGCCGGTGTCGCGCAGTCCGCACAGTCCAATCTCTAGGCTCTAATAAAATAACCCTTAGTTATCTATGGGATTTATCATCACGGCTGCGGGACGCCGAACTGGTAGCCGGTTACCATTGCCTCTCTACGCAGGACCATAGCCATTATAATATTAGGTGTTCAAATTTTATACAAAATGGGTTTCCTTCTAGCTTCATAAGATCGGACCTTTTTGGTGGGAACAGAAGCGCCAAATAAAAATACACGATGATAAATCATGTTATCACGAATACGATTCACAAATCACCTGCCTTGAAGCCTGTAAGCAGCCTTCGCTCCGCCTCCTAGCATGTGCTGCACCAAGGTGTCTCATATTGTGTCTGTCAGAGCTCAATATGACGCCTAGGTTTGTGACCATAGCACGTAAACACGAAACGGCACTGCCCAATCGAACTGGTCCGTTACTGGTTTCTTGAGGGTTCTTGAACCCAGTGAGGACACTGGTACTCTGTCCCTAATTATTTATCTTCGGCATAAGCAATGAATAGTAAGCAGCGTCACACTCTTACGTAAAAAATACATGGAGTTATTGCATCAACACTCGAGGAAAAAGTACCTCATAACTCCAAACCTTCTTAAAAACACGGCGGCATTCCGCACGATAATTATTCATCGAGATTAAACCGGACCCGTCCGGTTGACACTACTGACCACATCCCGGCGCCTCGGCCTCACATGGCACCCACGTGGACCGTCCCTCCCTCCCCTCCCCATCCCCCACCATCCCCCGGCTCTATTGGCTAGCCCGGTCCAGCTCCGTCCGGATTGGTCGCCTCTGCTCCCCGCGGGATTTGTCCAGCCATTCGGGCAGGCCCAGTCCCACGTCTGGCTTCTGGCGGTGCTCGCGGCCGCCGGCGGGTCTCCGGCGTCCACAAACGGTCCCCGGGGAGCGCGGACGCGGCCATCAGTGAGTTGTGTGACGCGTGGAGTGCGCCGGTCAGTCGCCTGTTCTGCGGGCCGACCCCGGCCGCCGCGCCGCCGCCTGCGCTGACCTCTCCGACACAGTGCGGCAGGTCAGGAGCCATGGGTCGGACCACCGAGGGAGAGCCACAGGGCAGCAATGACGCCCCGCTCCAGCCTCGGCTATGGGCTCAGGTAAGTTTCGGTTTGCGATGTAGCTATTCTATGCCATTGAAGCAATTTCTAAGCATATCATACCTTACCTTTTGAAATCGATTCGTCTACAAAAGTTGGAATGCATGTGGATTGTGCACACACCGTATCTACTTCTCTAACGTATATTCCGTTTTTAATAAAGTCAAACTTTTAATTTACCTATAACACCCTCCCCCCAAAAAAAGTTAAAACATAGCCAATACTCTAAATTTTTAATCCATCTGAGATAGCAATTTGAAAGAGAAAGCAGAATCACGTAAAAGTGTTTTTTACGCCTTGATTCCTCAAAAACTGAAGATGGTACCTATGGGTGTTGGAAGTTTTACGTTTTTTCAAGCAGAAATTCCGTTATACATGACATCACTAAAACGCCCTTTTCTCAAACTTCCACTACAGATTCCGCTCAAATTTTTAGGTAACATATCAAGTTGATGTATGATAAGGTACTGAAAGTTTGACGTTACTGCTTCACGCGCTTGGAAGTAATTGGCGAAAAACCGAAGGAGGCAATTTCTACCCCCCCCCCCCCCCCCAGTATGACGCCGTTTAATAACAGATGCTGATAAGCTACCAGAGAATTTTGGTATCAGGTGAGGTGGCGGAGTTACATAGAAAAAGGTGTGGGCAATGTACTAATTAAACAAATACCAGTGAACGTAAATAGCTTTATTTTTTTCGTCGAGTGAAATCTAACGTTCCTTATAGTTCTTGGCCACTCTGGGAGCCTCGATGGCCGTCGGTGGATGGGCCGTCGGCATCGGAATCGGCAGTCTCTGCGTGGACCAGCTGTCTCGTGGCATCGGAGGATTCGTCCTAACTGCAGAACAACAAGTGTGGATAGGTGAGTTATAAAAGTGTGCTTTCTGTAGAAAAGAACCCTTGCTACACTAATAAGTGACCTTTCACATCAAAAGATTAGGTATCTATGAAGATTAACGTCTACTATCGATGAAATTGTGGATTGGACAAGAGGTGAAATGCTCTTCAGAAAACTTTGCTAACAGATACAGAAATTGACCGCTCATCATAATTTCCTTTAAAAGGAACAAGGCATTGCAATAACGCACCCTTCAAGAACTGTGTCGTACTTTTTATTTCTACGATACCTTTCATCCTTGTCGATTCTGCCACATGTTGCGGATGCAGGCAAACAAAAGGTTAAAAAAAACTCCATAATTCTTGGATGTTCAAACTAACCGTCCTCGTTTCTTCTTTTCGCAGTAACCTCAAACTTCCTGGGAACAGTAGTCGGATCAGCGGTGGCCGGGAAGCTGTCAAAGCGGTTCGGGGCGCGCAACACCATGCTCTGGTGTTGCGTGCCCGCGGTGGCCGGCTTCATCGTCACGGCCTTCGCCAAGTGCTACAACACACTGCTCATCGGACGCCTGATAGTGGGCCTCTTCTCCGGACCGGCCTTCGTGCTGCACGTGTTCTACATCAGCGCCGTGGCCTCGCCGCAGTACCGGGGCTTCCTGGCGCTGCTGCCCGACATCGTCTACATGGTGTACGTCATCCTGAGTCTGGTTCTTGGAGTCTACTTCCCCTGGTGGTGGGCGGCGATCATCAGTGCGGCGCTGTTTGCCCTGCCCACGGCCGTAGCGCTCCTGATAGCTCCGTCAGATCCCGTGTATCTGCTGCGCACTGGTCGGCTCATCGAAGCGAAAAAGGCAGCCCGTTTCTTTGGAATACGTCTGCCAAATCCTGAGCCGACCACTACAGAAGAGGGTGTTTCCCACAAGTCGACGTGGACGCTGGTGAAGCAGCCGCGCCACTACCGTCCGCTGCTGCTGTCGGCGGCGCTGCTGCTCGGCGTCGCCTTCTGCGGCTACATGGCCGTGCTCAGCTACTCGCTCGTGTTTCTGCGCACACTCGGGTCGACGCTGGACGCCACCGTGGTCAGCGTGCTTCTCTGCGTCATCCGCATCGTGGCCGTCGGCCTGGTCTCCGTCCTCATCGACCGACTGGGCCGGCGCGTGCTGCTGCTCTTCTCGGCGGCCGGCATGACGGCCAGCTACCTCGCGCTGGCCGCCTACTTCTACATCCCATCGCTGGCTCAGTTCACGCACATGCCGCTGCTGGCGCTCATCCTGGCCATCTCGTTCTTCTGCATGGGCGTCGGCCCGGTGCCGTGGTGCGTCATCGGCGAGATCGTGCCGGCGCGTCTGAGCGACGCCGGCGGCGCGGCGCTGGTGCTCTTCTACAACATAACCTCGCTGATCGGTGTGCAGGTGTTCCCGCCGTTGCTGGCGGCGCTGGGCATCGGCGGTGTGTTCGCGGCGCACGCGGGCGTCACGGGCGCCATCCTGCTGCTGGTGGCGGCCGCCGTGCCGGAGACGCGCGGCCTGAGCCTGCAGCAGATCGAGGAGCTGTTCGAGGACAAAGACGAGGAGTACACGCTGGTGACGGCCGTGGGCACCCCTGTCGGGTACAACACTTTTAGCGGTGCCTGACAATCGCCAAGACATGACGGTGATAACCCGACATTTCTGCCGTCTCCAGGACGACGACATTTGGTCTTTCAACCAGCTTTGCTCTTCTGATTGCGTGATCTCGATAATCTTTTTACAGTTTCAAAGTAACTAGGTAGAAGAATGACATTTTAGCTATCTTTCTTAAACTCATCTGTAATATGTGCCATTATCGTTGGCTGTGGAAAGCGGAGCGGATGTTTAATGAGAGGGGTTGTTTTAGCCTCATACCGCTGTGAGGACGGCTGTTCACCATTTTAGGCCATTAGCTATTGCAAGCTGCAGCATGAACATCTGTACGCCAGTTCATTGTCATCGTTTTTTTTTTTAGGTTAGTTACGCCCTAGCGATGGTATGGCGAATTTTCTTATGAATGTATGTGCCTTCTCTTATTTTGACGTGAATTGTGGACACTGAGGTTTGCTACCATTGCGTAATAAATACCAGATCATTAATAAACCTTTTCACTTATGACTTTATTTGAGGGACGATGAATACCTTGTGGAATGGATACTGAATAAAAATTATGAGTGTCCGAAAGCAGCACATTACTAGTCAAGCGTTAATCGGCCCCATCCGTGGCATGGAGGACATTAGAAGACGAATCGGCGACGACCGTGGCGCTGGCCCCGGGTGACTGATCACGCACAACGGCTCGGGTGTCGATGTCAGGGGGGCCGTCACCCACCCACGGTGAGGGTCACAGCGGGGCAGGTCGGTCTCACCCCTCCCCCCCCCCTCCTCCGATCCCCGGAAGCTGTTATTTGGTTGAGCCTGTTAGAGCTTCCGCGGGGCGGCCGTAGCTTATTATGATGTGCCCCGAGTGGAGGAATCATAAGCGATGCTCAGGGTCACAAGGGTTACTTTGGCTATATGGAATCGGGTTGAAGACACGAGCATTATATGCTTTTCTAGACTGCGACACCACGGAGTTGGAGGTCAGATGCAGACGCATGTGCAACCATTGCAACAATGTTCACAAAACCACCACGCCCCTTCCGTGGCAAACTGCAATGACATAGACCACACTCTGTCCTGCCTGTGGCGTGGAGCACTCGCCCAGAAACCAGCTAAAACAATTGAACGACCCAAATGGCCACCGAAACGCTTCGTCGACGCAGCGCCGCGACCTTGTCACGGGACCTCTGTGCCACCGACGCCGGCGATAATTGTAACGGCAGTCATGTGTAGCAGACGGTGACGGCGATGCGCTTATGAGGGCAGAGGTGCAGGACATCCTTATATGACCTCCTACATGACGCAGGTGAGACAGGTGGAGCTAAAATGCCCTTCGGAAGAAGTGTTCAGAACGCCGCTAATGGGTGTAATTTTCTTTCATGTAGGTAGTTGCTGCTTGTTGTCCAGCAGACTAACACCAAGGATTTATTTGTATTTGGTGCCTTGGCTGAATCAAAATGAGTATTTATTATCATGGGTTGTAGATTGGAGACTGAGCAGGGTCGCATGCTTTTTTCAGGTCCATTGTTCGCGTTGCTGATGGGAGAAGCTGCACGTACTCAGGCCCTGGCTATCGTCTGATAACTAGTTATTATAGATATAGTATTTCGTAGAAGAATAACCGTATGCTCACTATCTTTTCACAATCCAAAATTAGCCTAAAATGAATGAATATATTTCGGAAACGTTCCTTCTTCAGTTCAAAAGTTAACTATACAAGGCACAGAAATGTACAAATTATTGAACGTCACAAAAGCGCCGAATTAACTGATCCCACCAATCCGTTGGAATATATTTCGGAAACGTTCCTTCTTCAGTTCAAAAGTTAACTATACAAGGCACAGAAATGTACAGATTATTGAACGTCACAAAAGCGCCGAATTAACTGATCCCACCAACGGATTGGTGGGATCAGTTAATTCGGCGCTTTTGTGATGTTCAATAATTTGTACATTTCTGTGCCTTGTATATGTAGTTAACTTTTGAACTGATGAAGGAACGTTTCCGAAATATATTCATTCATTTTAGGCTAATTCTGGATTGTGAAAAGATAGTGAGCATACGGTTATTCTTCTACGATATTCAATCATGCTGCTCATTCTAGTACTTCGCCACCTTATTAGATATAGTATTGTATTGGGACCGTATTAGAGCCGGCGATAATCACGGAACATTAGTGTCGGGGCAGACTGCGGCGGGGCAGACTGCGGCGACCCCTAGGAAGAACAACTAGGGAGAACAACATTCGACAGATGGCAGCACTAGACGAGATAATCAGGCAATACTTTAATATTAATGGGAAAGAAATCATGCCAATGTTTGCCCTCACCAAGCATGTTACCACGACAATGGAAGAATGTAGTGTAGTACCCCTCCCCGGGCCCGCCGCGGGCTGGTAGCGGCGGACGGAGCCGGTCCGACCTTTGGCCGGCCGGGTCAGGTAACCGGGACGGCCGCGCCGCGGCGCCGCGCCCGGGCCGGCCGGGAGACGGAGTCGGGTGCCCGCCGGCGAGCCGTCGGCAAGGGCGCGGGGCACATTAGTCGAGTTGAATGTTCACTGTTCAGTCTTGAGTGCGAGTGATGTATGTGTGAATCGATATGTGAGCAGCAAAATCCAACAAGAAAACAAATTCGTGAAAGAAAGGCAACGCTGGCAAACATCACCACCATAGTCTTCCTACGCCGAACGAGTTCCACACCAACGTGCATCAGCGAGAGTAAAACTAGGATCCTACTGTGGTCGCGATGGCCCCTCGCCAGCGCACAAAACTGCAGGTATGTTACTGGACATTCCCTGCTACCTAACTAGGTCTGTCGACGGCTTTCACCGCGTGCATGGGGAGATTACCCCCCCCCCCGGCGCCGGGCGCCATTTTGTCTCGCCCGTTCCTCGCCGCGTCCCATAACACGCCGGTGGTGATTGCCACTTGCACCTTACTCACTCACGTGATCGCTAACGGCGATTCAATATAGCATACATGATAAGAGTTTGCCCCCATCGCGCCCCCCCCCCCTAGCCGAGGCCGGGCGCCGTGCGCCACATTACTGACCATAACGAGCCCCACACTGACTGCAATCAGGTGTCTCACCACCTGCAATGTGCCTGGGGAGCAGCTCACCCCGGTGTGATTTGCTCAGTGTATGAAACTGTGACTTTCTGTACATTTATCTTGTGCCCGGCCAACCAGGATGACCTCCTCTTCCGTACCTACAATGGTTCTTTCCACCAATGTCATTGCTTGCCTGGCCCCAGTCATTGACGTTTCTTAGCCTGCCATGCATTTTTAGCCCTATATACTCTTTGTTTGCCTGGCATCAGTATTGATGTCCATGGCCTACGCCCAATGCCCTGTCGCCCTGACGCCATCTTGGCGGGTCCGACCAGCCATAGCGTGATCGTGACGTCAGCTCTACGTGGCACTTCCAACGCTGGTAGCGCCGCGGGCGGCGGCAGCAACAATAGCTACTGATGGTCACGTGGTTGCCAGCGGCGCAGGCGCGGGCGTGTGACACTTGACCGTCCTCCGCACCGGGGGCGGCCGGGTGACTCATCCGGCGTGACGTCAGCTGCCCTTGAAAAGGCCATGACGGGCCTGCGGCCGGCGGTCGGACTGCCGTTGATCGGGGGTGTTGCCTTTCACCGGTCTGCAGCGGACCGACTGGGGGTCAGGTCACTGCTGGCAATGTGCCACACTGTGGATGCACGTATGCCTGCTGCTATGCTGCATTGCCGCCATGAGCCTGTCCACCGACCGTATACCTACACGGAACGCGCACCTACCTGACACCAGTTGGCAGCGCCAGACTGTGACGCAAAGATGCATTTCCGACCCGGCGCCAAGGCTGAGAAATAATATGGGGTCGGCAGACACCCCTTCCGGCGGCGCCTGTTTGCAGTAGTGGCCCTGTCCCATCCCCTCACCTGTCCACTTAGACTCCCCTACAGACATCAAGGGCTGTTTGTGATAGCTGCATCTACACACATGCACGGCTGTCCGCGATAGCCCCACCTACAAACAGGCACGGCTGTCCGCGATAGCCTCACCTACAAAAAGGCACGGCTGTCCGCGATAGCCTCACATGCCGACATGACATGCACGGCTGTCCGCGATAGTCTCACCCGCAGACGTGCGTGGCTGTCCGCGATAGCCTCACCTGCAGACATGGACGGCTGTCCGCGATGGCCCCACATTGTCACACGTCAGGCTGTCCGCGATAGCCTCACCTACAAAAAGGCACGGCTGTCCGCGATAGCCTCACCTGCAGACATGCACGGCTGTCCGCGATAGCCTCACATACCGACATGCACGGCTGTCCGCGATAGTCTCACCTGCAGACGTGCACGGCTGTCCGCGATAGCCTCACCTGCAGACATGCACGGCTGTCCGCGATAGCCTCACATACCGACGATAGTCTCACCTGCAGACGTGCGCGGCTGCCCGCGATAGCCTCACCTGCAGACATGGACGGCTGTCCACAATAGCCTCACATGCCGCCATCCACAGCTGTCCGCGATAGTCTCACCTACAGACGTGCGTGGCTGTCCGCGATAGCCTCACCAGCAGACATGGACGGCTGTCCGCGACGGCCCCACATTGTCACACGTCAGGCTGTCCGCGATAGCCTCACCTACAAAAAGGCACGGCTGTCCGCGATGGCCCCACATTGTAACGTCAGGCTGTCCGCGATAGCCTCACCTACAAGAAGGCGCGGCTGTCCGCGATAGCCTCACCTGCAGGCATGCACGGCTGTCCGCGATGGCCTCACCTGAAGACATGGACGGCTGTCCGCGATGGCCCCACATTGTAACCCGTCAGGCTGCCCGCGATAGCCTCACCTACAAAAAGGCACGGCTGTCCGCGATAGCCTCACCTGCAGACATGCACGGCTGTCCGCGATAGCCTCACCTGCAGACATGGACGGCTGTCCGCGTTGGTCCCACATTGTGACACGTCAGGCTGTCGGCGATAGCCTCACCTAAAAAAGGCACGGTTGTCCGCGATAGCCTCACCTGCAGACATGGCCGGCTGTCCGCGATGGCCGCACATTGTAACACGTCAGGCTGTCCGCGATAGCCCTACCTACATACATGCAAGGCTGTCCGAGACCTCACCTCCAGACATGCACGGCTGTCCGCGATAGCGAGGATAAGAAAGGCACGGCTGTCCGCGATAGCCTCACCTGCACACATGCACAGCTATCCGCGATAGTCTCACCTGCAGACGTGCACGGCTGTCCGCGATAGCCTCACCTACAAAGGCACGGCTGTCCGCGATAGCCTCACATGCCGACATGCACGACTGTCCGCGATAGTCTCACCTGCAGACGTGCTCGGCTGTCCGCGATAGCCTCACCTGCAGACATGGACGGCTGTCCGCGATAACCCCACATTGTAACACGTCAGGCTGTCCGCGATAGCCTCACATGCCGACATGCACGGCTGTCCGCGATAGTCTCACCTGCAGACATGCGTGGCTGTCCGCGATAGCCTCACCTGCAGACAAGGACGGCTGTCCACGATGGCCCCACACTGTAACACGTCAGGCTGTCCGCTATAGCCTCACCTACAAAAAGGCACGGCTGTCCGCGATAGCCTCACCTACAAAAAGGCACGGCTGTCCGCGATAGCCTCACCTGCAGACATGCACGGCTGTCCGCGATAGCCTCACCTGCAGACATGGACGGCTGTCCTCGATGGCCCCACATTGTAACACGTCAGGCTGTCCGCAATAGCCTCACCTAAAAAAAAGGCACGGTTGTCCGCGATAGCCTCACCTGCAGACATGGCCGGCTGTCCGCGATGGCCCCACATTGTGACACGTCAGGCTGTCCGCGATAGCCCTACCTACATACATGCAAGTCTGTCCGAGATAGCCCCACCTATAGACATGCCCGGCTGTCCGCGATAGCCTCACCTCCAGACATGCACGGCTGTCCGCGATAGCGAGGCTACAAAAAGGACGGCTGTCCGCGATAGCCTCACCTGCAGACATGCACGGCTGTCCGCGAGTCTCACCTGCAGACGTGCACGGCTGCCCGCGATAGCATCACATGTAGACATGGACGGCTGTCCGCGATGGCCCCACATTATGACATGTCAGGCTGTCCGCGATAGCCCTACCTACATACATGCAGGGCTGTCCGAGATAGCCCCACCTATAGACATGCCCGACTGTCCGCGATAGTCTCACCTCCAGACATGCCCGGCGTTCCGCGATAGCGAGGCTACAAGGCACGACTGTCCGCGGTAGCCTCACCTGCAGACATGCACATTGCACGGCTGTCCGCGATAGTCACACCTGCAGACGTGCACGGCTGTCCGCGATGGCCTCACCTGCAGACGTGGACGGTTGTCCGCGATGGCCCCACATTGTGACAGGTCAGGCTGTCCGCGCTACCCCCTGCCTACATACATGCAGGGCTGTCTGCGATAGCCCCACCTAAAAAATGCCCGGCTGTCCGCGATAGCCCTACCTACATACATGCAGGGCTGTCCGCGATCGCCCCACCTACGTACATGCAGGGCTGTCCGCGATAGCCCCGGGCCGTCCACGATAGCCCCACATCCATCCATGCAGGGCCGTTCGCGATAGCCCCACCTGTAGACATGCCCGGCTGTCCGCGATAGCCCCCACATTGTGCTACACCAGGCTGTCCGCGATTGCCCACTTAGACATGGAGGCTGTCCGCATAACCCACCTGGTCACCTACGGCTCTCGTGACCATTCACTGCCGTTCACTGTGATCTCACAGTCTGGCTCTCGCCAAAAAAAAAAAACTATCCGTTAGGTGCTCCACAATTAACACCCTCAGTGAGGTGGCCCGTTACACATCCTTTAGCCTGTAAGTACCAGTGCCCGATATGTACTTACGACAACTACAGAATGCCACCATACACTTCGAGTTGTGCTGCCACCAGGTGGCAGTGCACCCTGCACCTGGCCTGTCGCTGGGGCTGGGCGGTAACCTAACATAAATGTTCACTCCACAGCTAGTTCGGCCCGCCAGCCCAGCCGGCTCGCCATTCGCCACCAACTGCGACTTCCCTCTTCCCGTTTATTACCCAGGCGACAGACGGCCGCGCCCCCTCCGCCTCAACCCACTGCCAGTGAACCCGCTCTCGTGTCAAGGCCGGCTACGGCAGCCGACACCGACAGCCGTGGCTCTCCCGCCGACGCAGACATCTCGGTTAGTTCGGGCGGATGCTTCCCGAGACCCGGCCGTCGACTGTCCATCGCAGGCCGCGCCACCGCCGGGCCGGCAGGTCTCCGCCCACTGCAGTACGCACCACTAACGGACCATCCGACTCTGCAGGCGGGCGCTCCGCCGCAGCAGCACCGGCTCGACCTGAGCCGGCTCGGCTGCAGGAGGCTCAGCCACAGCCGGCTCGGCTGCAGGGGGCTCAGTCCCCGTCTGCTCCGTGGCGTGCTGCAGTGTCTCAGGCACAGCACGCACGGTCGTTCCATTGTCTACAACCGCGTCAGCGCCGTCCTCAGTTGCCTCCCAGTGACAGTCCACGTACAATGGCGGCCCGTCATCGACACTGTCACTGTCCCCGTCGCCGTCATCGACACTGTCACTGTCCCCGTCGCTGTCCTGCCGGTCACATCGGTGACGAACGTTTCTGACGTGCCATGGGACCCCATCGACCTCGACTACCTGTCGCGACACCAAGCCCGTCACCGTCCCGCGCCGTGACATATCTGTGCAGCGTGTCCCACGTCGGCGCACCCACACCCTGTCCCCCACTCTGAGACGCGCCCCGTCAGATACAAGTGGGGGTGACCCCACAGCCTCCGTGGCGTCAGATAGCGGCGGCCTAACACGACACCGGTCGTCAGACTCGGGTGAGTGCCGCTCGCTAGCTTCAGCGGCGTCAGACGGCGCGGACCGAATACAATCCCGCACGGTGTACTGATACACCCCGGATGCCGGGGCGGACTCTGCCGTCACTCCATCGCGCGGGGTCACGTTGTAAATGTGAACCGCTTCGGCCACGGTACACTGGCGCCTCGCGGCGATGACTTTGATTGTCCGATGGCACCGCTCCACCACACCATTCCCGCCTGGCTCGTGGACAGCTCGGAATCTGAGAGCCACTCTCCACCGCGCCGCGAGCACAGCCATATGACGGCCACGGAACACCGTGTCATTGTCTGTCAGGATCTCCTCAGGGGCTCCGCGCTCGAGAAATGGCTGCTCTAGGTGGCCAACGCTCTCGTTGGCGTTGGCGCGACGCAGCGAGCGCCACACGCAGAAGCGCGATGGCCCACAGTCAATGACGGTGAGGTAGTTCTGTCCGCGGTGATGGGTGACGTCGATGGATATGCGCTGCCACGGGACAGACACGCCGAGCGAGCCATGTCTCCACCGCACCGGGGCCGGGTCAATCGAGCGGCACGCGTCACAGTTCTCCACCACAGCACGAGCCATAGCCCGGGTGACGTCACGCGACACATCACGGCGGGCAAAGTACAATGTCCGACGGACACCGGGGTGGCCGGCCCGATCGTGTGACTGGCACACGGCTGCACGGAGCTCGTCCGCCGTACCGCTGTCGGCACGCCCAGCGGCGGCACCGGCCAGAGGCGGCGGCTCGGAGACGACCGCCGCACTGACTCCGGGCGATGGAGACTCGCACTCTCGAGTCACACTCACGTTACGAAGCCAGTCTTTGGGGACTCGCGTCAGTGCGTCAGCTCGGTTCTCAGCCGACCGCACGAGCGTCACCGACAGTCGTAGCCGCAGCTCACCGACCAGCTGACAGATGATCCCCACACGTCGCCGAATCATCAGCTCCCCGTGCGCCTTTGTTCTGAGGCGCGCGCGGCCGCTGATGGCGTCATCAAGCCAGCGATGAACAGTGGCCGAGTCGGTGCGGAGATCGATTGTCCGCGCTCCCCAGGCGACAGCCAGGTTGACGCCTCGGTTGGCGGCGTCCAGCTCGGCCATGTTGATGTGCGTGGCCTCATTATGTCTTAGCCAGCACGCGTCCTCGATGACGTCACCGTCCGCTGACTCCAGCACGACTCCGGTGGCCAAGGAGCTGGCGTCCGTCCAAACAGCCATGGCGTCACCCTCAACGCACCACGTGCCGCGGGCTGGGTCGTCACCATTCAAGCGGCCTGCAACATAGTCTAGCTGAGCACGCAGCGCTGCGTCATCGGTGACGTCATCCCACGCCCGAGTACATCCTTTTGGCGGTCCTTTGGCGTCTTTCAGCTACGCAAGAAGGAATCGGCAGACGCAGACACCTGGGCGAGCGAGGAGGGGAAGTCGAGACCGTGTTTCCGCCAAAAGGGAAAACAACCAAGGTAGGTGGTAGGTAACTACACCTGCGCTATCTACATCAGCTGCCCCGCATGACACTAATGGGACCGTATTAGAGCCGGCGATAATCACGGAACATTAGTGTCGGGGCAGACTGCGGCGGGGCAGACTGCGGCGACCCCTAGGAAGAACAACTAGGGAGAACAACATTCGACAGATGGCAGCACTAGACGAGATAATCAGGCAATACTTTAATATTAATGGGAAAGAAATCATGCCAATGTTTGCCCTCACCAAGCATGTTACCACGACAATGGAAGAATGTAGTGTAGTACCCCTCCCCGGGCCCGCCGCGGGCTGGTAGCGGCGGACGGAGCCGGTCCGACCTTTGGCCGGCCGGGTCAGGTAACCGGGACGGCCGCGCCGCGGCGCCGCGCCCGGGCCGGCCGGGAGACGGAGTCGGGTGCCCGCCGGCGAGCCGTCGGCAAGGGCGCGGGGCACATTAGTCGAGTTGAATGTTCACTGTTCAGTCTTGAGTGCGAGTGATGTATGTGTGAATCGATATGTGAGCAGCAAAATCCAACAAGAAAACAAATCCGTGAAAGAAAGGCAACGCTGGCAAACATCACCACCATAGTCTTCCTACGCCGAACGAGTTCCACACCAACGTGCATCAGCGAGAGTAAAACTAGGATCCTAACAGACCCACCCACCGCCCCACCGTCACCCCATTCCTTCCCAAGTCTCCTTCCCCTCCGCTCGGGGCGTCTTTCAGCTACGCAAGAAGGAATCGGCAGACGCAGACACCTGGGCGAGCGAGGAGGGGAAGTCGAGACCGTGTTTCCGCCAAAAGGGAAAACAACCAAGGTAGGTGGTAGGTAACTACACCTGCGCTATCTACATCAGCTGCCCCGCATGACACTAATAGTAGTTAAGGTATTTGTGACATAGCACGCAGTCGGTACCCGGAGCATGCTTTTAGAACCTGTTTGTGAATCCTGTTTGCAATGAGGCACACTCATTTAAGTCGCTAAATGATGCAGGTATGCATTCATATGAATTAACCACCAGCCTATTAGATAAGATAGCATGAGCATTTCTTGAAAATGGCAAAAAGAATGCTACATTAGTTCCTTTTGTAACGAAATACGTTTTTGAACCGTTATAAGTCATTACTTATTCCTGGCAATATTTGAGCCAGAACAATTGCATCAACATTTCTTTCGGAGACAGCAAAGTTTCGCTTGTGTTTTGTTTGATGAAACTGGAATATCATACAATAACAAACAGAGCATTTCCAGCTTAAACCGTTATAACCGCTTCAAATACTTATTAACCACAAAAAAGGAGCGGAAGCGTCGCGATAAATGAATGGCAGGTCTCGTCATTCCACGCTGCTGAGCACACAGACCTTGAAGTCTCGGAGAGATTCTTCGGTCAAAACCTTCCACATCGTCAAGGGTATTTTTTACAGACCGACAACGTGTTTTGTCAAACAAAAACTACAAGGCAGGGATAAGATAAGGTAAATCATACGATTAATTGCAATAGGCAATTGCGATTTACCTTTATACCTTGCTATATTATTTGCACCTTCACTAAAAAAAAACGCGAATATACCTATACACACAATGACTGACTCGGGCTGCATAATGCATTCGCTCAACACTTAACCCGCACCCTTTACCCTGTGGTTTTTCGCAAATATCTCAAAACGGCAGCGCGGAGCGCCGCCGTTTTTGCATACCTTATCATATATCTTTTCTGCATGTGTGTTGTGAAAATTTCAGACCAAGGTCGCTCAAGTCAGGTTACCCATGCACTTAAAGTGAGCTCACCTCACAAAAAGTTTCAATGTTTGTCAAAGCTACACCAAGTGACCAATCACTTTGAAACTTTCAGCGATTGATAAAAGAAACAATAACTTCTTTATGTAAAAAAAACTATCTCAAAATGTTTACATCGGTGACCTAGGGTCAGGTCAATATTGAGACCTCCCCATTACGAGTATAAGTCAACGGGTGAAAATTGAAAGTGTCTCTATTGGACGAACGTCATTCTAAACACTCTCAAACGCTGAATTACAAGTAGCAATGACACATTGAACTGAAAATGGCACCCGTGACCCCTGTTGATGCCCCTGAGGTCATCTCAGGTCACAAATAGTGTATAACAGTTTTTCGCGAATAGCTTTTGATAGAGGCATGCTAGAGCAGTAAAAATGCCTTAGGATGTGTTCGTTCAGCTCGACGATATGGGTCGACTGATATTCAACATGACCTTCCCGGTCAATTCATGACCTTGATCTGTGGTCAAATTTTCAAGTTGGCTTTCCAAGGCCAAATTATAGTTCATTCATGCGTCTTGACGAGAGGAAAACGATGCCGTAAAAGTACACTGTAAAAAATATTGACGAGCTATGTGTCAAAACAAGGGTCTCGAAACAGTCACCAGGTTGTCAATGCTTCCGGTACCTACCACTTGACTAGTTACCGCTTAGTTAGCTTACAGGCTGAGAACTATCCAGATCGTTATGATCCGGTATTGTAATGATACCCTAGGTGTACCTTTGTTTTGAAGTGCTGAATTAACTATCAAGGTTGTTTGACGTTTGTTTTCGCCTCAATCCGAAACGAGGAAGACCCTCATCAAATTATTAGGTTAAAGCCAGCCTCAGGATGATCAAAATACTAGGGGTAGTTTTGTCATAGTAATCTGTGAAGGTTGAGGAACAAGCCGTAGCAATGCACTCGTCACTCAAGGTATATAAAAACACTAGGTAACACCGAAAAATTCCTTCAACATGAAGGCAACGGGTTCAGGTCTTGACAACTAGTGCTAGCATGATTTGCAAGATACTTGCTACGTAACTACTTTACAGATTTTCCTAATACTTTGCTATTACTTATGTTTCGCGATTTAATAAAGACATATTTTTAGTTATCCTCATTAAAATTCGTTCTTGCCAAGAAATTTGTAATTTCACGGTATGACATCATGCCTTCAGGAAGCCTCGGATATCTCAGTATCTAGGCAGTGAACCTACTTAATTCTGATGTTTTTAGAAATGAAATTGATTTTTGCATTCTCTTGATATGAACTTTTTGGAAAACAACAGAAAAACATTAAATTATCGCTTTTCAAAGTGCCATTTTGTGCTTGATAAGAAGTGATGGCCCTTAGACAGAGCGTTCCTATAAAAAATCTAGAGTGAGCTGGCCTCTATAAAAATTAAAATTAGCACCAGTATTTAATTGTCTGTTAGATGTTAATTTTCATTAAGCTTAAGGTTCTACGGAAAAAGGCGAAATTCGCCCCTAAAGGCTTCAATGTCTGAATGAAAAAAGGCACTATGGTAAAGAGGTAGTTGAAAAATGGGAGGGAGCTGGCCTCTACAAGTTGTTGATTGAGATAGATTAGCGTATTGACTTTCGATTGATATACCTCATTAAGCATATGGTTTTACGGAAAATGGCTAAATTTGTCGAAAACTATCTCGTTTTTGTTATAAACCGTATATTAGAAATGGCGACGTGCGCCACTTCCGTCGCCGACGCCATTTGGACGCCATGTTGCCCGAGATTTGAGCGCTTGTACGCCTTGGCTTCTAAATTTCAAGATGAATATTGAAGGCAGAAGACGGCGTTGTGCATATGGGGGGCACGCACTGATTTCAAGTGAGTCGGAAGTGCCAAAATTGAACAAGATTGGTTCCAAGTACGTTTCGAAGTCCGTCATTCAGGCCCTGGGAATGGGTGACCCTGGCAAGCTTGCTGGACGATACCTGTGTCATAAGTGTATTTCCTATGGCAGGTCGCAGATGAAAATTGTTCAGGTGAGATTACTTGACTGATGTGTTGGCTCATAGCTGGGCTCTCCATTGATGTTTGCAGTGTGAATTTACTCTTGTGCTGTGCAGATTCACAGGAATTTGTATCAGTCTGGGAGGTTTGGTCAATCAGTCATTTTTATCATATGCTATTTTTGTCACATGTGCTAAAAATGACAACGATTCTGCTATTTTTGGGAGCGATCCAGTCTGCAAAACGTGGCAGGGTTCGACAAGATCTGGTTGGGGCAGACACATGCTGCGTTCGGATGGGCGGTTTCGTTTTTTCATCGGGGATCAGGTACTCTCTTTGCAGACGTCACCCGAGCTGCCATATCTATGTCTCACTTGCGCAACAATTGTCTTTTCATGGTTAAATATATAACAAAACATATCTAACCTGACCTTACCTTACCTACAACCTACAACCTAACCTACCAACCTACAACCTAACCTACCAACCTACAACCTACCAACCTACCTAACTGGATATGGCAGCTCGGGTGATGTCTGCTAAGAGAATCCCAGGGAATATTCCTCAGACCGTTTGGGCAGGCTTCTACGGAGAGTGCGCAAAAACTGTAGCCACTAGGTATATCTCACTCTGCATTATATCTCACTCTGCATCACGCAAAGCCCTTTGTCCTGGTATTGTATCTAGCCTTGAAATTTATTTTAATTTGATTGTTTTAATACGTCTCGCCCGAATGTGTAGCTTACTACATATCTGGGTTGTGTATATAAGTACTTTGACGGCATTTTTTCTATCCTTAAACAATAAACATTCATGGTTTACTCGTAATGAAGACATTGGTCTTTTTTATATATATTAAGTGTTACCCACTCACACTCACCTCTTTTGTGTTATAATAGACTTTAATTACCTCACTCTGATAAACTATGTTTTGTTTCACTTCTTTGATTTCACTGGGTGACCCGGTAATGGTAAAAAACAATAAATATTAGACCTGTTGTCACAGTGGTTAAGTTATACCCCGCACCTTTAATGCCCACCTAATCGACTTTTTTTTAGGTATTTTACCAACCACTGTTTCTATTTCAGTTGAGAGGCATGGGTGCGGCGAACACCAACCCCACGGCAGTGGAGGCCAAGAACCGCCTCCGCCTGCTCCTCATAGGAGCTGCGCCGACAGTGGCCGCCGCAACCCACGATGACCCGCGCGAGTCCGGGGCCTCAGTACTGCTGGAGGAGAAGGAGCCGACTTACCTGAGCGCCACGACGCTGGACCTGGACCACGAGCCGCCAGTGGAGCCAGAGGTGCCGGACGCGGACGTCACCGCGGTGGAGAACCTGGTGACCGCCCGCCAGCCGTGTCCGGGACCCGCAGCCAGCGCCGGCGCCGCCCCGCCACCTGCAAGCCTTCCCTCTGGAGCAACCGGTGTCGCCAGTCTCTCCAGGCAGGCGCTGGCGTACGTCGCGGGGTACGTGGCCGCTAAGTGCGCCACAGTGGACAGCACGCTCGGCAAGATCACGTCCGATGCCAGCGAGGTACCCCGTGACGAGCGCTACGCCTGGATTGACACCCTCAGCCGCGGCGGCCTCACGGTGCCCAGCGCGCGGTGGCTCGATGAGGTTGAGCAGCTGGAGGTGCTGTTCACCACGATGCACGGAGGAGATGTCGACCGCGGCCCCGGCGTCGTTAGGCGACTTGCCGAGGCTGCTGCGCTGAAGTTCCCGCAGCTGCATCCATACGTACTGAGGAAGTACGCTATGACTAGGACGCAGCTGCGGGTACGTGAGATCCGGCGCCTCATCGGCGACAGAGAACGTCTCCGAAAGGAGCAGCCTACCTGCAGCCGGGAGGCCAAGCGTGCGCGCCTGTACGTGCATCCTGGTGATTAGACTTCAGCGTGGCCCTGCTTTGTGTGCCGCGCCGGCTGTGGCGGAAGCCGGCGGCGGCGTGCCACAAGACTTTAGCGTGGCCTCGCTTTGTGTGCTGCGCCGCTGCGCTGGCTGTGGTTGGAGCCGGCGGCGGCGTGCCGCAAGACTTTAGCGTGGCCTCGCTTTGTGTGCTGCGCCGCTGCGCTGACTGTGGCGGGAGCCGGCGGCGGCGTGCCGCAAGACTTTAGCGTGGCCTCGCTTTGTGTGCTGCGCCGCTGCGCTGGCTGTGGTTGGAGCCGGCGGTGGCGTGCCGCAAGACTTTAGCGTGGCCCTGCTTTGTGTGCTGCGCCGCTGTGCTGGCTGTGGTTGGAGCCGGCGGCGGCGTGCCGCAAGACTTTAGCGTGGTCTCGCTTTGTGTGCTGCGCCGCTGTGCTGGCTGTGGCGGGAGCCGGCGGCGGCGTGCCGCAAGACTTTAGCGTGGCCTCGCTTTGTGTGCTGCGCCGCTGCGCTGGCTGTGGCGGGAGCCGGCGGCGGCGTGCCGCAAGACTTTAGCGTGGCCTCGCTTTGTGTGCTGCGCCCCTGCGCTGGCTGTGGCGGGAGCCGGCGGCGGCGTGCCGCAAGACTTTTATGGTATTGGTGATCAATGATCATTCACATTCGTGATCGTGGTAACCTCGGTTATTTGCCGTTTGTGAGACTGTTTGGCGCGGTGAGAACTGATATTTGCAGAGCTGAGTTCGGACCGAGCATGTTGGTTCTGCGCTGTTGGTTACTACTCTGTGCTCGTGGTAAATTCACATTATCATTTATACAATTAATGACAGCTCAAGTTTCGCCTCAGTTTTGCGTGTGAGTGGTGAAGCTTGTTTCCGTTTTAAAGTCGTTAATGTGTGTTTTGTGCGCATATTTTTAACCCGGACTTCTTGAAGCATTGAGATGAATATACGAATCGCTGGGAGGGATGCAGATTTTTGGCTCCTCATCAAACTTCCGAATGGATGGTCGAGACAGATTTTTTTGGTGCATTCTCCATCAGTAGGTCAACAAGTCACGTCGATGTCAGGTTAAGTCTGAGACAAGTCACTGCATTGGGTTTAGAGACCAGCTAACGTCATTCAATATTGGAGCGTCCGAGTTCTTAAATGTATGTGGAAACCACTGAACTCTAATGGTGGAAACCGATTTCGCTGCGTGTGGTGGGAGGGTGCTAGCAGCGGCCGTGAAACGTCGCTCACGACGACGTACAGTACGCCGGGATGTCATATAATTAAAACTTTCAGAAAGCGCGTTCTCTCGGCCTTCATTTACACTGGAGATAATAGGTGGACAACCAGCACCATTTCAGAGTTATTTTATTTACAGAAGCGGTTTTGCATCAAAGTCCCTGCCGTAAGTGTTGTGTCTATGCCTGCCGCTGGATATTCGGCATCAGGGATATATAGTTGCGGATGTAAAATAAGAAGCGATGCCAAAATTAGATCAACCAGGAAAGCGACTCTGCTAAATTCAATTCTATCCATTTTCTCACAAATACGCCTATGCTTTACTACGCGGATAATATGCTATTTCTATTTACTGGTAAAGACTCAATTTATAATTTAAGCCTTTTGATAGCTACTTGATTATACATTGAATAACACATTATAATGATTATATTTTGACACAATGTAATAATATAAAGTGTCAATTTATAATAATAGAATTTGAAACATTGGTTAATTTTTAATGTGAACGATATGTACCGTACGCAACTGTTCAAAAGCAGCACACGCATCAATCAGCTGACGCCACATTCCCGGTGGCGCTGCTCACGGTGCACGCCTGTCGTCACTAAACCAGCCTGAGATTATTCGCCAGGTAGCGGCTGCGTTTCCCTACTTGCTGAATCATGTTAGCAACTTTCCATTTCCAGACACTTTTTACGGCAAATAAATTGTTGGGTTATTTGGAAGGTGAATGACAATTTTATTTCTATAAGTCAATACATTTGTATTTCCGATTGCCCTAAAACTTTTTTTTTAATCGTTTGCGGTAGGTTTTTATTGTTCGCAATAAAGTTGCGCACCTGTGAATCCTTCACTTAATGCGTTCCCGGCTTCCCGGCGCCAGCTGTTGCGCTGTGCCGTGCCGCGTTCGGTCGGGGGTGCGCGAGTCTGTGCAGTGCGAGTGTTTATCACTGGGCAAACCTGTATCGTTTCCATTTGTGCAGTGTCTAGTTATGAAGAATTGCTTGCCGATATCAGTCGGTGACACACCAGGGAAATAAGCTAAAATTAGAGCACTCTATTTATTGCTCCCGCTACTTCACCGTCTCCCATAGGGTCCTGTGTTGAGCTGGTGTCGAGGCTCTAAAAATGACGCCGATTTTTGCACCCTTCTCACGAAAACCGCTCGGACCGCCTGGAAACCAATTGTTCCGCTCTAAAAATTTCATGATCGACGGGAAAATGAATGAGGAAAAGATTGGTCCTGAAATAATTCTGAACTCCCTGTAGAACATATCGAAATATGGCTGCAAACTAGGAGCATGTCAAAATCGACAAAACATTACAAATAAACTTACCGGGATTTTTTATTTTCCATGCATTTGTGTATGAAATCAGTCGGTTTTTCGGAAAGATCATCTTCTGTTTAATAAATAATTCCACAATTGCAATCGAGAAAAAAAAACATTTCCGCTGTGACAACAGTTTTGGCATTGTGCCAGTAGTGTGGCGTGCGCGGTGCTGCGTGGTCGTCGGGGCGGAGTTGTGAGTATTTTCGGTGTTTTAAATGGTTGATGGCCATTTGAACCAGCTTCATATTATTTCCTACAAATTTTTGCATCAAATTATTGCTTTGAAAGACCATTGAAACCCCTTATCTCTTCATGAAACACGATCATATTCATCGTCGACGAAAATGGCGCGGGACTCCATGTGCATTCCGATCGAAATAAATCGTAAATTAAATAATATTCGATGATAAGTATCATATTCTAGTGACACATTTTCATAAAATAAGGCATAAACTTTGCAAGGAAGTCAACATTGGATAATTGGATTCTTATTTTGCTCACATATCCTTGTAGTAGTCAAATGGCTCAATTGTTAGATAGATGTAAGCATATGTTTTGGCTTGATGTTTGCTGTGAAACCACCCAGCCACTTGCTGGTTGAGTGGTTTTCTGATAATTACCTGATAATCATTTCTCCTTTTCCTTAAAAGAAACTAAAATTCCTTTCAAAGTAATCCATTTTAAGGAAAGGCGGCTTGCTCATTGGCATTTCATGTTCTTGTTTTGTTATTGCAGGCAGTATTTTGATACAATAATGCAATATGAATTTTTTGCAATAATAAAACCTAAGACAAACTTAGTTAATGTGTCAATCAAACACCCAACAGAAAGATTGTGAGTCCTTGTGACGTGAAGTAGAATATTCTATGAATGTGTTATATAGAATATGCCAAATATTAAATTAATTATTATTTGATACTGGTAGCTGAGCAGGTGAATTATGCCACAATATAATTTCATTTTCTGGTTTTGAAATAGCCGGCAGTATTTTACTTCAACAAATGTAATATACATAGAATACATGTTGTTATGTTACCTATGTTAAAAGTTTAATAACAGCCAACAGAAGGAGCTGTTTCAGCAGATAATGTTTGTACCTTATGCATTACCTTTCTTTTCTGCAGGACCATGCTTCCGCTGGGTGGTCGACATTTGCCTCCTGAAGAAGTTGAGCAACATGAAGACCACCAGATGAGGTGTCTGCAGTTCATGTGGAACTCTGCAGACTACAAGTGTTATGTCAACCACAACCAAAGTGCTGTGATCATGGAGGCATGAACCTCATGACAACACTTCAGATTTGCAGTTGAACCAAAGTGTGATTCAAACCACCTGTGGCATCTCACTCAATGTGTGAACAGTGTGATTATTGTGCAGTGTTCAGCTGCAACTAAGACATTTATTAGTGACTTGTTTTGCAATTAGCCACCAAAAGCATTTTTTGGGCTGGCTGCTGTAATTTGGTTGTGCACTGTGCAATAGTGGTAGTGTTTTGTCACTTGTCAAGTTGTCAGTTGTGCATGTTGCATGTTTCTCTTCCCTCGGCCCTCATTATCAGTTAAGTGGTGAATTGGCATCACTCAGTCTCCCCAGATCTCCATTGACTGTCTGTCAACCACCTAACTTGAGATGGTATTTGCTAATAGCGTCAGAAAAGAAGTGATGGTAGACATTTTTAGGAATATGAGCTCCGTTTCATGCGTGTTCCAGTGGTCATTTTGTCACATGTCCCATAGTGTAATAAATGGAAACTGTTGTTCCCTTTTGAAGGTACTCGCGGATGCAGAAAGCGTTGGGCCTAATTATTAAACGCACCCTCCTATCAGCGACGCACGAAATCGACAAATATCATCCTTTTTAGAACAGGAGGAAACGAAAACTTGTGAACATAGCTGTACCTACAACATGAACAGTGCATAAGGAATTGAAATTCTGGGAGTTTTTGAAATTCGAAGAAACTCAAGTTGTCGACAGGTATGCCCCCTTGCACGTCAAAGACCGCCTAAAAAACAAACGTCTACAAATGAAGGCAGTATTCGTATGTTCGTTGTAATTGCAGCAGCCTAGCAACATGTATTGCGGTCCGATGGCGAATTGCACTCGTGCTCAAAAACTATGCCGGTAACTGCCAATGCACTTAGGTCATAGGTGAGGAGAGGAAGGGTTATGTCATATGTCAACATCATAGAAATGGCTTCATCTGAGCTGTGCCTATTGTACATAATTCAACCAATCTATGCATTTCGTTTCTTGCAATCTACTCATGCTTTCACTCCAGCTTCAGAGTAATCATCCCATATTGTACGTCTTAAGATATTGATTTCTATGGCGGTTTGCAATTACTAGCCACGTCTCACCTCAGTTTGGTGGCCCCGCATCGGCCCACTCGGCCGCTCTAAAATTGACTTACGGAGGAGGATGGTGGCTTTTATTTTAGCTTCTCCGCCGACTGCGGGGAGCGCCGTCGCCGAGGTAGGAGCAATAATTAGCTTATGTTTGGGACTAATTTCCACGCTTAATCAACATTTTAATGTTATTTTAATTAATTCATGTTAATCCTTGACGCATTCTCTTTCTATTGATACCATCCACCGGTCTGAGAATTACTGCCTTGCTGCGTAAGGGCCGATAAAAGATCACGCTTTTAGGGGTATCTCTTCAACATGGGGCAGGAGCAATAAATAGAGTGCTCTAATTTTAGCTTATTTCCCTGGTATGTCACCAACTGATATATGACCTGCAGTGATCGACGTTCTGATTCAATAACTTGCCATAAGCCATTATTCTCAACGAAATCGCGCAGAGACGTTTGCAAAGTTGTCGAGGGGGGGCGAAACAAGAGCGATTTTAAATGAATTGCTCTCCATGCAGTGCAATAGGACTTAGGTTTAATTTTTCGAAAGTTGTGGAGCCGCCCCCGGTGTCCGGCCTGGCCAACTCTCTCAAGAACCGACAGCTAACGGAACACTGAAGTTTCACTACGACGATTTCCGCCAAAGTTATGAAGAAAGGGCAAGTGCAAGAAGTACAAAACTTCTCTTGGTAATCAAAACTTAGGTTTGGCAAATTCCAAACCCTAAGTCACTACAACTGTGGATAAATAAGCTGGTTATTGACGGCCAAGCTCTGGCCAATCTGAGGTTCAGACCTATCATCAAGTTCATGAGGCAGCTGCGGTTGGGCGGCTCACGGGCTCCACTGCATAGGCTCAGACAGGTACTCTACAAAATGTCGTCTGTGTTCTTAGGTTCAGATCTATCGATAGGTATGTGCATGCTTCTGATTCGATTGATAACTGTAAACGGGCGCTGGAAGTGAAAGATTCGCTTGATATACGAAAGGTGCATTGCAAGAAAGCATATTATTTCAGAAATACACTTTCATTTTATCTTGAGCGTTTTTGGAATGGGCCGGATGAATTCGTCATCAAACTGGTAAGGGATTTCGTTTGAAGACCACCGATATTTAATAATATGATGGTCTTCAAACGAATTCGCTGGCAAATTCGATGACTGGATTGGGCGGCGTAGGATCTGCTGGTCATCTGACTATGGGTTGAGCAATACGTTAGTTTTGACCTAGTTTGAGCTTCATTCGTGAAGTAGGAACAAGACGATGCTTCTTTTGAGCATCGTCACTAAACAAGCCGCCCTCGTTTTGACATTGTTTTTCGTTATTATTGTTACTAGGTACTTTGTTATCATACACAGCATTAACGAGGACCTGCTTCCAAAACAAGGCAGAAACGCTCCAGCTATTTTTGGGACGTGGTAAAAACTAACCGACACCTGGTAACTGTCATCTGACGAACACAAAACAAGCCAGGGGCTCGCAGCGTGTGTCAAAAGTAGGATGCAAAACTAGTCTGTACCCCCGACATTTAGCGTTGAGAATCATTTGACGAGGGGCTAGTCAATATTTTTTACAGTGTAAGCTCGTGCAAGATTTGAGTCAAAAGTGATTGCAGAAAAAAAAACAGTTTCCGCAAAAATCGTTTATTTTGGCAGTTCTAGACCCATGCAGGCAAAACCGTTGAGCTATAAGCAAATCTTAAAGAAATATTCAGAAAGAACGATAATAGGACTATCGAATGCGCTTTTCCGGGCGCTCTATATTATTTAGGGGCCGGGAACACCGCCCTTTGGGGAACACCGCCCACCCCGATATCAGAAATATAAAAAGGTCTAGGGCGACAGTTGACTGTCTTTTACCAGCGTGACGACAACAGCAGTGCAGGTATGGGCAGTGCACCGCATTGGTTTATAGGTGATTTGCGAGAAATTCTTAATTTTACGGTTCTTAAATATGTTTTATACTATTTCTAGCATAATAAGCAAAAGAAAACTGATCTTATTTGACAGACATTAGTCCTGAAGTAGTATTTTTTTGCAATAACTAGGACTCATCCGAGCATTACGTGCTCCTGCTCGAGAGAAATTTTGGTCGTGCTGCCATATTTAAGGATTTTTAGAAAAATGCAGACACTTGGGTTACACCGCCCACATGGTATTTTTTTTTTTTTAGTACATTGTGACACCTAACCAAGGAGTGGCGCATTTCAAATAAAGAAAGAACGTTGTTGCTATGTTTTCTTTTTAGAGGATAATTAAGAATTTCGAGGAAAAGGAAATTTTGGGACTTTTAGTCGTCTAATTACATAAATAAGTACATTGTACTTACATACCAGGGATATGATAAAATCGTTTCCACTGTATTTCATAAATATACCAAAACGACTCAAATTTGCGATAAGGAGAACCACTTAATAGTCCAGCGATCTGCACATTTCGTTGCCTGCTGAGCTTGGGCGGTGTTACCCAACGGTCGGTGCTACCCCGAAAATTGTAGACATTTACTAAATGTGGAATAATGCAATTATGAACGACAGTACAAGAAAACAATTGGTTGAAATGTACCTATGTAGAATTGATGCGACAATCCAATGAAACTGAGAGATTGATCATTTGGCCAAAAATTACGTGACTAGACCCCAAATGGTTAAGGGGGTCGGTGTTCCCCCGTCTTCCCTACCTATATAGCTTTTGTGTTTCCGAGATATGCGCCGGTCTGTTGAAAATTGTCGACATTCGGCCTGAAAATCGGCGAAATTTGACCTTTAATGATCTCTAGTGACCTGACCTTTGACCTGACCAGAAAATTCACCTAAGTAATTTCGCCATTATTTTTGACGCGCTTTTGAACGCCGCCTTCCCTGTATTGTTACGTGGCCCAAGAGCCGAGTTAGAAGGGAGGGGTGTTCAAACACCCCCTCCCCTCAGCAGGGCGTGGAAATCCAGTAACCCCAGCAGGGCGCGGGTTATGACCTCATGGCATCACGCAAAAGAAAACTGCGTCGCTCTGTTCTTCGCTGACACACACCAAGATCTCCGGCTTGGTCATCATATTTCAAGCAGAAAACCACACCTATGACCTAATGGCACAGCAGAAGAAATGCGTTGTAGCCTTACGAGTTTGTGGTGATCATTTGACGCGGATGACGGCTGTATACATAATTGCACTAACAAGAAGCCATCAATGACACCCGCAGAGTCGGCAGAATCATTATCGCGTGCAACAAATCCGGGTTCAATGCGTTGACGGCTTTATGCTCTTCCTTCATTACCTTCATTATCTTCGTATTTGAATAATCCTCAGTGTTTTTATGCCTAGGCCAAGCTTCACTTTGTTTTAACCCGATGGAAGGCACAATTTTAACAAGATGGTGCGTAGTAAGAAAAGGTTTAAGTGATTGCAAGGCAGTTACGTGTCAGTTGGAATCGCTTTCGCGAAGCTATCAAATATTGTCATGTGCTACACTACACGACAGCATGGCTGCATTTGTGTGAGCGTTATTCTAGATCCCCCTATATATACGTGTTGATCAAGACCTAAGCCTGCACCCTGACCCACCCTGCGTAGTTAGCACGCTGAATCATCATCATTATCCCGCGCCCCGTTGGGCTCTGCCGAGCAACGCGCCCGGTTGGGGGGGCCATTTTGGCCCCCCCCTAAGATCTCGAGAACCAAGCAACATAGCGACAAGCGGTAAACGGCGTTGGATAGCCCCAACGGGGAACTACCTTGTGACCCAATTTTATTGACCTAGGTCAAACCGATGACGTCACAGGTCAGGTCAAAGGTCCAATTTTCACCGTTTACAGGCACTTCAAGAAATGCGTTGTAAAATCGAGTAAAATGCATTTCATTGAAAATCATCGATGGGGAAATGTTCTTCAAACACATAGGGGAGATCCGTGTAAGACGCCCAGGGTCGGTAAGAGGCCCCATCGCTTTTTTTACCAAACCAATAATGTTATTTATTTTTTAATGTTCTTGTAAAGCAGAAGCCCTCTTGAAACAACAACTCACGAAACCTGAGGTATCAGGTGCGTCGCAGCGACTTTTGGTAAGCCTGTTTCTGTTTTTGCCCCTTTACTTGCTAGATATATGCATCTTTATCACCCTTATATATCTGAAAAAACAATGGCTATCAAATGCAATCTTATCTCATCGAAATTGTCACATGTTAGCTTCAAAATAGACCATGTTCTGGTGCGCTGCAAATGTCTCATAAACCATAAATATTGTGACGTTAAAACACTGCATTTTTTTAAGAGGCCCTCCCTTCGAGGATTATAAAACGCCCCCCGATAAAAAACGCCCCCGATGCTAAAACGCCTGCACCTGCGGCAGGCGTGCAGCATTCTTTTTTCAAGGAGTTTGTTTTTGTTTCCTTTTTTCTGTTTCTTTTTCTAGAGGTAATAGGTACAATTTTCGTTGGTCATCAGCGTTTGGTTGTGCTAGTTTTCGCATTGTTCGAGCGCTTTGGAAGTGTTATTGGTTTCGATAACACCGTATTTGCTTAGCTTTTCGAAATAAAAGGCCTTGCAGCTGTGTTCGCAAAACGTCTTTTACAAGTCGACTTGCCTTGTTAAACGCCCGAGGGGGGGGGGCGTCTTACCATACCCATAGTGTAAGAGGCCCTTTTGCAACTTTTTCCAAAATGTTAAAGTTTACGGTTTGTGTACCCCCTAGATTCATTTTGAATGCAAATATGTATGGGAAAATGATGCATGCTCACAGCGCATGCACACGTTAGCTCTTAAATATTATCAGTTGTCTAAAAATAGCAACTGAGCTTAAGGGGGGGCCTCCTGCACCACTCTCCCCTATTTTGCTATTTGAGGTCACTGATACCAGGTCAGGTCACAGAGGTCAGGTCACGGGAGGGTCACAATATGAAAGTGTCGTGTGATACATGTTTTATGGTCCATTTTACATGACAAATGCGATTATATGGGTCAGGCAGCCTTTGGGGCCAGCTTAGATCACGTTTTGGTCAAGGTCAGGTCAAGGTCAGGTCAAGGTCAGGTCAAATTAGGTCAAATTTCAAAGTTAATATTTTTGCATAAAATGGGTATCGAATCGATGCAGCTCGTCACGGGGAGTTCAATGGTGGTCTTTGTTTTGCCGTACGAGCTCTAGAATTGCTAAAAATTGAGTTCAAAAATTTGACGTCATCATTTTTGAACAGTTTTTTCGCTATAACTTGGCCAAAAAACGAGATATCGATCTGAAATTTGGTATGTATATAGAAGAGCGCTGGGACTATCACATATATTCCGGTTTTTTAGAAATTCGGAAAATTTTTGGATTTTTTCAAAGTTTTTCTAAAAAAAACAATTTTTTGATTTTTTTTGGGTCAAAAACCAAAAATTTTGAAAATCCGAGATAGCAGTTTTGTAGCGCCGCCTTTTGTCTACTAGACCATATAAAGAACTTTGAAATTGCTTGATAACTGTAGATTTGGTGAGCGTTTCAAGATTGCATGTTTTTTGCTCATTTTTGCTCGAACATGACCTCAGTTTGACCTCAATAACTCCTGACCTAAGGTGACCTAAGACTTGAAATTTGGTGTGAAGGTGTCAAATTGATGCCCGGGAAGGTACTGAAAATTTGGCGGCGCTGCGCGCCGCCGTTTTCTTGCTATTCAGGAAAAACCACAGGGGGGGGCCAAAATGGCCCCCCCCCAACGGGGCGAGGGTTATCACGCACCCTCACAGCTTCCCAATAACCCACCTATAACCCGCGTCACTCTCCATTTTACGATCGAGTTCCTGTGTATGCCCACGCGGCTCGTAGCGTGCTTCTCCACTAGTGGCACCCTGAGGCGCAGCAGAGCGCGCAGTGGGCCTTCGCCGAGCCCGACACGACCTGTCGACACGGTGGCTGCCCCAGCCGGGGGCGGCGAGCCCCGATCGCCCGCGGCGGCGGCGCTCCGGAGTCACCGGCGCATAAGAGCGCTGTGTGCGTCCTTCGGCGTGAAGAGCTGTGACGACGGGCGCAGGATGCGGGTCCTATCCACGGTGCTGCTGGTGCTTGGAGCGGTGGGGTGTGTGCTGGGCACGGAGGTGATCTGCTACTGGGCCTCATGGACCTCCTACCGGACAGGTCAGTCGGGACGGCGATCGCATTAATAAAGGTGTAATTAATTATGTTCAAGGGTTAATGTGATGAGTGATGACGCAGGTAAATATCTGCGTTTGACTAATTACGCAATTCATAAATGCAACAACCTACATGTAAAATTATATCTATTCTTGAGGCATATTCAGACCACAATTGAATGGGAAAGGCGCTTAATTTAGACGGCGCCGTGCTGGAGAATGTGCCCAACCGACTAATCCCCGTCGCCCGACTTAAAAACATTTGAGATGTCAACTTGGAAATTTTCAGCACTTCATCCAGCATCAGTTGGAGATTGGATTGCTTACTTTTACTGGTTTAATTTTTATTTTAAGTTTTTTTTTTGTATGTCATATCTTCCTAAAGTCGGCAATTTCGACAGATATTGGCTAAAAGTTAACGCAATAGATTAATGAATTGATTTCAAAAATCCAAAATCAATGAGATCGCCTAAACTCAGGTTTTGAAGACGAGTGGTTAATACAAGCAAATACCAACTGAACTTTTGATTAAAAATTGAAGCAGGTACTCAAATGGTCAAATAAGCGACTTCAACTTCTTGCGGTCGCACTTCGGATTGGCCGTTCCGCCCCGCATCACCCGGCGGCCGGCTGCGTACCTACTTTTCTTGCGGTGCCTCACGAAAGAGTAGAAATCGTGAAAACGGGCATGTCCTGTAGGCTTCCCAGGGTGATGAACGAGATTTTGCAGCGATGTGATGAGGTCGACATAGTTCATGATTCTTTATCTCGCGTCAGGTCTTGTGTTTTAAGATGTGTTATAAAAAAGGCACGATGAGGCACTGGACGTCGACCGATAACAAATGAAATGAAGACTTGCCTGAGCAGGACAGAACGTTACGCTCTGGCCCAAGATATCATCCAATTATCGTCATTAGCGTATCTACTTCAGCACAATGAAACGTCAGCTATGGAATGCTTATTATTGAAAACGCAAAGCCATGTCTAATGCTAATTATCATGAACATAAATAGGGAGGTACTTGTAGGTGTTCCATAAGCAAAAGACGTAACATACTGCCATTTGTACAGGGCACGGTAAGGTGACCGTGGATGACCTGGACCCCACCAAATGCACCATCTACATCTACGCGTTCGCCACGCTGGACGAGCGGACGCTGACCATGCAGCCGTTTGACATACACCTGGATATCGACCAGAGGGTGAGATGCTCACCAAGAGGGACGGGTTAACTCCCGTCGCGGGCTCGGTTATAAAATAAATAGCTTTGCTGAATGGTCGATGTTATGTACTTAGTCAGAAGCGTGTCGCCTTCTGTATGTGACATGTTCTCACGTTTCCAAAATAGAGACCTTAGGGCTAGGGCAAGAGAAATCACGAAACCCAGTGAACAATGTAATGTTTGCAACCAGTCACTATGCTCGAAGTCAATTAGCCTCATTTTGTGAGACATTATATTCATTATAAACCCGTTCAAACTTCGATTACCTTCAGATATGTCGGTAGATGTTTCCGTCACCGAAAGAAAAAGTACCTAACATTCGCTTATGAAGACTGACTTCCAGTAATTAACCCGCGCCCCAGTGGCGGTTTCAGCCAACTTCGCCCTAGTGGGGGGGGGGGGGGCATATGTTACCATCCACCTCTCACTCAAAAACTAAGAGGGCTAGAAAGACGCAGTAAAAAGCAGTCGATAGCTCTCAATGCGTACGTTTGAAAGTATTTCAGTCATTTTTTCACCTTAGAGCAATATTGGGGTCACCAGAGGTCATCAAAGGTCAAATTTGCCAATTGTCATTATATTTTTCAGAAAACATGCCGCCATCTCAGGAACTACGGTAGCTAGAAAAACGCATGGAAAAGCAATCGATAGCTTTTGAACTCTTCTTTTGAAAAGGTCATTATCAATATTGACCTCAGGTCAACGGTTTAGCCTCCAGAGGGCAAAAACTCCAAAAATAGCTGTTTTTACGAAAAGTGTTTTTCGACAATAACTTTCGACTACAAAAGGCCACGACATTTCTATTGCCAGAATCGTGTTACCCTCGCCGAGACGCGTCGAATGAGTTATAATTTGACCTTGAAAGGTCAACTTAAAAATTTGACCTCAGGTCAAGGTCATGACCTGACCGGAAAAGGTCATGTTGCATATCAGTCGATGCGTCTCAACAAGACAAACACAATGAGACCATCCCCAGCGTTCTATCTCTTTCTAATCGCGAGTTATTGGCAAAAATCTGTTTGTAGCCTCAAATGACCTCGGATGACCTTTCTAGAGGCTATCAGCAAAAATGACACTTTGGTCATCACGAGTGGACTAAATCATTGTGATTCTGAAATATTTGGACTGTTCCTATGCGTACACACGGATGTAGAGGCATTTTCATTTTTCTCCATTGACTTGTAATGGAAAGGTCACGCCACTGACCTGACTAGGTCACGGATATAAAAAATCCGAGATATACAAATTGTAGGCGCCCATAACAGCATGCAATCCACCAAGTTTAAAACCTTTCTGACAAACACTGCAGGCTGGACATGATTGCAAACTTTTTTAGGCTTGGTCAGTTAACTTGACCTGGTGACCTGACCTGACATGACCTGGGGTCAAAAATTTCACACAATGTCCAAAATTGATGTACCAAAAGCTACCGCAGGCGGCGCGGCGCTACGCGCCGCGGATTTTTATTCACACGCAAAAAAAACGCGACAGGGTGGTAACATATGCCCCCCCCCCCCACTGGGGCGAAGGTTAATTAATCTATCATGTTACCTAGATCCAAACCACCTGCAGGGATATGAGCGGTTCGTGGCTCTCAAGGAGCGCAACCCTCGCCTGCGAGTGCTGCTCGCTCTGGGAGGCTACAACGACTCTGGTCCCAAATACTCGCGAATGCTGGCCAGCCGCGAGCGGCGCAACAAATTCGTGCGTCGTGCCGTCGCCCTTCTCCGTCAGTACGGCTTTGACGGGCTGGACCTCGACTACGAATACCCCACGGCAGCCGACAAGCCGCACTTCGCCAAACTGGTGGCGGAGCTGAAGCGCGCCTTCCGGCCTTACGACATGTGGCTTTCCACCGCCACACCAGCCACCAGAGAGCGAATCGACGAGGGCTTCGACGTGCCGGCCATCGCCTCTGAGATTGACATGATTCACGTAATGGCATACGACTTCCATGGCAGCTGGGAAAGCACCGCTGACCACCACTCGCCGCTGCTGCCCCGTGCGTCCGACAACGGCCGTGGATTCGACGTGGAGACTACCGTCCACCACTGGCTCCGACGCGGCGCTCCGGCGGCCAAACTGGCGCTGGGCGTGCCGCTCTACGGCCGCTCGTGGACCGTGCCCGGCCCGGATAAGAGGCCGTCTGTGGCGGCGGGCACGGGGCCCGGCCGGGCGGGGCCGTATAGCCGAGAGCCTGGTACATTGACCTATCTGGAGATCTGCGAGAAAATCCACGACGGCTGGAACGCCGTGCAGGTGAGGGATACATAATCAGATGGTTTAACTTTCAAAGCCGATTGCTATAAAACAATAATATCGCTCTTGGCTAGCTCACAGGCCACAGTGCATTTGAGCATTCATGCACAACATGGCCTGTAACATGAAAATAGGCAGGTAACTTAAATCGATCGATAAAACTGAAGAGAAAGGTCAGACTCGCGCACAAACATTTCCATTACCTACACTTTATTTTTTATCTCCCCTTCCTCTCTCTCTCTCTCTCTCCTCTCTCTCTCTCTCTCTCTCTCTCTCTCTCTCTCTCTCTCTCTCTCTCTCTCTCGCTCTCTCCCTCGTCGACCATCTGACACCCCCCCTTCCGCTCACAGGACCCCAGCGGCCGGGCAGGACCTCACGCCTTCTCCGGCGACCAGTGGGTGGGATTCGACGATCCCTCCACAGCTGCCAGGAAGACCCTGTTCGCGCTCAGCCTGGGCCTCGGCGGGATGATGGTCTGGGACGTCGGATCGGAAGACGTCAGGTGAGTAGACTGCGACTTGCGAGCCCCTATTTAACGCTGAACGTTGAACGTTCATTGAATGATGCGTGACTTTTAGTGACGCTTGTTTATTATCTGTGTCGGCCGTTTACTAAGTACCTAAACGGCTCGCCACATTCTTAACCTAAGACTGGCAGCATTTTACGAAAACTGGCAGTTATTCCTCATGGCTCATTTGAATATTGATGCAATTTTAACTAAGATAATCGCGTTATACCGCCCATTGTCCATCCGCAGGGACGTGTGTGGCGGCGGACCGTGGCCCATGCTGACAGCCATTAACGCCTATCTGGAGCTGGCTGGGAGTGCGACCGCAGTGAGCCCTACACAGCGACCGGCAGTGACGGCCAGACCGACCCAGGTCACCACTGTCGTCAATACGGGAGCGGGTGCCGGCAGATGTGAGTGCAGGGACGCATAAAGAGAAGTACAAGCACCTACCTAAGCTGTGACAACTGTCAACTAAATACATAGGTACCTGCAATAGGAGCCGCCGACTCCTGACTATAGTGAAGCATTGCGTTGGCTAGAGGGGTCGAAATGATTATTTAGTGATTATAAAAACATCCCGTCTTAAATTATTGGGGGTTTAAAATGACAGTGGCAATGCATGTTTCCTCCTTCGCGGCTTTCACATATAAGTTCGGTCGTTCGGTACAAACTACAAGTCACAAATCTTGTGATAGCAGATCTTTGAGAGAAGAACGTGAGCAGTGGGCACCCAGCCTTTTCAGTCCTGGGTCAGAGCGATTGTCACTGGTCACTACCCTAAGACTTCGATCAAAGGTGTAAAAAAGTGAAAGGTTCTAATAACCCCCTCTTCCCCAATAGTCAGCTGTCCCCGTGACGGCGTGTTCGCCGACCCGGCCGACTGCACACGTTTCTACGTGTGCTCCTCTGAGAGACGCAGCTGCCCCGCGGGCACGGCGTTCAGTAGTCGCTCAGGGACCTGTCAGAGAACGGTGCCAGAGTGTCCGACGGTGGCGAGCGCCGGGCCGCCCGCCACCACCACGACGACTACCAGGAGACCAGCGGGCAGATGTGAGTGCACGGGTGATTCTTGATCATGTAGCTAAAAGTTAGAAGTTGGGTATATATCGATGTGTTGACGTAACGGAAAAAATACATTGGGATATGACGGGCAACAATTCGCTTGGTACGGTATCCAGCCACAATGCGCTGGAGTGCTCGTATGCGGTTGTCAACTATCGCCTCATTTTCAAGTGACCCTATTCATATCCTCGGGGAAGGGTATCCCGAACGTTAGCTGTAAAACCAATGTATTTGTTCCTAAACAAAAAAGGGTGCTAATCACCTAATCTCGCACCGTAAATCCATAGATCGATGGAACTGCTTGGAGGTCGCATTATTCAGCTTGGGGGCACCAAAATCCAAATGTATCGAAAGCTACACCTGGCGGTCACAGTCGTAACTACTACTCCCTTACTTGATCGCAAAAGAACTTGCGGCGCTACATTCGGGCAGATGACATCTCGGAACCCAGTCATGAGTCAACAAAATACAACCAAAGTTGCTTGGTCCTCATTTTCAACTGGTTTGAACGCCCATTCGAGTTACTTTCGGCTACCAGTACGATATTCACACCTGAACAATGTATATTTCTGGAAGGCGTTTGGTTCTAATTGCACACACAAGCCTGTGACATTTATGAATGACCGTTTTCATCCGTTATTGTTTCAGTCACCTGCCCGCGGCCCAACGGCCTGTACCCGGACCCCTACAGCTGCCGTCGGTTCTTCTTCTGCCAGAACGGCAAGGCCGAGTCGACTGCGTGCCCGGCCAACACCGGCTGGGACAGCCAGATCGGCGCCTGCAACTGGCTCTACAACATCGACTGCCAGGACTAGGCCGGCGTCGGACGGACGGCGTCAGGGGGGCCGAGAAGGAGTGAGACGACTTGATGTGGATGTGTTCGGGCTGTAATATTGCAGCGAAGTGTGTCGATTCGTGAGAATAAATCACATCGAACGGTAACATCGTAAATAACTATCATCGCTATTCAAGTGCGGATCATGTGACGAAGTAGACTAATTGTTTATGACAGACTGTCTTGTCACCGGCGTGCTGCTGTCAGACAACCGCATCCTCCATGTGTGTGAATGCGTCATTTGCAAATATAGGTACTTCAGATTCATCTTGTGTGGGAAGTTGAGCTATCATCTTCAACCATTGCCAGTTCAGAACTCAGTCACATGTGAATTTCCACAAACAAGATCAATTGAGACAAATGTATTTTAAATAAATAAATATGACGATGGAGAGTTCTCAACTTCTAGATATAACGATGCTTCACATGACAGTGACCTCAGCGAATGGTGGAATGATTATCCAGAAAATATCATTTGTCATATTAGTTGCTTTAAGACTTCCTATAAGATTCCACACATTTTTTGGAGGTGGACAATCGAAGCTGATGAATGATCCACTTAGGAGATTGTTAATTCGGGCAATCGCCAGGTAGGCAACGCACTTGACCTACTCCAGGTCAATATTATTATCAAACACTTGTGACTATTAAACCCGCAAAGCGATAGAGAGCATTGGCAGGGACAAACTACAAACAGTCCTATCGGCGCTTCGAGTGACATTTCTAGATTAAAATACCCCTGCCAAAGCAGGTACCGGGCAGGTGCAAGTGGCAAATGCTCTCAGCATATTCAAATCTACGCACTCCTGAGGATTTATTCCACGACCTACAGGGCATAAAACTGCTCGCTGTCTTCTGCTCGAGCACCTTGCTTGAACTGTGACCTAACCGCATCTCTTTCCGTGACGTTCTAATGCGTCCTAGACGTTTGCCCTAGCGGCGGAAGGCGCCGCAACTTCGGCCTCATCAACTGGTGCTGAATCCTTCCTGTTCGAAGATGAGCTGGATGGCGTCATGCACATCCCTGCAGTCGAAGTCGGGCTGGAGCAGACGCTGGTCCACCGGCAGAAAGTCTCGCGGCGAGTGGTCGCTCTCCCACTTTCGCTCGCCGCCGGGACCGAAATGGACGCCAGTCTGGACGAGCACGCTGTAGCAGCGCTCGGCATGGCTGCGGTGCTCCTTGAGCGTTCCGTCCCGGTTGAGCAGGCTGTAGTTTCGCTGCTGTGGTACCGGCTCCGGAGTGAACCGATTCTCCAGGAACTGGTTGTAGAGATTGGCGCCGAATACGTCGGCGTTGACGTTGTCGCCGATGCAGTAGATGTGGCGGATGGGGTTGCTGTTGCCGGCCTTCTCCGCCTGCGCCTCTACCTTGCTGACGGCGTAGTGGTAGGTGATCTCACACGGCTTTCCGACCAGGGCCGAGTAGGTTAGGGTGTGGCCGGTGATCTTACGATACAGCGCCTCCAGACAGGTGAGGAACGCACCGTGACCGAAGCGCGGCATGGGCGCGCCGGCCATCCACTGCAGGTCCATGTTGCACGCCAGCACGGGCAGGTGGGGCAGCGGTGGCTGGTCGACTCTGTACAGCGGCAGGCCGTCCGACATGAGCACATCCACCAGCAGCTGGAGGGAGGTCTCCCAGCGCACCGGCTCTCCCAGCAGCACCACGGCCTCGATCGGCGGGAAGCTCGCGTTGGACGGTACCGTCATCCAGGTGCGCCGCGAGTGATCCACCACGTCCAGCGCCGGGAACTGACGGCGGAACGAGTCGATCGTGCACACGTTGGTGAAGCCCAGGTTGAGCGCGATCGCCTCGACGGGGCCCTGCCCGGAGACGAGAACGTGCTTGTGGTGGTACTGAGTAAACCATTTGAGTGGCGAGTGAGCCATCACCACCTGGTCGGACGAGATGGGCAGGCCCAGCCACTCCGACAGCTGCTCCGCCTTGTGGTACTTGAGGTTGTTACTAGCGTTCGTGACGAACGTGGTCGGCACGCGGAAGTTACCAGACGAGTCCACCAGCTCGCGGAACGCGTGCACCGCAGCGGGGATCACATCTCTACCGCGAGCGATAACGCCGTCAATGTCGAACACGAGACCGAACGTGGGCTTTGCCGGGTCGGCCTTGGCCACGGGTGCCTCGCTGGGGGCGCTGGTGCTGCATAGTTTGGCCAGCAGAGAGCGGTGCTGGCAGACAGTGGGGTGAAGCGGTCTTAGTCTGCTCCACATATTGACTTACTGTGAGTTGACACTTGGCAGTGATAGTTTGAATGTCTCCTGGTGCTGGCAGCACTGATGGACAAAATATATCCTGAGCTGAGACTTCTTGATTTATGAAGAATAAAATTTCTCTTTACTTGAAGAACTATTGCATGTAGAGAAACACCCAACTTGTCTTGTAAAACAGGCACACTTGGCCAATCATTTTCTGCAAAAAGAACAGGTTTCATTCAATCATACATACCTATCTGGAATATAATTTCTAATACAAAAAAATGTCAGCATGGATGAACTAGCAATGATGGGCCCAGGCCCCAGGTGACCCACTATGCAATGCTTGATGTAAATGCACCATTGCTGAATGCACCAAGCCAAGGAATCAGAAAAGGTAAGATGTCTGGTGGCAGGTGGCCTCAGATCAAGATCAGATCAGCATAACACCTCAGCTTACAACAGTGAGCAGATCCTTTTAAATTTATAACTTAAGACTGATGTGAAACAAAACAAAAATAAAAAAGGTATCATGAGGCAAATATGCATACAGCAGGTCAATATACAGGTCAATTTATCAGCATGGCAGCATGGCTAACAGCAGTGAGCAAGTAGCTTGGTGATTAACTCCTTTTGCACCCTTTACAAACTGAAGAAATTCACAAAAAAAATGGACAAAAGGACACATTCTTCTGAGGTTGAAACATGAAACCACACATAAAAAAGCTATGATACTTTTTACAAAAAAATTATAAGTTAAGCCCAATCACATGTTTAGTCAGCCAGGTGGTGTTACTTTTGGTAGGTAAGGTTAGGTCCTGGTCAGGTTGGTCAGGTTAGAATTTAGATTAGATTTCGTTATTTCTGCTTGTAGTGTATCTGGCTCATTTAGCATTAAATAATCATATGAAAAATCATATCATATGTGATTGAAATATGGTTTTTGACAATATCAGTCGGGGGAGGTTTGGTCAATCGTTGTCATTTTTAGCACGTGCTATTTTTGTCACACGTGCTAAAAATGACAACGATTCTGCTATTTTTGACAACGATGAGGCCGATTTCACTCCTCAGCGAGGAAATCAAGATTTTGGAAAGATAAACACTGATTTTGGAAAAGAAGTGCTGCCACCTGGTGCAAGACGAAGAAGCCAGCTATAATATGCCCGTTATTTGTATGGTAGTTTGTTTTGTGGCCTGAAGTTGGAACTTAAAATTGAAGCATCCGAAAATGATCGATATTGATCGAAAACATGATGTTGATGAAAAAAATAATATTTTAAGTTGAGAGAGGAGGCCATTTTATCCAGATGCAGTAGTTTACTTCTTGAAATTATTTTTGCTAATGACGGCTGCTAATTATCCCTCATTACATGGCAGTCGTCGTAAGCAAAAATAATTTCAAGAAGTAAACCACCGCATCTGGATAAAATGGCCTCCTCTCTCAACTTAATAAATTATTTTTTTCATCAACATCATGATTTCGATCAATATCGATCATTTTCGGATGCTTCAATTTAAAGTTCCAACTTAAGGCCACAAAAAAGGGTATACTTCAACGTTGGACTACCATACAAACAACGGCCATATTAAAGCTGGTTTCTTCTTCTTGCACCAGGTGGCAGCACTTCTTTTCCAAAATCAGTGCTTGTATTTCCAAAATCGTGATTTCCTCGCTGAGGAGTGAAATCGGCTTCATCGTTGCTAAAAATAGCTGATAGCGTTGTCATTTTTAGCACATGGTTGCCAAAAATGGCATGTGCTGAAAATGACAACGATTGACCAAACCTCCCCCGACTGATATGGGTGGTTTTAATTCCATTTTGAGCCTAGGGTGCAAAAGGGCAATTGCACTACGTTTCTTTTGAATTTATAGCTTAAGACTGATGTGAAACAAAATACAAAAAAAAGGCAACATGAGGCAAATACCTATGCATTACCGCAGGTTGCTTGACATACACAAATACTTTTTTACAAAGGTGTCTGACAAATTGTTTGTCTATTAAAAATGATTGAAAAACAACTGCAGTAGTTGAATTGACAGGCATTAGGTATTCATTAGAATTCTTAAGATTTAAGAATAGATTTAGTCTATGGAAAACGATTTAAAAACAAATGGAACAGTCCTCACTTGGGGGTGTTTAGCATACTGCAGCAAAATTTATGAGTCAAATATAGGTTGGGCTTGGAAAATCTTAAAAAAAGCAATAATGGGGAACTTCAATTCAAATCATCATTATGAACTTAACTATGCCAATTCAATTGCCACTGCTGTGGATGGCGATTAAAATGTATGTTGCATTAAATAAAATGTATTGAATTGCCAATGCCAATGCTGTGGATTGTGATTAAAATGTATGCTAGCAAAAGCTGAAACAGGGCGCCGGTTATCCAACTGTGATACTCTTGCTAAAAATGTTAATCGAAAAACACAAATTAGCAAGAAAATTAATATAAAAACCAAAACACCCACACAACTATCACCTAAGCCATCCACAGGCGGCCAGGCCCAAAGAGAACTAACCAATTTATGGCAATTTGTATATAAAATTCAATCTTGTCTCAGATGCGCAGCGAACGACACTTTTCTGCCCAAGATAGTTGCAATAATGCTACGTCATTGAAATTGAAGTCTGCCCTAAAAATTTTTGGTAACACATTAGTTTTGTGCCTGAAAAAACTCAAAATATTGTTTTATATTAAATTTAATTCGTTTTTTTTCTTTTTGAAACCTTAAAACATTTAAAATCACTTCCTGACCATTTTTATTCAAATACCGATGATGTCATATTCAGTTTAGTAATCGATGCTTGGTATTTGTTCCACTGACATCAAATATTGAACCTTGATGCTTCATCAGAAAATTGCGTCGTCGATGGTGAAAACTGCTGAAAATACGCGAGAATCGTTGTGCTGGTGTGTTATCAACATCTGAATTATCGTATGGTATTCAAATTTCGATAGTGGCACGTCATTTTGATCAATTTTGCCAACCACGTCTATCGTGTATTGATAGGATTGATCCGCATCCCGCATGATGAAAATTGAAATGAGCTTTGTTGGATGAAACGGCCTCTTGATCACACAGATCACTATTGGTCTGATGTGAATCATTGTCAATTCTGATGCTAGATCATTAGTTCAATGATGAATCGCTGAACTGAACAATGAGAAATCGCTGTTCGATCATTTGATCTTTACAATTATCAATTCAGTCCCAAATCTTGTTCGAGATGGCGCTATAGGTACCGGTTTGCGTACCTATTTTTAATATAGATGTCGCGTCGGTCGCTACCGGTCGTCACTGGCCTCTGTCCGGTACACCGCATACCAAGGCTATATAAACCAGGTAGAACGTTCCCGACGAAAAAGTGGTGACAAGCGATAATTAGTAGCCGCGACCCTCACTTGTTCAAAACTATATCCGCAAGCAGCATTTACAGGCTAGCGGAAATCGACCAATCGGCGTTCGGCAATACTCGACGCTGATTGGCCCGATGCTCGTGACGAAATTGCGGGGGACTGTAGCTATTCCCCTATGGCGTTTAATAGACTTACGGCTTTTGAAGGGGATTTATACCAGTTTTTGTTGGGTTTGAGGCCATTTTTGAGCTTGGATATTCTTTCTGTGACTTTTGACTGTGTAATAACGACATTTAATCATGACATTCTATATACTACCGGTGTCACATCGGCCAAAAAGACCGTAAGTACATGGGATAGACGGACCACTGCTGATGGGGCCACACATGTCGGCGTGTGGTCATCGGAGGTCCGTGAGGGTTCGACATAGACCCTTCATGGGTCGGTATAGGCCCGGTGGGTCCAGTGTGCAAGCCTATCGGGGGCCGGTGCTGACCCAACAGGGCCCAGTGGCATATAATGTAAGGCTGTCTAGGCCGACGTTGAGGGCTCATGGGGGCCATATAGGACCAATAGGGACCACATCAGTCAATCAGGGGCCATTTAGGCCAATAAAGGCACTTCAGGGGACTTGAAAAGGTCATTCAAGAGCTGTGGTGGGCCCATGAGGGGACGGCATTGGTCCAGCAGGTGCAGTCAGGGGATGTTGTACGGGTTTCTCAGTGGCCCATTTGGGCATATCAGTGACCAATTTGGACCCAGCAGAGGGCTTTGTAGACCTATCAGGGGCTGGTGATGGTTCATCAGGGGCCAGCGTTAGTCCATCGGGGCACGGCACATGCCCATCAGAGGTAATTGCGAGCCCACGCTGAACAATGATGGCCCTTCAACGGCCCCTAATGGATCTACATTGACCCATGGGCCATGATGTGTCATGTATGCCCCTATGACAGGCCTACTCAGACCCCTGATGGACATTCCCGGCCTCTGATGACCCTATACTGAATGCTAAAGGGGCTCTAAGTTTCTCCAATAACCCTTCGTCAACCCATTATTACCATACGCTGGCACTAGGGGCCCCACATCAGCCGCAGGGCAGTCCGTGCCATGACAGCATGTCTTTTCGGCCGATATTACATCGGTAATATTTATTAAAATCATGATTTTATGGTGTCATTATATAGCTAACAGTCATAAGAAATATATTTCAACTCGAAAACAGCTCCAAACAGCATATAATTTTAAAGAAACTCCTCCGAAATCCAAAAGCCTATTCGGGTCCATAGAGAATAACTGCGGTCCCCCGCAATTTCGTCACGAGCGTCGGACCAATCAGCGTCGAGTACTGCCGAGCGCTGATTGGTGAATTTTCCGCTAGCGTGTAAGTACTGCTCGCGGAACAAGAGTTCGTCGACAATCCTCCACAAACGTCTGTCACCATTTTTCGTAATGCTAAACAGCCGGAGCGTACCGCATATTTACGTCTGGACAACGAGTTGCGTTGGAGAGGCCGAAAATAGTGGCGATTTCAGGACCGCAAGAATGGACCGTCATTGGAATGATTCTTTTTTAAACCGTGCACTGTTTTCGGCCGGAATTTAATAGTTACTACAAAATATTTTGTAATTACGTTTCCACCAAGAATGAATGCCATCAGGGCTAAATTTTTAATACTATTGCATTTTGTCAAGAAGCATATAGTGCTGTTATATTGCAGTTTTAGCGCGTTTGTTACAAAATATGAAGCGAATAATCGTCAGTGTAATTCATCAACAGTGCCAGAAGACTATATATGGCCTTGGCCAGAAGTTAACTTGAGGGAAAGCTATGCTAATTGCTCTTGTCCATCCACTAAAATTTGCTTTAAAATTTGCTTTATTTTGCTTTGTGTATTCCTAAAGGAGAGGGAACTATTTCATTTGTGCCTTCATGTCAGAATTGAAGGTGGATCATTCATCATTATATTTTCAACGCAGTTTACAAACAAGCATTTGGTCTTTCTCGTTTATAAGCAGTGGCTAAGAAAAGGTTGATCAATCCTGAAATTCAGTCATCGTACCTCAACTTGGCAGCAAGATCCCCCAAGGACAGAGGATATATTGTATACATGTCCTGTAAATCAAAACAAACAAGCATTTGGTCTTTCTCATATATAAGCAGTGGCTAAGAAAAGGTTGATCAATCCTGAAATTCAGTCATCATACCTCAACTTGGCAGCAAGATCCCCCAAGGACAGAGGATATATTGTAAACCTGTCCTGTTAATCAAAACATTTTTGTGCCTTCAAAGGCTTAAGTAATCTGTGGTGTGTTCGGAGTTAGGCTATATGGCCGTTTTTGTTGTATGTTTATGTGGAGATTGAATATAACTGTGACCCTGTGCTTGTTTGTATACTTACGGTCAAACAGGGAACAGCACATTCACATAACATACTCTACTCACCTAGCACCTAACTCATAGCTGTACCCTGCAGGATCTGTACTTGTTCATGTCTCGAGCATTATAACAAAGCACTAAAGTAGCTTAGTAATCATTTCCCACATTTTCTGAGCATCTAACATGACATACAGCAGTGCAGAGCAGCTTCAGAGAAGAAACACTTTAAATGCACAGACTCACACCAGCCACCCAATTAGCCAGTTCCTCTGTTTCTGACTGTTTCCCTGGACACAGCTTGGCAATGTGAGCTAACTTTTGGCAAGTTGAAGGTTAGCAGGTAAGATTGAGTTAGGGTGAGTACCTACCTATAACTGGGTGCTACTGCCATGCAGGTCTTGGGTAGGCTGCAAATATGTGTGATGATTGAGGTTAGGTCAGCTGTCAGGTTAGTCAGGTTCAGGTATGCTCATTGCTCAGGTCACATTTTTATGGACATTTGGCAATTTAAAAAACTAACAATCTGATCTAATCTAACCCAACTAAACATACACAACTACTGACTATAGGAACTGAGCACCTACCTACTTGTGCCTACATCTCATACCATGTCAAAGTAGAGTTCATTGGTGGAAGATTACCCTCAGTACTTTTTATCCCAGCCCTGTGAAGAAAACTAATACTTCTAAGCTCTGAGTCACTGCTGGCCATCCACAGGAAGAAATGCTGAGACTGAGAGCTTTGCAATTGTATATTGGACCAATAATGACTAGACTATCACGAATGACTAGGAACACATAATATGATCACATCGTTGCATGGATTGTCACATTGACAATTTTACTACAATCCTTTTTTAAAGGGACCCTCCCACCTTAACATTAGATTTGAGTTGAGATAGCCAAATTGGTGGCCATGGCCTGAAAATACCGGTTTGGGCACTCACAACATCGAAAAATGCTTTAATTCGGAGATATCGAATTTCAAACTTGCAGTTTTCGGATTCTAAGGGGCTAATGCATTGGTATGCCCCCTTAGAATTTGTGACGTCAGCGGAGATCTAACTATTTTAAATCTTTTACTAAAACGTTTGGTAGCACGCGGTGGTATATGCTGCTTTGCGCGCAACAAATGCCGCACTTTCAAATAAAGTCGCTAGGAACAGCAGAGATCCCAAAAAGTAAACAAAAGTAAAAGTCTAATATCTTGAAAACCGGTGAATATTTTTCGATGAAATTTGGTAGATATTCGTTTTTGCTCTTTCTGAACCGAGCGACATCACTTTCATGCCAATTCATTAACTTTTTTGAAGGTGGGAGGGTCCCTTTAAAGAAATACAGTGATGATGATTAACATCAAAATCAACATAAAGTGGATTTAGTGATCCAAGCTTTCTCCTGGCCAGTAGCAATGGAATGATCGCATGTTTCATTTGCCAGACACTGAGTACCTGATGCACATTACAATCTGCATAGCAACTAAGCATAGTAAAACTGCCCAAGTCCATTCATTCTAGATTTTAACTTGATAGTTAGCACTAATTTATCTTGCTGTTGTAAGTTATCATTCAATATTCATACCAATACATCAATATGCGCTCATCAGTCAACATTTTCTGGCATGATCCTGCTCAGCGTGCCCTTCAGTATTGCTCCAAGGTCTGCAATATTATAGCTTGTTTTTGGACAATAAGCTCTTTTAATTTTACTTTTCCTTGCTGATATATGAGCCCGATCAACTTACGTTTATCAATCAAAATTTCATAACTTGTTCAACTTGATATTGATATTGCTCAGTAGTCAGGACCTCTGTCAGCCTCCTGGATACTTCAGATTGTTTTCAGTCAACATGCTTCTTAAATATGATATAAGTCAATCTTAAGGGATTCAAAACATCCAACAAAACGACGTACAAGAGCAAGAAAACCACCAGATAAACTAAAAAATGGCCTTGGAACAGAGCCAAGTTGTGTGCTCCATTTGTTTGTTTACAATGATTGTAGTGCTGGATGTATTTTTAGGACTCTGAACGTCGGCTTACAAAAAAATGAAACGTTTTTACAAAAGTTGTAAGGCAAGTAATATTTATCTGAAAGAACTAAAATATTCAAAAGCCAAACACTATGAAATACATGAATCGGAACGAAAAAGTAACCAAAAAATCCAGCCTAATCACCGGCTCCTAAAACTGCAACACAATCAGCACTTTTCCCCGCAACTCGTTGTCCAGACGTAAATATGCGAGCGTACCCCCCTGCCGCATACCAAGGCCCGCATTGGCCCGCATACACAACCATCAGTCCCACGCACAAGGGGGAAAAGCTCAAATTATTGAGCGCTCAAAAAATTGAGCGGGCCCCATTATGAAGGAATAGGCGAAGCGATGGTATTTTACAATGCCTCTAGCGTCACACTACGGGAAATATCGTATCCAAATAAGGTATCAATGGCAAGAGAGAGCAACAAGGTTTCTTCTCGAACACTCGCCGTGATAATTTATATCGGTGTTTTTGGAAAGAAAATGCCCTAAAGACGCTCAACTTTTTGAGCGCCACTTGTCGTTCGGGACCGCGATACTCAATAAATTGAGCGCCACGACAGACGACAGTCAGCTGGCGCTCAAAAAATTGAGTGCCGGCCAGCATCTACACTCAATTTATTGAGCCTTCTCCGTGACAGGTGAAGCCGGTACTGGATGCCATTTTTGATGTTATGTTCGTTGAAATACGTTAAACTGAGTTGAAACAGAAATGCAGGAAGTTTAATGCTACGTGGTACCTAAACAGGGGCGTAGGCAGGGGGGGGGGGCCACTGGGCCATGGCCCCCCCCTTGGGCGCCGAAGGCGCCCTTTGCGATTGGAGGGCGCCGAAGGCGCCCTCCAATCGCAAATGCAATTGTGATATAATCGAATCGAAAAACAATCGCGACTGGAGGGCGCCCTCCAATCGCGAATGTGTTTACAGGGAAAATACGGATGGAGGGCGCCCTCGGAGGACGCCCATTCCAAATACGCCCTCCAAATACGGTTGGAGGGCTCCCTCGGGCGCCCTCCAACCACATTTGTAGGCTGTAGCTCTCTAAGCGTAACGGTGGTCGCCTATGTAAGCCGCTGTCCTGTAAATAAGCGCCCTCTCACCCGAAGGCGCCCTCCTGTAGGTCGCCACCCTGCTACATATTGCCGCCCTTCTGCTGATCGGCGTCCTCATAATTATTGGCGCTCTCCTACCTATTGCGCCCTCATGTGAAATTTTGAAGGCCGCCTTTCTCCCTTTTGGCACCCTCTTGTTCAGTGCCGCCCTCCTACCTATTGGTTCCCTAGTCCTTCCTGTTGAATGTTAATCGGGGCCCTTCTCCTATTGGCGCCCTCGTGTAGATCGCCGCCCTCCTAACCACTGGCACCCTCCTGTTGATCACCGCCCTCCTATCCACTGGCACCTTCCTGTTGACTAGCGCCCTCCGCACAGACGCCCTCCTGTTCGTGTCATCCTCTTGAGCAAAGGCGCCCTCCTCACCATTGCCACCCCCATTTTAATCGTCACCCTTCCGCTCATTGGCGACTTCCAGTTGATGACCGCCCTCCCACCTATTGGCGACCTCTTGTTGATCGCCACCCTCCTATTGGTGCTCTCCTGTTCCTCGCCACCCTCTTACCTGGTGGCGCCCTCCTGTTGATTGTTGATCGGCGCCCTCCTACCTATTGGTGCCCTCCTGTTGATCGCTGCCCTTCTATCCATTGGCGCCCTCCTGCTGCTCGCCAACTTCCTACCTATCGGTGCCCTACTGTCGAAACTCGGGATGTTGATCGGGGCTCTTCTACCTATTAGTGCCCTCCTGTGGATCGCAGCCCTTCTACCTATTGGCAACATCCGTTGATCGCTGCCCTCCTATCATTTATTTACTCCTTTGGCATATTTTTCAACTTAGTCGTTCTATTGCACATAGTTGATGTCTTGCCTGTGAAAACTGCCACAAATGAACGTGCATTCAGCACAATGAATGAAGTATCTATACCTACCAAAACTATCTACGCTCTACGATGCATAAAACACGTCTTTGGTCTTAACGGATTGATCCTACTTTACGTGCATCATGGCATCTATATGGATTACGATTAAGTATTGTCAACAGGTTCGGGCGCAACAGCAGGCATCTGAAGTTTCGGTGATTGAAACTGGTTATGTGGGTACACTGTATGCATCTGTGAGAAGGCTATGAAGGCTGGTCTGAGGTAATTTGGATGATGTTTACGCATCTCGCGCTCCGGTATCAATCCGATACGGTGATCTGGTGCGTAGATATGCCACCGCCAATAAACTTTTATACATCGACACCCATGAGCCAAGCTTTCTGTACAGTTTGTGTGGCAGCGGCCCGACCAAACCTTAGGTATTTTTTACACCTTCAAATTTGGTAAAAGAGCGAGAGGAGCTTTGAACAGTGATCGTATAAAAGGCGTGCCTAAAAAGCGGAGGAAAAGGTTGTTTTCAAAAATTTCGCGCGCCTTCGGCGCAGCATTTCAAGAACACTTGACCTTTTGTGACCTGGAGTATAAAGAATACACACGATGCAAAATCAATGCAGCACGACCTATACGAGGTTACGCAAAAAAAAAACTGGTGGCATGGTAAAAAACGCCTCCCAGCCCCCCAACCCCCACTGAGCGATTTTTTATCTCGCGACCGTATGGCGCCCTCCTTGGGTGAGGTGGCGCCCTCCAAACCCTTGGCCCCCCCCTTCGCGATTTTCTAAATACGCCGCTGTACCTAAACTTCTCACAAACCCATGGCATCATGTCACATTTTCCGCTAGTAGTTTTATCGGTCGCCTTTCGGATTCGGCACACCTCAAATAATTATACAGGGCTTGAATAATCCGTATGAATACTGTATTGATATTTTCTGACTGTACTGGGAGAAGGGAATACGTGATTACAGAAAGATATCCACCCACGCTTGAATATTGGAGAATTATACAGGAAAAACTGTATTGCCACGGTTACAACTTACAAGGCCATCGGCCGCAAACAAACAAAAATACTATACAATGTGGGTTAGATTCACAAACATCATCAAGTGTGGAACACAGAGACGAGCAAAACAACATCACATTATCGCATGCCAGCCCGACCACATTGGAACCGGGTGACCTTCGACCGGAACCTGCGTCTTGCCAGCATACATCACAAAAGCAGGAGGCAGTGTCGTACTGCTTTGATCCAAAATATGCCATATAACAAATGATATAAACGACCTAAGCTCGGACTAAGCTTATCATTATCAAATCCTTAACATGTAAAAGACGAATGGAAACATCGAGTCTCAGACCAGCAGTAGCAACCATCACAGTAGCAACATCACAAAGAACACGCGGCATTATCAGACAGCCGTTTTGTTATCGGGCTACAGGCGGCGACGGCGTGGTTGCAGACCAGCTGCGAGGTAGCGGCGTGCGGGCAAAAGGCGCGGGCACACCTCCATGTGGCCGTGCGGACAGTGCGCGGTCGGCGTCGCATAGTGGGCGCCGGGCGGCATCGGGCTGTCCCGGGGCCGTCGAAGCCGCACAGGTTGTCGGCGCATGTGGGCGCGCGCGGTCACCACGGCCAGCTGCTCACCACCAGCACAGACTGCGCAGCGTCGCCGCTCCGCCGGCCAGAACACGCAGACAACCCTTCTTGCAGTCGCACAAAACGTCGCCAAACTCATTCACCTGCTCCACCATGTTGTTGATGTCACCGAGTCGTTCAAGTTGTGGCTCGTGCCGTCGAGCATGACCTGCCCGATCGGACACGGGTCAGCGGCTTCTGCTCCAGCGAAGTCTTCATCTTGGTGACGTCTTGCTGATCTCCACAAAGGCTGAGCAGATGACCTTACCCACAGGGATGGCCGACGTCCTCGCCAGCCACCGCTTGGTTGTGCAGACCTGCCAGAAAAAGAAAAGCTGTTTGGTGATCTCAAACGATTTTTTTCTTTATGCAGTGGAACAAAATGGAAAATATGTCATACAACAGGAACTAAAAAAAGATGCAGCCTAGGTCGTCTAAGAAATGGGTGCAACATTGATAAAATTCTTCCTTGAATGAATTCTACAAATGCTTTTGATAAAATGCGTGGTGATTATAAGGAGACCACTTTACTATAAAATTGCTCAGGATTCCCTATCTGGACCTATCAAAAAATCCTGACTGCACACCAACAATGAGCATTAAATCCGAAACCTCTACCAGGTACTTAGGGATAATTAAATTCTGATTCAGGAAAATATTTCACATCATACAAATAAAAACCTTTACTATATTGAAACTGAAAATGTGATGCCGATCCAGTGACCTAAGGGTCTCAAAGTATAATAATGAATTAATCTATTATAAATTTGGTGGTGACTGCCAACTGGCGTCTGGCAGCCTAGACCTTGAGGCTTGAAAGTGGCCTTCCTTTTCCGTTGACTCCGATCCTCCAGATGGAAATGATATATAGGATCATTTTTATCTTATTTCAAATGAGCCAGTCAGCAAAGTGGCTATCCTGTTTCAGCATTCACACACACAATAGTTGACTGTCAGTCTGTCATGCTGTCAGTGTTGTGAAGTAATGAAGGAGTTGAGTTTTGTTGATTATAAATTGTGATGTTATGTAAAGGACTGGAAAATGAATGTGAAAACTATGGACACATATTGGCAGAGTATTGTCACTTACTATCAGGACATATGGATAGAGAATACATTCAAATTAATAAGAAATGCCAAATATCAAGGTACTCAATCACTGATAGCAGTGGACTATCATATGTTTTAATGTCAATTATATGAAAGTTAAGACTGAAACTACCTTTTACTTCATCATACCTAATGAAAAATTGTGTGAAGAAAACATTCACAGCCTCTTTGAAGCACTTAGACCACTAAAAAACAAAAATTTTCACGTAAATATGTTGTGTCTCTTTCCCTCAAAACATCATATCGGATGGCGCCACTTTCGTCGACAGTTACTTATCTGCACGCAAATCGAGGAAAACGTGAATTGATTGACGTTTACGTGTTTCCAAATTTAAAATCACAGCATATTCAAACTTTTCAGTGTACCTTTTAACATCTAAATATAACTAAAACGATAAAAACTTACCTTCAACACAAGGACGACGACAACCACCCGACCGGAGACGTCGCGACGAAATAAACAAACGGCGCCGCCAAATGAAAAATATTCTCCAATATGGGTGATGTGAAATTGAGTCGCAATCATTTTGGGTAGTATGAAAAATGCTCTTTCCAACAGAACCCTAGTAAAAAACGTGAATGGACAAAAAATAACTTTTATTTCGACATAAATATTGGCCTGTTTTTAAGGCATCCTGGTATGCCGTAAGATTTCGACCTAGAAATTGGTGTTCCCCCAATCATTGAAGCTTGAGCAGTGAAAAATATGAAAGCCTAATCTGTTTTGCATCATTAGTGATTCTCCTAGGGTGTTGCCATTTCTCCCTAGGTGTTGCGAGTTGCTTTTGCAAAACGTGTTCCTGAAACGGCTCAATTTTTTGAGCCCTCAGCATTACGCCTATGGGGGCCTCTGACGTCACACGCTCAATATTTTGAGCGCTCAATAATTTGAGCTTTTCCCCCTTGTGCGTGGGACTGCCATTGCCTTGCCCTTGAGGCATCGACGCAGAAGCATTACCAAAATAAACACCCGAACCCAAACACAGACCATGAACCTTGTATAGCATAAGGTGTGGCTTACTCCACCGGAGCACAACTCATATCTTCCACTCACCACTCACCAGTCACCAATACACAAGGTAGGTACCCGCACTCCATTTCAGACGAGCAAACTCGGCGGTGACTCTCAAGTCTCAAGTCTCACATCCTCACACCCCTGTAATCACTCGACCTCCACTCGCGCAGTTTGGCGCAGTGCCCTCACCGGAGCCATGGGCGTGTTTGTGGGTGTGGACGTGGGCACGGGCAGCGTCCGTGCGGCCGTGTTCGAGGCGGACGGCCGACTTCTGGCCTCGCACTCGCTGCCCATCGCCACCTGGAGTCCCCAGCCTGACCTGTACCAGCAGGACTCGGAGGCAATATGGAACGCCTGCTGCACCTCGGTCAAGGTAAACGCGGTGGCTTAGATCGCGATTATTGTAGAATAGTAGGTAGGTACGTTTGTTATTAGTGTATGACCGAGGACGGCTTTTGCGCTCGACCGCGATATTGTTTTATCAATTGTTTCGCATGGATAATGGAAGGATTCTGTCTAAAATCTGAATCATTTATTATCGCAGATCGTCATGTTATTTGACCCTAACGGGATTCCCGACTCGCCGCCCGTTATGTGTTCTATCCGGCCTGATCGTGTCACCGTGTGCTTGTATCGTATCTCTCCCGATCTTGGGCTCGTATCCCCGCCCGGTCTGAGTGTTCGTATCCCTCCCGACGGTGTTTTCTTATCCTGTCCAGCCTTCGCTCATATCCGCCCGTTCTTTGTATTCGCATCACTCCGGTCCGTGTATTCGTGTCCCGCCCCAAAATTTTTACATCTCGCCCGGTCTGTGTTCGTATCCGGCCCGATCGTGTGTTCGAATCCCGCCCGGTCTCTGTTTTCAGACAGCTCTGTCGGAGAGCGGCGCCGACCCGGCCACGGTGCTCGGTATCGGGTTCGACGCCACCTGCTCGCTGGTTGTTCTCGACACTGATCTGCGACCGCTCACCGTCAGCCCTCAGGGTACCTACGTTTTTTTCGGTGGCGATTAGCGACACTTGCCGGCTCTCACTCGCTCATTAGGATTCATGATGGTCGATGGATGTTGATATTTACACACAAACGCAGATTTGGGACCATAACCCTCGCCGGCACAGGCCATTTTGCGTCCTTCGACGGCACAAGGAGAGGGGGGGGGGGGTGGCACGACCCCCCCCTCGCGTTTGGTCCCTGATCGAGCTAGAGCTTCGCAGAAAAAAACGAGCGTGTTGCCCGTCATGAGAGGAAGCCGATGATATCCAATTTTAAGTTCCTAGGTCATCGGGTGACCTTCCAGGTCAGGTCAATGACATGAAAATCGGGAAAATCGGGACCTGTCAGAAAGTCGTTAAGTGAGGCTGCTATGGGGTTTTCCGGGGTGCTGATCACGAATATCGTGTTAGTTTTGATCAGAGATGACATGTTTTTAAGCATTTAGATCAGGTCGGGTCAGGTCAGGTCAACCGGTAGGGGTCGTGACGGGTATTCGTAATACGTGTCAACCGCCTCTGACAGCTTCGTAACATATTACGAAGGCACCAAAACTACTTCGTAAATGTTCAAATGGCTGCTAAATTCGAAATCAGCTCCAAAAACTAGCCTAGAAACATGTAAACTCGAAAAAGTGAACCGAGGTCACCAAAGGTCAATGACCTGACCTGACCTTCAGGTGACCTTGACATCGACCCTTATGCATGGGAGCAACATCGAATCACATGTTTGAACGCTTGAAACCTCGAAAAGCTTGCAAACGCGCGGCTAATGCGACCTGACATGCGCCGAATCGCGATTCCGGCCAAACATCGTCTCGGAAAGTAGGTTACAGGTCAAAGATCATTTGAGTCAGGGTCATGAAATTTTCAGGTTAGGTGTAAAATTGATCAATGTGAGGGTGCTGAAAGTTTCGTCGCGATCGGCCGCTTTTTACGCGAGTTATTTGCGAAAAAAATCCTAGCCCCCCCTCCCCCCCGCGCCGGCGAGGGATAATGGAAATAGCCGTATTCCATGAAATGTGTAAGTAACGTGCTACATTGGTGATTTTAAGTATTATGATGCCATGTTTTTTTCTAACCGTATGTTTTGGCGTTAATTAGATCCTTACTTTAGTCAGTAATCTGTCCGTCGCCGTTTTCTTATATTTACGTCAACACTGCAGTGCAGTGCACTGCACGACTACGCCAACACTGCCAACACTGTCCACTACCGCACAGGCGAGCCGGACCAGAATATCATCGTCTGGATGGACCACCGGGCGGTGGAGGAGGCCAAACTCATCAACAGCCTCGGCCACCCGGTGCTGAAGTCGGTCGGGGGCACCATCTCGCCCGAGATGCAGACGCCCAAGCTGCTGTGGCTGCAGCAGCACATGCCCGACACCTGGCATCGGGCCGGCATGTTCTTCGACCTGCCCGACTTCCTGACGTGGAAGGCCACCGGATCGCTCACCAGGTGCGATAACGTTGATGTTAACACGTGGTTATCCGTTTCTCTCGTTATTTCATTATCATTTTACATACATCAACAGTACTCTAACTGTAACCTTTCATCTGATTTCCTCTCCGGTTAATCCGTACTGTTGATCGTTTTTTTTTAAGCAATTTCGATTGCGCGAAACGCCTTGTGATTAAATTGACTCGTGAACGCGTGGTAAAGAGGTGAGATACCGTGTTTTACGTTTTTGAGATACCAATCTACGCCGATTCATACCCCCCATTTTTTCACACTTACCTATCCACATTTGAGGCACTTTTTGACATCCCAGAATTCTTACCTCGCAGGTCCCTCTGCACCGTCGTGTGTAAATGGACGTACCAGGCCGGTGACAAGGAGACGGAGGGATGGGACAGGACCTACTTTGAACAGATCGGGCTCGGCGGCCTAGCGGAGGAGGGATGGAAACGTATCGGTACGTATGATGAAGCTTAGCATTCCCGAAAGACAGATTGTAACGTAAATTTTGTAACTTGAAGTTCGAGAAGTATGTAGTAGCGTTCGTAATTGTCTTGCATGCGACATTGTATTCTGCTTTAGTGTGGGTAGGTATGCTTTGTAGAAGTTGAATTCCCTATGCTCTTAGCACCTTGTTTTGCTATTCTTTTCCGATCGGTTGTTGTATTACTGAAGCATTGCTGAATTATTATATGAGATGATTACGCAAACCAAATTCAGCCCATATTTACCGACCACGCCCGCTGTATCCCGGTCAGGCACGGAGGTGGCGGCGCCGGGCTCACCCCTAGGTGAAGGTGTAACTGAGGAGGCCGCCGAGCGTCTGGGAGTGCCGGCCGGTACCCCTGTGGGTGCGGCGCTCATTGACGCGCACGCCGGCGGCCTTGGCCTGATGGCTATCAGAGACCAGTTCGAGGACCCCTGCACCAGACTCGGTGAGTGTAGAGTCGGGAGAGGTAAGGGTTGCGACTTGAGACTCTCCTGCCGTAGGAAGCGTGTGCCTAGTTCACGGCCAATATCAAAACCACACGCTGCCATTCGAGTATCCGTGAATGTTGCATAGAACTGGATAATGTCGACTTGTCACAATATTTTCTTACGTAAAAATCGTTTAGTGGCACGGGCTCAGATTTACATGCTCATCGTGTCTATATTGTAAAGTGAGCGCTGCAAAATTGTCTCATTTCATCTCACACCCAGTCTGTATTCTTTCCCTAGTCCTGACCAAACACTTTGAGCGGCTGATCCTCACACCCATTCGTTCCACCGCAGGCATCATCGCCGGCACATCCTCGTGCTTCATGGCGGTGAGCCGGGAGCCCTGTCCGGTCTCCGGTGTGTGGGGTCCCTACTGGAGCGCCATGCTGCCCGGTCTATGGCTCAGCGAGGGAGGTCAGAGCGCCTCGGGACGCCTGCTGGAGTATGTCATCAACAGCCACCCGCTGGGCCAGGCGGCGACTGAGAACAACAGGTGGGTGTTTGGATAGGAGGCTGAGGCCGAGGTATCTCGGTATGACAGTTTGATCGCTTGAATGAATAGTTGCGACTTGGCGCTTGGGCTATGCAATATGTATGTGTACAAGGGCATAGGCCTGGTAAACGACTATGCGACGATATAACGGCGATACTTCCGTCAGATACTCTTCGATTTTCAACCTTTTCCCAAGAAATTGATAACGACGCCTAATCATGCTGTCATGTAAAAATTTCAATAAAATACGTCTTGTCTAATCTTATTGTCCAATGTGTCCCACGACAGGCCTGTTCAGGAAGACCTGGAGGAACTGCTGTCGACTATGGCCAAAGATCGGGGACTCTCGGACGTAACGCTGCTCACCAGTGATCTCCACGTGTACCCGGATCACCATGGCAACCGGTCACCGCACGCCGACACCACTCTTCGGGGAATGGTGGGCAGGCTGACATTTTGCGCTAAATTCTCCGCGAAAACGTCATACGACACAATGAGAAAGGTTCAATACCTACCAGTAAAACGCCTTTTGGGCGAAGAACGAGCGAGCGAGATAGTGAGCCCTGCACGTGCAGAAGGGCGAGAGGGTTCTTCCAACGGGCTTGTGCAAAGCACCCTTCTAACCGGTCGCTAGCGGTGTACCAAATTTGAACGCAATCGGCCCAGCCGTTCCTGAGATCTGGAAGCGGCATTCTGCACGTGCGCACGTGCAAACGGGGTCCAAAATGACTTTTGCACGGCACCCTACTAACCGGTCCCAAACCGTGTACCAAATTTGAGCGCAATCGGCCCAGCCGTTCTCGAGATCTGGAAACGCCCCCTGCACGTGCGCACGTGCAGTAGCACCCTAACCACAACACATGGGAATGCATTGCCTGGTGGGTGCCTACTAGTGGTGCCAATTTCATGAAATTTCAATTCCAATTCCGATCCAATTCCAAGAAATTGCCAAGTATATTTCCAATTTTGTCCAAAGCGGGGGCTATTCCAATTTTTAACGATTTTTGCATTTTTTTGCGTAAATTTTAAAAGTGTTTAAAAGCGTTTTAAAGGCCTCCGTTTTAAAATTTTAAATTTTAAAGGCCTTGTGTTCCGATTAATTTCCAAAAAATGTTAAGAATTCCGTCCAAATTCCAAATTGGAATTGGACAAAAATTGGAATTCCAAGAAAAGAAATTCCGATTGGCACCAATAGTGCCTACCTGTATGCCAAGTTTCAGCGAAATCGCCCCAGTAATTACCGAGTTACTGAAATGGGAACAAATTTGGCACCTCTTATTGTTGTATTTTGCACGTGCAGTGGGGGTCACTCACATAGATGAAGAGTATCCGACCTTTGGTAGAAGGGATGCAGCTACCCTATAAAAATGACCGCAAGACAATCGCTCAAGCCGCTGCTGAGATATGGGCCTCTCAAAATCATTACTTTTGCAAAACTGCTTGAACACCCTCGACTTTTCACGTGGCACGTGCCACTGCGGTCACTGAGATGTATCAAAAGTAGTCAATTACGGGGTAGAAGGGATGGGGCTACCCAGCAAAAAAGACCGCAGGCCATTCGGTCCAGCGGTTGCTGAGATATAAGCCTCTCAAAAGCGTTACAGGCCGGGCCGGGCCGGGCCGCTCATACTGAGATTTTTCCGTTATATTGAAAAGACTTCGCTTCGCTCGCTGCGCTCGCTCGCTCGTAATAACAGTCGATCGAATCCAGAATCCTCTTCGACTTTTCGGTTGCACCGTCCAAAATTAAAGTTTTATTATGCATGCTAAAAGTACAGTAAAATTGTTGTGGGAGATAGGTGGTAGACCTTCGATGACATCGGATATTCCTTTTACTCGATGGATCCACTCTGAACATTCGATTCCCCGTTCCCCGATTCCCGTTTAGGCACTAACGGACAACGCTATGCCATGTTTCGATTAGGATGAGGTTTATTTTGTTTCTTCCTCAGGTCAGCGGTTTGACGCTGGATACGGGCCGACAGAGCCTGGCCAAATACTATCTCGCCCACCTACAGGCCATCTGCGTACGTATCTGAAATCTGAATCAAACATAACATACAAGCCATAGTAATATGAATAACTAGTTATGTAATGTAATTCAAAACCTAGGCCACACATGAAATCGCTACATCGAGCTGAAGTTCGAAATAAAACACATTCAGCTCTAAGAAAGTATCTAGCTTTTCATAACTTACTCGATTTTAGCTTTGTTTTCTTTCTTTGTCGTTTGTACCAACCTGACTACGATTGTAAAACTCTGCCCCAAAAGTCAAACCCTGACGCACCGAATCATCCCCTGTCTGCAGTACGGCTCTCGGTCTATCGTGGAAGCTCTGAGTTCGGGTGGCCACCGGATCGAGGCGGTCTACATCTGCGGAGGAATCGCCAAGTCGTCCCTGTTCGTTCAGACGCTGGCCGACGTTCTCGGTACGTCTATGGAGGGGGGAGGAGGGGGGGGGGGAGATCTGGAGTGCTGTGATAGCGTGAGTAAGAGGCGAAATTATAAATAGGACGGTGGATGCCTGGTTTGCTGTCTGTGGGGCTGGCTATCGCCGGTTGGTGCATATTATACCGTGAGAGGTCTCGAACAAATCTGTCGATTTCGTTTCGTCCTTTTTTCGTTTGGGGAAATATGTAGAGTCGCAGGAGATGTAGCGTGCGATCGTAGAGTCGCACGTGTAAAGGATATTACTTTCCCGTGACCTGTGACTCTTCCCGATGACCTGTCCCTCTATGTAGGACGTGTTCTCGTGACCCAGACCCGATGTTCCCCTCTTCAGGTGTTCCCGTGACCTGTCCCTCTATGTAGGTGTTCTCGTGACCCCGATGTACCCCTCCCCAGGTGTTCCCGTGACCTGCCCCTCCCAGCCGGAGGCGGTGCTACTCGGAGCGGCAATGCTCGGCGCCGTCGCCTCAGGGCTGACCCTGGACGATGTCAGAGGTCAAATCTGCCGTACAAAGGAAGAAAGCCGTAAGCGCCACTTTTACCGAAAATGAGTTATTGGTATCATTGGAATCGTCATGTTATTCTGCATCTAACCATATACATTACACAGATATTAAATGATTTTATACCAAGTTATACAAGAATAAAATATTTCAAAATAACCTTATGTCACATAAAGCATTTTATAATACTGGCAAATAAACGTATCTTTGACAAAAAAACGTATGATCAACGAAAAATCGGCTAAAACTCGGAGTAACCATGGATAAAAGACGCAAGTGCTCAGTTACGTTTATTTGCCACCATACATTGTCAACATGGTACAACGGAAAATAAACTTACAGATGGATATACGTTTATTTGCCTTGGTAGAAACCGAAAAAATGCACTTACGTTTATCTTCCATTCTGGAAAGGATTGTCCGACAATTTCGGCCAGCCGTATGTGGGCGTATACGTTTATTTTCCTGGTCACCCTGCCGAATTTCTAATGGCAAAAAGACGTACGATGGACTTACGGTTTTTATCCATTGTCAGTATACCCGTCCCCAAGCAAAATGGCAAGCTCGATGGACATACGTTTATTTGCCATAGCACCTGGAGGTTCCTGGAGGCCGGTGCCGGTGCTGGCCCCCGCGGCCGAGGCACCGTCCGTGCCGGGGCTGGCCCCTGTGGCAGGACCGCCGCCCGTGCCGGTGCTGGTCCCTGTGTCAGGACCGCCGCCCGTGCCGGTGCTGGCCCACACGGACGAGGCACCGTCCGTGCCGGGGCTGGCCCCTGTGACAGGACCGCCGCCCGTGCCGGTGCTGGCCCCCGCGGCCGAGGCGCCGCCCGTGCCGGGGCTGGATCCCGTGTCAGGACCGCCGCCCGTGCCGGGGCTGGCCCCTGTGACAGGACCGCCGCCCGTGTCGGTGCTGGCCCCCGCGGCCGAGGAGCCGCTCGTGCCGGGGCTGGCCCCTGTGTCAGGACCGCCGCCCGTGCCGGTGCTGGTCCCCGCGGCCGAGGCGCCGCCCGTGCCGGGGCTGGAGCCGGTGCTGGCCCCCACGGCCGAGGCGCCGTCCGTGCCGGTGACTGCGGTGCTGCCGGCGTTGGCGGTAACACTTCCCACTGGCATTGACGGTAGCGGAGACCACGCGGGAATGGGCTCCATCCAGGGAGCAGAGACAAGCATGGACACATCCTGGGGCATCGTCTTGGATGATTCAGCGGTGGAACTGGACGATATCAATATGCTGTGCGCCATTGGCTCCAGCATGGACATGGACGCAGGTGAAACGTCCATCACTGGCGATGCAACGAACGGGGACTATGAACCTGAGCGATATTCCCAGAACGATGCCGGAGCTAGCAGTGCACCAGTACCGACCACACCAGACGACCAGACGCACACACCTGACGACCCGGCGCACACATCCCCGAGGAGACCTCGGACAATGGAACAACAGATACATGCATATGCTGCGAAACATGCTGTATTATCCCCGCCGCCTGCGTGCGCTGATGGACGCTGTCCCAACGGTTGTGCCGAAAAGGTCAGTGAAACTGACAGGCGCAGGATAAACAAAGAGGTAAACAACATGCCAACTGAGGTAAGAAGAGAGTGGATCTGTGCCCACGTGATGGAACTAGATGTAAAGCGCTGCCGGAAGCGTAAGGCAGAAGAGGGTGGTGACACTGGAGGCTCTAGGCGGAAGAGGACGAGGGAATGGTATCTCCCGTCAGACCGGAGGAAAATCAAGGTGTGCAAGGGATATTTCCTTACCTCACTGGGGATGAAACCTACCAACGACACGCCGGTGCGGAATGCGCTGGAAAGGGAAGACATGACGGCGGTTGCACCCAAGGACAGACGAGGTGACAGCGCAGCAGCCAACAAGTGTGACCGCGAGGCCATAAAGGAGCATATCATGTCCTTCGAGCCCGCAGTGCCGCATTATAGATACCTCCATGCGCCGAACAGAAGGTATCTTCCGCCCGAACTGTCTGTATGCAAGATGTACAGGGACTTTAAAGCCAGTCGTGAGAGTGCATGTTCTTTTGAAACGTACCGGAAGGTCCTCAAGGACCTCAACATCGGCTTTACGCACCTGTCCGGGGAGGAATGTGAGACCTGCAAGCTTGAAGCTGCACGCGGTACACAAAGGAGAGTGCAGCGAGACGGAAGGCGACGGCGGATGCGAGGTCTGCACAAGACACAGAGGTCACATGGCACAGGCTCGACGAGCAAGACAGGAATATCGCTATGATGCCGAACGCGACTGGGACGACAACGAGCTGGTGCTGAGTGCGGATATGATGAAAGTTTGCATGCTTCCAATCCTGCCGCACAAGACCTGTCTCTTCACCAGACGCATCGTGGCGTACAACGAGACATTCAGCTTGATCCAGTCTACTGACAAGAGGAGGAGCAGGGCAAACAAGGAGAGAGGCCTGGCGGTGCTTTGGCACGAGGGGGTCTCAGAGCGAAAGGCGGGTGACGTAGCAAGCTCCTATCTGGCCCTCATCAAGGCCAACCGAGACACGAAGCAGTTCACCATCTTCTGCGACAACTGCTCTTCGCAAAATAAGTGCTGGGTGGTGCTGTCAGTTCTCCTGCATGCTGTGCAGTCAAGTGACCTGGCTGTTCAGCAAATCACGCTGAAATCTCACCACCGGACATACGGCGATGTCAGCAGACGCCGATCATCAAGTCATAAACAAAAGCATAAAGCGAAAGAAGTCAATCGAGGATTTCAATGACTTCGTTGAGACTGTCGCAAGCACGGGCCTGCGGGTGAAGAACATGAGCGGCACAGACTTCGTCGAGGCGGAGAACGTGTTCAGTGAGGCGAAGATTCGCTTACTCCAGGGCATAGAGGCACGCCCGTATCTCCGAGACTTCCAGGTGGTGCAAGTGAGGAAAGGGTCAGGACTGCTCTACACAAAGAGCAGCTTCGACCAGAGTGACTGGAAGACGTACAACCTGCTCAAAGCCAAAGTCAGCATCGACCGTCCCCTGAAGATGCGGGAGAAGGAGCGGTGTGTCAACAAGCAGAAGATCGACCAGCTGTGCGACAACCTGCTCAGCTTGATCAGCAGCCACAAGCGGTCCTTCTGGGTGACTCTGAAGGAAAACGCCAAGACGAGTGTGCGGGATCTGATTGGCTAGGCAGACGAGAAAGCAATACACAGGCTTGCAGACTCGCAACGCATCGAGGACCACACAAATGATTCAGTTAGTCGCGAAGGACTTGTCGAGTCCGTTTTTCTATTATCCCGCATTCGATTGCGGTACACGAGTTTCAGTTGTTCGCGGGTGAATTGTTAGGCCCGTTGTTGTTACCCCGCATTCGATTGCGGCACACAACATTCAGTGGGTCGCGGATGGATTTTTAAATCAATTTTATTGTTACCCTGTATTTGACTGTTCTCTGCCAGTGAGTACTCAGTCTGGCTGTTCTGTGCAATGACAGCCGTCACTGTGACTGTCACTGTCACTGTGACAGCTCTGACTGTGCAGTGTTTAATACACATATTGTTATATTCAATATCACCCAAAGTTCACAGCACCCTGTTGTTTTACAGCTGTGCCTGAATACACGCCATTGTGTGATTTTCAATACATCTTCATTCATTCATTCATTCATTTCTTTCACTTCCGGTGGAGCATACGTCTTTTTTATGGTCGTTTTGGCGAAGCGTGGACAATATCGACAAAGGGCAGAAAATCGGACAGTGGACTTACGTTTCTGATATAGTCAGTAAGATTGCAATAGCCAGGAAGCACCCAAAATAGAAAACGTATGTTGTTAGATACGGTTTTATGCGCGTAGATTATTAGTCATGGTGACCAAGGCAAGAAAACGTATAGGAACCGTATCCGCCACCTTCCGTGTCGGCTGTGACTTACGTTTTTTTGCCTCGACATTTTTCTCGAGATTGGGTTAATACGCAAAGGCAATTAAACTTTTTCGAATTATCTCGATAGGTTTATATTTTTAAAAATAAAATCATATACCAATGTCATGCCCGTTCAAAGGCGGTTATTTTGATACCCAATTTACACAAAAGAATGCAGCAAGTTTTCATGTGTTGCGCAAAACACGAAAAAATGCTCTCCTGTAAAATTTGTTCAATGGCGCTTACGGTTTTCTTCCTTTGCACGGCAGAAATAAGCGGCGCGGGCACCAGCGTGTCACCCCGACCGGAACTGGAGATGTGAGTAACTTAGTTGCGCTGTACTGGGCGCACTGCAGGAATTGGGCGGGATTCGGGGATCAGCTCACAGTGAAAATGTTCTGAGCAATCGTTACATGTTTCGGCAGCTGGGTGACGATGAAGTTACTATCTTCATGCAGGTTGTTCTTTTGATTTACAACTATGTGTTGTAATAGGGAATGGGTCAATGATCGTTTAGCGTTCTGAAGTAGTAAATCGTTTTATTTCCTGTATTTTCAGTTTTTTTCTTCAATTCTCTGTGAAACCTATCGTTAATGGTATGGCATTTTCGTTTCATGTTTGATATTTGTATTTCTCGTGTCCCGAAAATCATAGCTAAAGTCGATATTTTTCCGTTTTAAAATATGTTGATGCACAACACAACCCAGAAGCAAAGGAAACAGAGTTAATTAACGGAAAACTTATTGCATTGTCGATTAAAGCCTCGATAGTTGTGTTGACGCTGTTGTTTCTTTCAGGTTCCATTTGAAGAAGTACAAAGTTTTCCAGAAGATGCACCGCGATCAGCTGACTTATAAGGAGATCATGGAAGGGTCTATGAAGTAAAAACTCAGGCCTGGCGGAATATAACTAAACTACCGCATCTGGTGGGTTTTTGTGTGAGTTGAGCTCACTGCTTATATGCTATGGTGCATATATTTTTGATATTTTTGCCTTTCAAAGGTTGATCATGACGACCTAATTATGCAATGTGCAATTTAAGGCTACGAGCTTACGACCAAGCCGTTTCGCAGGAACGGTATGTGGATTGTGGGGGTATGGGGATAGGACGAGTCGCGGGCTCGAATCTATAGTTCACAGGTGAAACGTGAGCGTTACATAAGTATGTGTTTGAGGGTGACAACATTTTATGTGACTAATTGTCCGAATGATTTCATTGAATGGGAAATAAACGATATAATAAATAAATAAACGATGATAGCTGCATTTGAAACGGATGCGTAATTTTTATCCATACTTACCCATATAAGGTATCCGATCCGATATCACCGTGGATAGCTTGAACTGCTGTGTCGTGTTTCAGCTTGGTATCTGCTTTTAATCGTAGAAGCTAAGCTGGAGTATGCTATGCACTTATATGCAGTGCATACCGCAGATCATATGCGTGCACACTGCACAGGGCATACTATGCACGCTCGTCTAGGGTCGTGCACAAGCTAAAAACTGGGCGCGGACAAGCCGACTGCGACTGCATTTCTTCTGTCTTCCGTGAATGACTGTTGTGGAGGGCGGATGGTCTGTGTAGTGCTACGCAGAAGTCCCTTTCACCAGGCTGTAATTCTACTACTCAAAGAACAGAGGCCAGAGGGGCGTTTGTTTTGATGAAACTGATGCGGTCACAGAGTAGGAGGAAATGAGCTGGTCGAGAAGTGGAGTAATTGCACTCGGACGTAACAACAAACACGTGGTAGCATCCTTTGCAGTTTGTGCTAATTTTCAACCAGCACGTCGCAACTCGCCGGACGCCGATGCCGGCCAAATACTCGCCCAGCTGCGGCAGGAGCCGCCCTAACAAGAGCGCCTGGACAGTGGACAGCCGGTTGCTGGTTTGTCCGGTAAAACGGCAGCCGGCCAACATCGTGGTACCGGGGGCGAACCGTGGTTGTGTTTGCAGCAGAGCTAGGACTAGAGGGAGATGTGTAAAAAATATATAAGCATATTTTAGCTCGGACCACGCGTTACTGGCTACCAAAGTGCGTTAGAAATCAAGTAAAATTACCTTTGTTTGGCAGCGCATATGGCTGCAAAAAAATAGCGACAGATCTGGTATCTGAGTTTCGTTCAAAACATATTCAATTAGATGTATCATCTGCGAACGGTGACAATTCGTGACATGTATGGAATCTTGAACGCGAGCCATACCAGCGTGCATGAGCAGAGTTCTGAACATATTTTTGTGCTTCATAAAACCTACATTATTTGTTGTGGGACATGCCATGGCAATGTGCTTTTGATGCTCGTGCATAGAAACTTAGATGGGATTAGGCATCAATATATGGTAGATTTTTATTGCAATTTATTGCTACCGATCGTTTCATCACTAGCTCGTACAAATAGCCATGGTCATGGAGAGAATAGTAAAAACGGCGGTCGTTCTAAGGAATAATTGGAAAAAGTCCGTCTTTGCTTCCCTATGTGCACTGTATGGTGGTAACTATGCTGTTGGAAAATATCGGTAAGTGTTATGCGCTGGATGGAGCCATCACACATATATCAAAGCTCCTTGCCTGCAGATAAAGCTATCGGATATGATTTCCTGTGTAGTCTAGTTTTTGTCGACTGTCGGGTCTCCACGTGTCATAGCAGTGTGGTGGCTTGGTTTCTACAGTGCCCTAGTTTCTACCTACTGTCTATATTCTAATGCTCAAGTGACACACTCACCAGTAAGCTTTTGTTGCACATACCTGTGGGGATTTTTCGTAGCAAATTGTGTGCAATTTGTCAGTTTTTTATTTCTCTAGTGGTATTGGAATTGCAAATGTCTGATTCAAACCAGTTAATGTCTCTTTATGTCTTAATATGAATATTCTCAATCAAATCATCTGTCTTTTTCAGGGAAGCATTGTATATGCATGAGATATGTTTGGAAGCAAAGGCTTTTGGAGATGCTCCTCTCCCAACAACTGCTAAGCCACGCCATGTGACAGTCATTTTGAACCCGGCTGCCAATGATGGGTGAGTCCAGCTGTGACACCATGCTACACCAACAGCTTATGAATCAATTATCATGCTTATTTCTCAATAGTCCACATTGACATGAAATATGAATCATTTTTTTTCTTCAAAAAGATGGTGCATGCACACAAAAAAATGAACCAAGTAAGCCAGATACAGATTTGCTGTTGTTACTATAGCTGTTATAGCTTTGCCTGAGGAAATAATGGCCATTTGAAGTTTAAGGTGTGGTTTCATAAGGAGCTGTGGTAGCTGCAAATGGAATCTCCCAACCTGTTTTCTCATCAGCATATTACAGCAGGCTGAATGCAGTGGTCCTTAAGCTGTCCTTAGGCTCATTTTCATATGACCACACTGTTTGATAACCCTGCATCTCATTAAAGGAAGTGCCGTGCGATGTTCGACAAATACTGTGGACCACTGCTCAACCTGGCTGGCCTGAAGGTTGGCATCATCAAAACGGAGAAGGAAGGGCAGGCTAAGGACATCATGGAGATAATGGACAACACAGATGCAGTGATTGTGGCTGGCGGCGATGGCACTGTGGCCGAGGTGGGTGCTGAGTCTGCGCTGGCCGCTGGCATTGCAGTTGTTGTGATGGCAGGGCTGTAAGTTGTTAATTCTTAGTTGCTGAAACATGCTAGACTCACAAGTATATGAATAAGAAAATGAAATAGTTGATGTTTGGCTTCATGATAGAACTTTGGTTTTCACTTGGTTGAATGTCACAGAAAGAAATTATCCTGGATCTCGATATCATTTTGTTTTTTGTCTTACTAAGAAATCTCAGTTTCTAGTTTCTAAGCATCACTGATGGCACCCACACCACCCCTAGGTGGTGACGGGTCTGCTGCGCCGCGCGGACCGCGCCCAGGCCGTACAGCGCCTGCCCCTGGCGCTGATCCCGCTGGGCGACACGAGCGGCTCGGCGACGGCGCTGCTGCCGCCCGGGGAGGACAGCCCGGCGCGGCGCATCACGCAGGCCACCATGGCGCTGGTACGGGACACGGTCCGTCCGCTGGACGCCATGGAGGTGCAGGCTCTCGAGGTGAGGAGACGTTGATCATTGAATCGAAACGTTTGAGAGTTGGATTATAAGCATCGTTGCAGTTCGAGAAGAAAATTCCGGAGATCTGTGCCTATCATCGTTGTACTTTTCGATACATAATATGTTTCTATCGGCTACCTTATCCTAATCCACCGTCATAACTATTGTAATTTTAAGTGTTTACATGCATGGAACATAAAAATATGATTAGGTTTGTGATTCTGTTTTCCATTGATGATGGTGCTCCAGACGGAGGCGGAGGTTCCGGGCAGGCCGGTGTACCTGCTCTCAAACATCACCTGGGGCGCCTTCCGCGACGTGCAGGCCCGCGTCAGCAAGTACTGGTACTGGGGCGGCCTCAAGGAACGCATGGCCTACGTCTTCGCCGTCTTCAAAAGTGAGCAACTGCTCTGGATTATTTAGTTACCCCCCGGTTATTGGATCTCTTGAGATGTCCAGGTGCGTTTCACCCATCAGACAGTTGGTATTCGTTAGTTTTATTTTTCATGTTGCATCAACCGAGGTGTGTACTGTGTAGTAGTGAGTTTTTTCATCGATGGGCCTTTGTTGACCTGATTCCGTCACTGACTTCAGACCTCACCTGGAGTTGTAACGGCGACATGGAGTACACGGCCTACTGCGCCGGCTGCAGCCGCTGTTACGCGGAGCAGAAACAGCAGCAGCAGGAGCGGGCGGCAGCCGAGCAGCAGCAGCAGCAGCAGGCCAGGGCCGGCCGCTGGTGGTCTCGCTTCATCCCGCAGCCCAAGCCGACAGCGCCGCCGCAGCCCGGTAAGCAACATGTCCATTTTGTTCGCAGCAATAGGTCCATTTTGTCCAACCTTGAAGCATATGGAATCCGAAATCAAGTGAGCATTCTTCCGTCGTACGAGTGCCGCGCACCTGATATTGTATTCTAGGCTGCTTATGATCTCTCGTCGTAATTCCTGCCAGTCCGCACTCAAGTGTACCTTTCCTCCTTTTCGCAGAAAGCGCCGTGTCTGAGGACTTTTCGTCGGTGGATAACCCGGACTGCGGCGTGTGGCACCGCAGACCGGTGTCCACCATCGACTGGAGTCTGCGCACCAGACACGCGGCCGCGGAAGGCGCCGGACCCGGGCTCCATCTTCGGCTAGGTGAGAGCTGATGGTGCTCGGGGAGACATGGGACATCTGGTGCTTCTGAGTGATCATCAGAATTCGTTTTCTTTACTAATTGAAAAGTGGCAGTCAGTAATGTCTCGAAACGTGTGATATTGGTCAGCTATTCTAGCATTACGGCACTATCAATATGTTAAATAATGTTAAATAATGTTCTGTTAAATAACGCTCACTGTTCTTAGCACTATTTGGCAATGAATTTCATCTGAACCTCTTTGCGCAGGTCCGTCTGAGATGTCATCCTCCGAGTTCATCTCGGAAGGCTGGAGCCGGATGGGAGGCTCCGAGCCGTCCGGTACTGAGCGGCTGACCGTGGACCAGGTGCGGCTGGTGCCCACTCCGGAGGTTAGTGACACTGGGGACGGTGGTCTGTTTCGGAATGCGTGGTTGGGTGTCAATGACGTGAGAGACACTGCACTGCGGGTGGATCATGTCTTGGTTGGGGTGGATCAGGATCGCAGGGTCAGTGCCATGAATTTCAATGCAGCACTTGACTGCTTGGATGCGGTGATTTGAAGTACGAGGGCGCTTTGATTTCGCGAGCTTTCAGGTTTTGATGTTTTATTTTGCTGTATCGGCCATGCTCGCTGGTAATCATCGAACTCCAGGCACTGCTTGACTATTCTCGCAGTATCACAACGTCTTTAATCCGCTGACCACACCTCCCCCACTACACCAGGAGCGGAGCGCCAGTGTCACCGCGCCAACCACTACCGACTCCACCTCCACACCCGCCGAGCCGCCAGCCAACACGCGCTGGTTCGGTTTCGACGGTGAGGAGTTCGAGGTCCGACCGGTACTGATCCGGCTACTGCCTCGGGCCGTACGCGTCTTCACAGAGAGGGATACGGAACAGACGGCGCCGGTCCCCAGCTAGCGACCACCCAGGTACTGGGGAGGCGGTGAGCTAGGGTAATACCGAGTGGGTCCGGGCGTTCTGTGGATGAGGGTGTGTGGAAAGTGATAGTGATTGATCGGTGAATATGTTTGTGCGAGTGGTTCCTGATGTACAGTGTACTTTGTTATGCGGAAATGTTGACCGGCCATTTCGTAATTGCCGGGGTGGATTTCAGACGTTGCGTTGTTGAAAGGACATTGCCGTAGGGTTGATTGACACAGACTATTTTGTAGGCAATTATGTGTCTTCAGGAAAATAATACAATACTGCGTTTTATTGTAAATCATATTGTACTTTTGGTAATTTTTAGTTTCATATTGATAAAAATACAAGCGAATAAACTTTTTTAATTTGACGCGATTGCTCATTATCTAGGAACGTAATATAATCCCGATAAAAATAAACGTGGGGTTTTCCGGTTTTCCACAAACCCTGAACAACATCGTCCTCAATCCACTGATTCGAGGTACCTTCAAATTGGCGCTCAAACACAAGCTCTTCTTTCAAATATATTACTACACATTTCAAGCGTCGCGTGCGCTTGACACCGAACCAGTGATTGTGCCATTTGGTACATACACTTAACGAACACAGTGACTGGCCAAGGTTGTACTATACTCGCGTGTCATTGGTTAATGGGCCCATGGTTATAACATTGTTACCCGCACCTCGGCAGCCGCGGTTAAAATGGCAGTGAAGCGGGCTAGCAGAAAGCATAAAGTAGCGTAACGCAGATAACCAAGTACGTGACTTGCCTAACACGCAACTGATGTGCAAACATACATAGCGAGAGTGACCTACCCTGTTAAAATGAGTTTAAACGTTTACGACAAAAATGAGGCAAGAATCAACGCACACAAAACAAAAACCCGCAACGGGAACAAAATGAACACAATTCGTATGCACCATTGGACGGTGTGATATCCGACGATTAACATCACAGACATGTTCAGTGAGCATTGTAGCACAAAGAACCTACAAATTACACAAATTCCACACACACACACGATCTACATAGTGCCTCCTATCTACTTCTGAGTGACTTTGAACACATGATTGTCTGACCATCAGACACTGAGGCAATTATTCAAATATACCAACTGTAAAGACGGGTAAGACACTTGGTGATTATCCCATGTGTAAAGGAGTAAAACATCGCGACAAATGGCAAACCCCTTGCTCGTGCATCCGTGAATGACCACACGGGTGAGTTGGACACCCACGGTTATAGCGTTATTGACTGATGGTGGTGGTGGAATCAGGAATCAGAGATAACCAACGCACAATGTTCACAAATAAAATTTGACAATAACAAACGAGAAAAATACACGAACCACTACTAAAAATAACAACTACCTACTTCGAAACAATCTTTGGTTTTTAAGTATTCTCGTCCCAAAAACACTCGAATGAGAACTCAGCAATAATTATAGCATTCAACCAAACGAATCCATAGTTCGGAGCGTCAGTTGGCCCCTAAGTTTAGAATTTGTGGTTGAAACTTTTAAGGTTCACGTTGAGTTTCTTGTTCGAATGTAGGATATATTGCATAAAAAGAAACGTACCCTAGGCGGTAATTCGATGTCCAGATGTCCATTTGCGTGCTAACATTGATTTGCCTATACCAATCAAGGCCCTATATACCTAGCCTAGCAGGTCCAAAATCAAGTAAAAATGCAATGCATAAAATAGCAAAGCCATACAAGCAAAGCAGAAAGCAAGGCAAGGTACATATGTATAAGAAAAACAAAACGGTTCAAATGAGACTTATCAACTATGTTGTTGAGGTGCAGGGCCCTCTAGTCACCTATGCGAAATGTAAATGAGTGACAGAAAGTAGATAGTAATTATGCGAAACGTATGTTCATTAAAAATGATTTGAACAGAAGCCTTAATTGCACACATCAGTATTGATTGGAATGTTAATGAAAGGCAACCCTAAGTAAACATCAGGTTTCACTGGAAGTTGTGTTACACACAGATCTCTAATGCTCGATAAGTCGATGACTCAATAATGACTCGTCGTCTGCAAATGGTCCAGAAATACGCTGTGTTCAGTCGTATTGTCATCAAGCTCGATGTTTCAGTTTTTCAGATCCCTTCTCATTCCCAGTCCCTTTGAACAGTATCAAAGGTCTCTATAAAATCCGTCTGTCCAGCCCATCACATGCCTATCATTGTTCCTTGCGTTGTTTCCTCTGCAGAACGTACGCCCTGAGGTAGAAGTTGCCGAAGAGGCCGATCATGGTGAGCGCATAGAAGACGCTGTACGCGCAGAAGCCGTGTCGCAGGTAGCCGACACCGGCGTGTGCCAGGCCAATACCGAACTGGGCGATCTGCAGCTGCGTCATCCGCTTCTTCCAGGCCACAGGAATGGATACAGACGCAGAGGTGAGCCTGCGTTGGCGCGGTGGGAAAACAGGGTGTGATAATAAGAGAGGCAGAGTAACAGAAACAGAACGCCGATAGATAAACTCACTTCAATCATGAAGTGGTCAGAAGACCTCAAATCCTGAAACCAGTATAACGCCTTTTGGGGCGACTAACGGAGCGAGCGAGAGGGTGGGCCTTGCACGTGCGAAATTGCGAGGGGGCACCTCCAACTGACTTGTGCACGGCACCCTTCTAACCGGTCTCTAGCGATGTGCCAAATTTGGGCACAATCGGCCCAGCCGTTCTCGAGATCTGGAAGCGGCACCCTGCACGTGCGCACGTGCAAAATGGGTCCCAACTGACTTGTGCACGGCACCCTACTAACCGGTCCCTAACTGTGTACCAAATTTGAGCGCAATCGGTCGAGCCTTTCTCGAGATCTGGAAACGACCCCTGCACGTGCGCACGTGCAGCAGCGCCCCAACTCTGACACATGGATATGCAGTGCCTAGTGGGTGCCTACCTACATGCCAACTTTCAGCGCAATCGGCCAAGTAGTTACCGAGATATTGCAACAATTACAAAACGGACACCTCTTCGTTTTGCACGTGGCACGTGCATAAGGGGTCACCCACATGCATCAGGAATAGTCCAATACTTGGTAGAAGGAATGAAGCTACCCTACAAAAATTACCGCGTGTAAATCGGTCAAGTGGTTGCTGAGATATAAGCCTCGCAAAAGCGTGACCACGGCCGGCCGGCCGGCCGGCCGCTCATACTCAGAAATTTCCGCTAATCTAAGGAAAGACTACGCTCGCTTCGCTCGCTCCGTAACAACGTTACCTAACGACTTTTCCTTCCGGGTAAGCCACCAGACCTATCAGTACCCTTTTTTAAGCAACATGATGAAACAGCGGCGCGCTTGATCTAGACTATACGCATTGTGTCTGTTATAATCAAATTATTATGTGGCTGCATTATGCATATCGAGGGACAAATCATATCCCAAGACCACTAGGAACATTGACAACTCGTAAATCGCACTTCAGGTCACCACTCACCATGCATCTCACACGCCCTTTGAAGAGGTCGTTACTTACCCGTAATAGGCGTACAAGCAGACATGTACGAAGGCGTTGATCATCACCGGGAACGAGATGGCCGGCCACGGCGCCAGGTGGTAGAAGTAGTCGGTCAGCAGCACCATGCTGGCGTGGTGGTACACGTGCAGGAACGTGATCTGGCCAGTCTTGTGACGCAGCATCATGAACGCCTGAAAATGTATGAAATTTAATATCTAACGAAGGATGTCTGTTGATGATAAGAAAACGAGGCATGAAAGAGGACATAGTTATTTGAGAAATGATACGCACAGTACGAAGTAATTTTTACACCTTCGGCCAACTGAAAATTAACTGGGGAGTTTCCACATGGCACAGCAAGGCACGATCAGTGCGTGCGGTGATGAGCACGTACCGTGTCCAGTAGCTCTGCCACCTTGAGCAGCCAGTAGAGCAGAGCAGCAGCTTCGATGCGCCGTTCCCGCTCCTTGCTGTAGAAACGGTCACAGCGCAGCAGAGCCAGCGCAAACATGAGGCAGCAGGCACCGTTTGCAGCAGACATGGAGTAGTTGTAGACGACCATCAACTGAGAAAAATATAGGATGCATAGGTAATTATCATCTCATTATCCTCTCTCATTTTTATTTCTAATTCGGTGCTTAGAGGTCAGGAAAATGCTGGTTGACACTATCATGATGGCTGACGTTCATGTAGAGTGTAGGCCTAAGCAGTTTCAACCAATGCGATAAGTCACAAACCTACTACGTAGAACAACATGTAACTATTGCTATGTTAGCATTGTAATGGAGGGAAAGGAAGCAGTACATACTCACATTGTTTAGTTGTATTGGCTTCACATGTTGTTTCCATTTCTTGGATAATGCCACCATTAATAGGTATACCACAGTGAACTTGAATGAAACAGAGGCAAGTGTATATCTGGCAAAAGCTTCAACACTATAGTTGGTGACAGCCATTTTCAGTGAAATCTGAAAGATATACAGGGTGTTTAAATGATGGATGACATATATAAATGAATGAACAGAAGATCTGCCCCACCAACTCTACTCAAGGCAATTTTCTGAGGGAAATTCAACATATTTGTTAATATGTACCTATTGTAGGTATTTAAAATAGCGAAATCATGTGTGGTTCAGTAAATGGCATAAGATCGCCAATGACCACTATAGACCGGGCGCCCAACACCCCCCAAATGGCATAAGATAGTTCACAAAGATATTTATACAGTTTGCTTAAACCTCGGAACATGATAACATGCTAGATAGTCATGCAAGCCTGCACAGCTCCCTGTAGGTCCAGCTACTTCATAAAAAATCACTGAAAAGTGGCATTTTTTGTATCCCTCTCCTTGGTTGAAAACCTTCCTGTGATGTCTGCTCTACTATAGTCTCTTCCATGTCAATTGCCAAGCTTGCGGCCAAAGTGCTCAGCCGAAAGCAGTGCGTGATTTCTGTAAATACAGTTTTTACATTAAAATACGCAAATTATTGATTGAAGGAGCAAACTGCTGATGGAACTCTGGCTGCAAGCTTGATATGGAACAGGCTATAAGGTTGTATGCTGAGACCTGCTCATTCCAATTCTTTTCATTAATCGGTTGTCAAGTTCTTGCTAAACACTGCATTTTCATGCCTGAGTGGATAATTAATTGAGACTACCTTTTCCAATAACTTAGGCAGGTTCGACTTCAAATGACAAGGCAGTATTTAGAAAACAATGAAGTGTTTAGACTTTAGAAACCAACTAATCCAGGTTGAGATAGGAAGGGTAGGTATTTCTCAACCCTGGTTTGAATTTTCCTCTAATGAAACATGCATTTAAATAAAAGCTTAATAGCTTAAAAAGTAGAATAGCTTACTGGATATGAGGATCTTTAATCAATACTCGAAGTCAAAGCGATTTTCAACTAAAAACTAAAAAATAACATTTGCATGCCATGGGGCCCCCATCACAGGGTAGCATTTCGTCGCTGCAGCTGTTCAGCTTTTGCTGACTCTAGCTACCGTTTCCGACATCTCTGTTGTCTGAATGGATGGACGACTGCTGACGTCTTTTGTGCTGACTTTTGAGTGGTCCATTTCATCTGCAAACGTACACATTTTTACCATTCGAACATGTTGGAAACATTTCGTAAATGAATCAGCTGCGCATTGTTTACATTCGTGATGTGCTTCCATATTATCTTTACGTCACTACCATATGACGTTTTCTTTGAAACGGCTTTATATGAGGTAGAGGAGCCTCAACAAGATTGAGAATTGAGATGCTTCCCGAGATGCTTGTTCACATCGTCCGGACTCTCTAGTCATCTACATTACAGCCATGTGATCATGACTGCAGACAACTAAATGCAACTGTTAGTAATACCACAGTGTATATAAATACAGTGGCGGCCACAGTGTATAGTAATACCAGTAGCGGCGGAACACCTTCAATTAAAGGGGGGCACTGCCGACTTTTGGTCCCATTCTTTCCATGCAACGCCCATAGGGCTAATGTTAAAATGCCAAAATCAAAGGGGGGCACGGTGCCCTGGTGCCCTCCCCGTTCCGCCGCCTGTGAGTAATACTAGGTACCGGTTGTCGGCTCTATCAATTTATCAATCGCTATTCGCCTGCCCGCAGTTGACGAGACTCGAGACCTTCGATTTTCGAATGATCCAGTCTCTACAGTCGATTACGGCTGCCCGCGTCGTTCACGGGATGCGACATGAAACCGCAGACCACGCAGGCCACACCACAGTCGGCTATGCGGCTATGTAATTGTATAGGTATCCGTCGGTCGGATACATGACCCCGTTCGAATTATTAGTGCTTGTCTTTTCCCGATGATCGTTGCTCGATGATCTGAATTTACGGTTAACTGAATTTCAGAATACGGTTGCTCGATGATCTGAACTGTGGGATAACTAACTCGGGTCGAAGTGAGCTGTTACACAGGTCACAACTTCACCGTGCTAGGATAAATCAATCATGCATACACTTGTATTAGCGCTCACATTTTGAACCCAAAGTTATATTAGTCTCGAATGTTTTGAATTTACTCAAAATTTTGCGAATTGAATTGACCACGTCCCACGAGCCATCCATCTCTCGTTGAGCTAGTGGGCATAAAAGCAAAGCGAAACATTGATCCTCTTCCAATTTCCGAATTTTGTGACTATAGGTACATACCTACTAATCCTCTCTTGGACATATAGAAGATATGGAACCATGGAAGAATATCTAATGTATATTAGTCAGTCTTCGATTAATAGAAACAGGAGTTAAAAAAAAAAATAGTTCGTTCTAATAGGCCTACACTTGGCCTGAAACTTCCGTGAATTTCTAAGGTAAGGTAAAGTGAGGTATTAATCCGCGCCCTGCTGGGGGGGGGGAGGTTGTTTGAACCCCCCCCCCCTCTGTGGTTTTTCGCGAATATCTCAGCGCGAAGCGCCGCCGTTTTTGGTACACCTTATCATAATCAACTCTACACATGTTGTGAAACTTTCAGACCAAGGTCGTTCAAGGTCAGGTCACCAGGTCACTTTAAGTGACCTCACCTAATAAAAGTTTCAATGTCTGCCATAGCTACACCGAGTGACCGATCGTGTTGAAACTTTCAGCGATTGCTGAGAGCAATAGCATGCACAAAATGCCTATCTCAGAATTTTGATATCGATGACCTAAGGTCAGGTTAATTTTGCGACCTCCCTATTACTTACCTATAAGTCAATGGGAGAAAACTGAAATGCGCCGCTTTTGGACGAACGCCATTACAAATACTCCTTAACCCTATTACTGGTGGGGGGTGGGGGTGGGGGGGGGGGGGAATCGGCCCCCACCTGTAGTTTTTTTGCTCTCGACGGAAAACCACTCTAGCTAGGGGCTTGAAATTTGGTGACTTTTCCTTGCCATTCATTGGACACATTGTGTCATTTTTTTTAGTTTTTAGCCAGGGTTTGGTGTTTGTTTAATTTTTCAAATAAACAAACATAAACAAACTGTTCACGAACAAATGTGTTCGCGAACAAGTGACGTCATCGGTCAAATTTTGGTAAGCAAACAACGAACAGTTCGCGAACGTTCATGAACTGTTCGCGAACACGGTAAAGAGGGGGCAGATAAGACCCCCTCCTTAGCCATTTCGCTCCTAATTGACCTAATTGACTCCTAAAAATTTGACAGTGTCAAATTTTCAAGTCTACCGTTTAAGGTCAAGTTATAGTTCATTCGATGCGTCTTGACAAGAGGAACGCGATGCCGGTAAAAGTAACCTCATGCATGGCTTGGGTCAAAAGTTATTGCAGAAAAACTGTTTCCGAAAAACAGGCTATTTTGCAGTTTTTGCCCCCTGCAGGCAAAACCGTTGACGTTAGGTCAAATCTGAGATGATTACCCAGAAAGGGCGTTTATAGGGCTATCGAATGCGCTTTTCTGCGGTACTGCAGCTCTATTGGTTTCCGAGTTATGCGTTGGCTTCTTGGAAATTGTCGACACTTGACCTGAAAATCGTCGAAATTTCGCCTTCAATGACCTGTGGTGACCTGACCTCTGGCTTGACCAAAAAAGTGAACGAAGTGCTTTTGTCATTATTTTTGGCGCTCTTTCGAACGTCGCCTTTTGCGTATCGCTACGTGGCCCAGGAGCCGAGTTAGAAAGGGAGTGTTAAAAAACTCCCCCCAGCAGGGCGTGGAATCCAGGACCCCCAGTAGGGCGCGGATTAATAACAAACGATTTATTTTTAATTGGAAGTGAGGAGGACCACGGCCAGGTCCCACACCCTGATAAGTGGCTAACTACGCTGGACCTGCTGTGGGTCAGAGGCGGAGCCCGGCGCATTCTCCCCTCCTCTGTCGCTCCAGGCCTCTGTCCAGAAACACCAGACACATCCGGGAACGCAGACACTGGCCGCCAGACTCCCCGCGCGCCCTCCTGCGCGCCCCTTGACCTGTCGGACAAGACGCAGATGCTGGAAAGACCTCCGCAGCGCCAGTGGCGGTCCCAGCAATCCCCAGTGAGAGTCCATCAACACCAGTGGGCCTGGTCTTTATGTAACTTAGCCCTGGATCCGACGGGCATTAAGCTGATTTCTGCAATAGACTCAAGTTGATGGTGATATTTGAAAGCTATGAATTATACCCTCAGTGAAGTTTTATCCATAATGTCGCGTCATTTATGTCATAGTCGGCGCTCGGCTACACAAACCCCACCGGACGGTGTCCGCCTGGGGCGTCTCGTCGGCTCCGCAGCCGTCGGTTCACGCCCCCTGGCGGCGCCTCTGGTGTGCTGTATATGTTATCGTCAGACCTCGGGACTGACCGGCGGCCGCTGTCCTCTCCGGTCCGCGGCGCGGCGCGTCGACAGGCGACGAGTGTCGCTCGACGCTCTGTGACCGACGGGCGACAGTGACACGTCCGTGACGCTGTCCGTGACGGTGTCCGTGACGGTATTCGTGAGTCCCGTGACACGGCGGACTCGCGGTGCCCGTGTCGTGTAACGAGGTGTTTGTTGGGGCATTGAGCCTCATCTCGGCTGGACCGAGGACTGGAGGCACCATGGGGCCTCCCGGGGTGCTGGGGGTGCTAGCACTTCTGCTGGTGCTGCAGCTCGCGGCATGCCAAAGTAAGTACTGCCGTCACATGGGGATGGTAAGAAGGGCTTAGAGCTTAGCGGCTAAGAAGGGGCTTATTGACAATATTCTTGACCAGGACTGCACGAATGTGGCAGCACGTTTAGGTCTACGAATGATGCTTAGTAGTCGGTGTTCGATGATGCGACTGAGGTGATCGATGCAATGCTGCGCTTTCCTCTCCCTTTTTGCCCTAAAACAGATATAAACGGCGCATTTTCACTCGTGTAGCGTCATACGTATATGCGTAATTATGCGTTACATAAGATCTCATCGTTGCCTGTGCGATGCTGCTGCCCTAGGGTGCCCTAATGTGCCAATTCCCATGCACCTTGCACCTTGGATATCATTCGAGATAAGATTCCGTAATACCAGGCAAAGTGAAATAAATATGTCGAAATAAACGCCCATCTCTGGGAAAGACACGGGTGAAATCAATTATTATTGAGCGAGAAGAGCCCAGTTTTCCCCAAGTTCGACCGCCTCCGGCATACGCTAATATATAGTCACATATAGTCATTACATATATAGTCATTATATAGTTATGGTCACATCCATCGGTAGTTACTCAAGTGACAAAAGTCACGCCACAGGTCAGGTGAAGTGGGTGATCGGGTCGGTCCGTGACGAGGGCTCGTTACACCGTACACGCTCGGCTTTCAATCCGGTCGTCTTCCCGGAATTCCCCATGAATGGAACTGGGCTCTCGAACTGCTCAACAAGTCTAGGATGGCATAGGTTTGTAGCTACGATCCGGACTGCGCAGTCATTGAAAATCTGAACGTTATAATTACAAATGATAATTTTGAGTTACCTTATGTTAACTTTATCAATTCATGGCTGTATTTCGCAATGTAGGCGTTGAGGCCGGCGTCCGTCAAACGGTAAGCAAACTGATTTTTACACATTTTTTTCAGTCAGCACTTCTTTTAAAAAACACACTTTGCCCCTTTGTTATGGATCATGACTAACACAGCCACGTGCATAGGTTCACTCCAGTGGACTTTGTAAAGGCGGCAGCTACTTCTGCGAAGGTAACTTATGTGTGTCGTTTGTAAATATAACATAGACCATAAAGTGGTTCTCAAGAGGCAATTTACCCTGACTCACACATCGTATTATTTACAGATAGGCACGTGTATGCTGTTGTTAGGTACGAATAAAACCAAAACGTAAAATTAACTTCAAAACATAGATTTACCCGCGCCCCACTGGGGGGGGGGGGGGGTGGCTATTCATAGCCTCCCTCCCGTTTTCTGCAATAACTTCCAAGCCGCTTGACGTTTCGACGCCAAACTTTCAGTACCTTCGGCTGCATCAATTTGACACCTTGTGTCAAAATATGAACTTAGCTACCATAGGTCGGCCGGAAATGACGTCAGAGTGACGTCATGTTCGGTCGATTTCGACGCAAAACATTGAACCACGGCAATCGCTCCCAAGGGCCAAGACCTCAGTTTTTAAGCTAGATCCAATATCTTTGCATGAAAAGACTCAGAATAGACTGCGCTATCAAACTGCTATCTCGGATTTTCAAAATTTTGAAAATTTCGAAAATATTAGAAAATAAAATTCAAAATTTATATTTTTATATTTTTTCAAAAAGTTTTTGGCATTTCGAAAAAAACGGAAAATTTGTGATAGAACGCATGCTTATAACTTACTCTAGCAAGTTTTAGCTAAATATTTTCAAAAATGGCCAAGTTATAGGTACGCATTATTGCAAAAATTCACAATTATTTATTTTCCAAATCAATTTTTCCGTCCGTATTTGACATCGTACACCAATATAAATAGCACCATCGTGTTCCTGAGCTCAAACTGCATTTAATAGACACCTTTTTTGTTGAAAAATTTCAACTTCAAAATTTGACCTGTTTTGACCTGAAAGTGACCTGACCTAAGCTGAATTCGACTCAAAATGACCTCGAATGACTCAGACGACATCAAATTCGAAATATATAGCCTACATGGACCATAAAACATGTGTCACGTGACCGACGTATGATATAATATTTCTATGACCTGTGATGACCTGACTTTGACCTGAAAGTCAAAGTACAAGTTTGGTACCCTCAGGGTATCTAAAGCATCTGTTCACGAGTGTGTAAACCAAAAATGAGCTTGATCTGACTTGTAAGACGGCAGCCGCCGGCCAGAGCCCAAAATGTGAACAAGCCAAAATGTTAATAGTTTTTACTTTGACCTGACCTATGACGTCATCGATGACCTCGAGGTCAATGAAATTAGGTTTCGTTCGACAGTTTTTCCGGGGCTATCAGACGCCGTTTGAATTTTGACGATCGGCCCAGTAGTTTCGAAGTTAGGAGGGGGGCTATGAAGAGCCCCCCCCCCCCCCCCAGTAGGGCGTGTTATACGCAGACCCCAGTGGGGTGCGATATATCTTGATCATTTTTCGCTGCACAAAGCCCTGATCTCATCGATGGACAGTGGAGCATGACTTGAGACATCTAACCAGCTCAGCATTTCGTGGTAGATACTGGCCTCTGTTTATACATACAAACGCCGAGTGATTGAGATTGCCGAGTCCGCACGTGTTAAACCGCAGAGCTTCGCTGTCTGAGGCTCAGGGTCACCATGGGTCGTTTAAATTAAACAATATCACGGCTTTCGTCATATCCAGGCCAGGCCAGCTATGCCTCTATCAGAGTGACGGCTGTGTCCACTGGCGGATCCAGGGGGGGGGGGCCACGGGGGCCATGGCCCCCCCCCCAAAGGCCTAAAGTGGCCTGTTTGGCCCCCCCCCCAAAACGCCAGAAAAATTGTTAAGAAAATATACCTTGATGGAGGTTTTTAGCCACTTGGTGAAGTAAAGCTTTCCACAGCATAATATGGAAGCAATATAGTAGCAGTGAGGGTCAGTCAAAAGTTGCGCGAGCGGAGTCGACCTTAAAAAAAAAGACTGTTGTTGGCACGTGTTTATGGCGCGGCAGCTGGTAGTTGGCGGTGTTTCGCGTGGTGTGGCATCACTGGCGGATCTGGGGGGGGGGGGCACGGGAGCCTGAGGTGCCCCTGACAGGCCCGTGGTGCCCTTGCTAGGCCTGTGGTGCCCCTGGACCCTGGCAGGCCTGTGGTACAGTCCACAGCAGAAGTAATGTGGGGTTTCAGTCATGGGTATGTTCTGCTTCTGAAGCTTAGGAACGATTAGCCAGACTACAATGAAACTTTGAATGTAGCTTATATGTATCGTCACCCTTGCAGCTGCAACTTTAGCTATTGACATCTTCTTTTCAATCACTTCGCATTAAACAATCGCCAGTCAAAGCCAACCGTTGAGTTTGGTAAAACCCTACATTACTTTAGCGGTGGGCTGTACCTCTGGCGGGCCTAGGGTGCCCCTGCTAGGCTGCTGATGCCCCTGGGACCTGACAGGACTGTGGTGCCCCTGACAAGCCTAAAGTGCCCCCAACAGGCCCGTGATGCCCCCGACAGGCCCAAGGTGCCCCTGCGTGATGCCGTGATGCCTGCGAGGCCGGTGGTGCCCCCTGCGAGGCCGGTGGGGCCCCTGACAGGCCCATGGTGCCCCTGCTAGACCGGTGGTGCCCCTGGCAGGCCTGTGGTGCCCCTGCTAGGCCGCTGGTGCCCCTGCTAGGCCGCTGGTGCCCCTGGGCCCTGACAGGACTGTGGTGCCCCTGACAGGCCCAAGGTGCCCCTGCAAGGCCGGTGGTGCCCCTGTAAGGCCTGTGGTACCCCTGCTAGGCCTCTGGTGTCCCTGACAGGCCCATGGTGCCCCTGCGAGGGCCGGCGGCGCCCCTGGCAGGTCTCTGGTGTCCCTGACAGACCTGGGGTGCCCCTGACAAGCCTGTGGGGCCCCTCACAGGCCCGTGGTGCCCTTGCTAGGCCTGTGGTGCCCCTGGCGGGCTGGTGGTGCCCCTACTAGGCCGGTGGTGCCCCTGACAGGCCTGTGGTGCCCCCGGGCACCAAGGGGGTCATGACCCATGTGCCCCCCTTGGATCTGCCACTGATGCATAATATATTGATTTATAAAGGCGTTATGGCTTATGCAATATGCAATTGCAGGCACTTGGTATCCCTCACTTATCCCTCATTGGGGCTCTGGCGGGCTCCTGAGGGCCCACGTCTATCTCCGGGAGCCCATATAGACAGGCTCCTTTGGGTCCTTTCAGTACACTATAGCATAAGAGGTCTCCATGCGAGTCCTATACATACATCTGAGGGCGTACCCTGATGTCTGAGGTACCCAACTGCAGCTCCAATGGTCTCTTCTTACACTGGCGGATCCAGGGAGGGGGCATTTAGGGCCATGCCCCCTTCCCAGAGGCCTAAAGTGGCCCGTTTTCCCCCTCCCCCAAACGATAATGAAACATAGTTCAATCAGGGCGTGGCCCAGGAGCCGAGTTAGACAGGGCTGTTTTACCACCTCCCGGCCCGCAAAGGGACCCAAGCACTGACTCGAAGCGGGTTAAAGAGACCCTCCCACCTTCAAAAAAGTTAATGAATTGGCATGAAAGTGATGTCGCTAGGTTCAGAAAGGGCGAAAACGAATATCCACCAAATTTTATCGAAAAATATTCACCGGTTTTCAAGAGACTTTTATTTTTGTTTACTTTTTGGGATATCCGCTGCTGTTCCTAGCGACTTTATTTGAAAGTGCGGCATTTGTTGCGCGCAAAGCAGCCTATACCACCGCATGCTACCAAACGTTTTAGTAAAATATTAAAAAATCATTAGATCTCCGCTGACGTCACACATTCAGAGGGGTATCCAAAAGCATTAGCCCCTCTGAATCAAAATGCTGCAATTTTGAAATTCAATATTTCCGATTTAAGGCATTTCTCGATGTTGTGAGTGCGTGCCGAAACCGGTAATTGTGAGCCAGGGACCCCATTTTGGCTATCTCAGCTCAAATCTAATGTTAAGGTGGGAGGGTCCCTTTAACTGGTCGATAAAAACAATGGTAAGTGTTTACAAAGTAATATAAAGGCATGGGTCGGGTGGGCTACCATTTATATATTTTTCTTTTTAGTTAAAAAAAAATTCATCGTGTCAGGGCTGTGACGAAAAATAAGTGGCCTAAATCCGATGAGAAAACAGGATTTGGGGGTACCCTAGGTTTGGCTCCTGCATGAGTTGGCCCCCCCCCCCCCCAAAACGCAAGCCTGGATCCGCCAGTGGCTGTGTCATCGTTTTTTTTTTTTGCATCAATCCAATCCTGCAGAATTATCAGCATTGTAGCACTTGTGCTGGGGTGACTAAATAGGGCTTCTGCATTTGCAGTCCTATGATGGTTTGCCTAGGGCCTAAGGGGAATACCTCTCGATACACATCCTTGCAATCTGCAACTTTGCACCGTCTGTATGTATATCATTGTATGTTTTCCTTTGACTAGAGCTGGCCATTCCAACGCGGTAGTAGTTCTCTAGCTTTTAAATAACTTTGGGATACATTTTAGACGCTTGAACCATGTAAGGTATCTGCCAGACGCTTAAGCACGTAAGACAGAAGAAAAACATATTTCATGCATTTGGATTATTGGACTAGGTGTGTCCTGTGTGATGACAAATGGTATCTGTGTATATAGTGTGACTTTAAATGTAAGGTTGCATTTACATTCTATGCACGGTCTCAAGACTCAGCTGTTCTTTACACTGTAAACTCATTTTAACAAACGTTTGTTACTTTTACAAGGAAAATTATTTAGCGCAAATCCCCGCACCCTTTGCCATGTCATCGAACGACCCTATTGTTTGTCATGGTAGTTGTTCTTACAACCCACTCCCATGTAGTTCGTTAGACTAGCGACCAAAGTTTGCTTTGTCATTGTTGTGTGAACGACTGTGTTCCTAGTTATAATCATGCGGCTACTAGGTAAAGACCTGCGCATGTTTGCATTTAACAGGGCTGAGCCGTGTACTTGTTCAGTCAAATCAATGCAAATCTTAGTTAGCATAGTAATGTCTACGTGCAGCAAACCTGTACTTGTAAGCAATCTACTAGTCTCAGGCTTGTAACGTTTTACAAAGACCTCCCTTGTATTCGTCAGTTTTCTCCACAAATCGCAGGTCGCCGCTCTGCAGTCTCATTATTACAGCAAAACAGCATTACTGAAAGTAGGTCATGTATTTAAAATGGTACATACACATTACACACACAATGGTGATGACACTGATGACCCAAGGGGCAAGGGCAATAACGCATGCGAAAAGGCAATGAGCGTCATCACTTACGAGTACACTGTAGAATCACACGTTTACATGCATTAGGTTTGAGTTAAGATAGTCATCTTGGGTTCCCTGCCTCGCAATAACTGGTTTGGGGACTCGCAACATCGAGGAATGCCTTGATTCGGAAATATGTTATTTCTAAGTCTGCGGAACACGAATTTTAAGGGGCAAACCCATTCGAATCTAAGGGGCATTCAAATTCATTACCCCCTTGGAATTCAGGTGCTTTTTCATTTTTAGACTGCTTGAGTTTCTGCAGTTTGCTGTCTTCAGTGTAGCGACCCTTGCTTTGCAAGCTGGAGCTTTCGCTCCTGATGAACGCCTGAAAGAAAGCATCGCTATATTATAGCACATGCAGAACAATATGGCCTGGAGCAGAACACATTGTGCTTACTTCCATACATTAACATCACGCACTTATTCAGCAAATTTCTGATTAAATCTGCATTACTATCAGTTGGAAGACATACATTTCATTAAAAAATGACAAAAACGACCGAACACTGTTATCACCTACCATTTTTCACGGAAGTGAGCAGGAGGCCACATCACTGCACGGCGGTTGGTGCGCAACTGAAACTTTCAAATTGAAACGGCCGGAAACGTTTTTGGCGCCACCTATATAACAAGTAACAGCTTTGTGTATGTTACTACTAACACGTCTAACTAGCGTAACTAAGTCCGTGTTGCAAAGGTGTAGCTGATACCTTCGACAAGGACATAGATAACATAAGTATGTATCAGTATTTTTGCAATGGTGTAGCTGGTTCTTTCGACAAGGATATACATTACAAATCATAAGCAAATCTATGTTCCATATTACGAATAAGACCCTGGTAGTTTTCACAATAGCCTCCATAATCCTTGTCAATTTTATGAATGGTCGACTAGGTGCTGGGGCTGATACTTATATTTGCCCTGTTGATTCAACCAACTATGACAAGATATTCGTTGTTCGACATAACCTTTATTAGTATTTTTGACAAACGCTCGTCGTTGTACGACAACCCCTTGTCAAAATGAGTTTACAGTGTAGCTCATGATGTGTGATGCATAGAATGGCGGGTCTCTTCATATCCTCGGTTGCCTAGCATCCTTTGATAGTAAATGGAATTGATTATAATTGTGAGCCCAACCACAAATTTTGGGGAATGCCGCTCCCCTCGTCCTCGCCTGAGTCGCTATCTATATTCACTACAATAATTATGGCTGTCATCAGGCTTTGTTTGGGCTTGTGCAACCCCAACCTTGATTCATGTTCGAATGACACACCCACTAACGTTCCACACGTCTTAAGAGTTTGTATTCCTTAAACTCAACTCCAAAGTCCCACTTCAAAGTTCAACAGCTCAATTCTTCTGAAGTGGCGTCGCAGGTGCCCTGTTATCGTTTCATTTCTCAGTACGTCACATGGGTTGTATTGACTTGTCTTCGTGACGTGTGACCGCCGGGTCAGTTGATTGTTTGTCATACCGATGTGGTGACGGTCTGACCCCTGTGGCTCCTGAGACACCGATCGGGCTCGGCTAGCCGTGTGGTCACTGATTGATTATGGCGCACCTGTGGAGCGAGCACCTGGCCTGATAACGTGTCCGTCGGGCGGTGACCGGGCAGTGGCGTTACCTTTGTAAACACTACGATCATACAATCTAAATTTATATGTCAACTTCGCATCCCTGCTCTTTTGTTCTGGTTTCAACATCAGATCAGGCACTTATGGGTACGAATCAAGGTGTAGTGCGATATTTTTTAACTTTGGTATTTTGTATATCGGTTTCGTATGCAACTATAGATCTAAGTGACGTTTTCAAATAGTACCTATCGATAGCTTGGAGTGACGTGAAACTTTGTTTTGTTTCAGATCCATTTATTCCTGTAACTGATACGTGCTCCATTCAAAGATGCGAAGGTAAGAAAATGCGGGATTTTCCATCCTGATTTCGGATAAAAAGTTTTATAAACCTGTCACATAATTAGCGTGAATTTAGGCTGGTAATCGTCCATACACCCACTTTTCATGGGCTTGCAAATTGATTTCTTGTTAGGTTAACGAGCTTATACATGCGTACTGCGCATTTATCCTGTAAATTGTAATAAAAAGACTGCAAAACTTCAAAATAAAACGCCTGTCGTTTTCCCAACTTTTTATTAAATCGAGGTCGCTTTTCGCCCGACAATTATTTCTTCACTCTGACGACGCCGTATTACTGCATTATACCCGCTATTCTAGAGCCTACAAAATTCAAGTACACAGTGGGAGAGTCGTACCGGTACAAGTACTCGGCGAGTACTGCCAGCACGGTACTGGGCGTCACCAGGAAAAGTACCAACCTCACTCTGGAGTGTGACGTCATCGTGCACGTCATCACGCCCTGCGAACACGCCATCACGGTAAGCGTGTGACATGTGCTGCTTCGACTTACTCGAGTATGCGAATGAATATGCAGGAACAACCGTTCTATTCCAACACAGCCGTTGCTGTTATAGGTGTGTGTTGTGTTTTGCACCGTTTCTTGATGCATTTCTTTTTTTTTTTGTCAAATTTGCCGAGCTTGGTTCTCTCGGGCTATTTGATCGAGAACCTTTCTGACATGAAGTCATCATAAGTCATCATATTGGGATGGGATGATAAGAGGTCGAGGAGACATTGGGGTAGGTAGGCATACCAGAGACTCCTGGCGTTTTGCCATTTGTCAAACCATGACAGGATCAGGTACAGCCTTTTCAGCCATCATTGTACGAATTTTTAATTTACTTGGCATTTATGTCAGGAACAGGCAGTTTTTAGACCAACATATTCCTATTTTGTTTTCCCAGTGCACCTCGGCGCCGGCCGTAAACGCCGTGTCAGTTAGGCTAACCCGCCGGACACGCGTGTCATGCGGTGCAGTATCACCCACAGCATACAGCGTCAGGACATCGAGAAGCGAACGGCTCATTACACTGTGCGCTCACGTCGTAACCTTTTACCTTCACACCCCCATGTGTCTATCATCCACAGATTGAGAACGTGCAGCTGAACACAGTCGCCGAAGACCAGGGATCGACAGTGGACAGGAACATTGAGAGCGACAGCTTCTCATCGCCGCTGGAGTCCTACCACTTGAGGTAATGAAAACACAGCTTTTACGAAAAATAGCGGTACTGACTACTGTAATTACGTTTTTAATAATTTGTCTTTCTAAAAATCATACCTTGAAATTCACTCGTTAGTCGTTCATTGCACGCCAGTTGTTGAAAATGTAATTAGTATGTACTAATTTGTCCACTGCTTTCGCTGCCACAATCGTACCGAATTATCGAATCAAGGCCATGCAGTGAGGTCCATCTCGGTTCACTCCTAGCTCAGCTCTGACTCATTCCTACACTCCCCCGACCGGCCGGATAAAGCCTATTGCAGTACTGATTGAAACCATTCGCTGACGGCACCGGCGGATTCCCTTCTGTCCACACCCTCTACCAGCTGAAACAGCACGTGCTGTTCAACGCCGCGACACGTGTTTTGCGCCTTTCCTCCCTCTCCCCCCTCTCTCTCTCTCTCTCTCTCTCTCTCTCTTTCTCTCTCTCCCCCTCTCTCTCCCTCTCTCTCTATCTCCATCTTTATCTCTATCTCTATCTCTATCTCTCTCTCGCTCCCTTCCTCTGACGTCCTCATACGACACATGTCTTTCATGACATATGACACTTTTTATCTCTCGTTGCTTGTAGGTATGGCTTCCACGACGGTGTTGTGGATGCGATATGCCCGGAGAATGGAGACCCAACCTGGTCCGTCAACGTCAAAAGGGGAATCGTCTCGACGCTGCAGAACTCGATGGACAGAATCGACCTTGACTACAGCGATGTCGAGGTAAGGATCAGTGACAGAAAACTGGATCCGTAATCAGCCCAGCTACATTCAAAGGTCCGGGAGGAACTATTGCTAAAAATCAGGATATTTCACGCTTTCGCGACTCAATGCATTTCTTGTTATCTTGTAGCATAATTCTACTATGCAAATTGCAAACAACCCATTTCCCAGGTCATGCATCCTGTTTTCTGTAAATTTATCCCATCATTTTTTAAGTGTTACAGCATTATTGTTTTAGCACTTCAGTGGCAAATCTCATGAAAGCACAGTCAGGTTTTCTCTCTTCCTAGTTCCTTATGACCATAGTCTTCAACGGTAGTGCGCTGCAATCGGTGATTCTCGGACCTTTTCAGGGGCAACCTCACTGGCTTTCATCGTGACGATCGTGACGTCACCGGTTACTGTCTATTACTACGTGACGTCACTGGATTCTGTTTGTTACAGCGTGACGTCACTGGTGACTGCCCGGTGTCGTACGCTGTGGAGGGAACCGACGGCGCGGCGCTGGTCATCTCCAAGAAGCGTGACCTGAACGCGTGTGTGGGCCGGTTCGCGCACACCTCGCATATCCAGGGAGTCGGGTACAGCATCAAATCGGTAGGTGGAGCGATCAGACTGATAGCATTCAACAATCACAACTAGTCTGTAGAGTAGGTATACCATAAACTTTTGACATTACGATAGTTAGTTCATTGTTAGAGCTGAGTAGAACATGAACAAAATTGTGTTTAATTTTCACTCCATTTCACCTAATGTGTGATGATACTCACACAGCAATTTACTCATCTTCCCTCGACCACAATATCTGACACCCCCCCCCCCCCCTACCTCATCTGCCCTCCAGCCGGTGCAGAACATCCCCGTAGTGGCGAGTACCAGCACGTGCCGTCAGAAGGTGCTGACCAACCGCCTGACGAGCGTCATCTGCGAGGAACGTCACCTGCTGAAACCGTTCTCCAACGACGAGTCGGGAGCCGTCACCATCACCTCACAGAACCTGACCCTGGTGCCGGAAGACACTGCCAATGCCGGGGTTTCTGAATGTGAGTTGGTGTAGGGGAGGGAAAGAAGGGAAGAGAGAGAGAGAGCGAGAGAGAGAGAGAGAGGGGGGGCGGGAGGGAGGGAGAGACGCTACCGCTAGAGAGAGGGAGAGAGGGGGAAGAGAGAGAAATGTGTTTTGCGCGATTGGGAGAAAAAAATTCGTAGACTCATTAGAATGTGGACACGCTTTATGTCGATATAAGGCTTGCAAATATTTATGCAGTCTGAATGTATTTTATAATACTTTGGCTTATTTTGTATAAGAAATACATGCGACGAAGGGCTGTGTTCTCTGTTTTTTAGACGTGATTAAGAACCGTGACACGCTGCTATATAACCACCTGCCAGCCAAGTCGGCCTCCCACACCCGGGAGAAGTCGCTGGCTGACGCCAAGGCGCTCGTCGAGGAGCTGTGTGAAAACGTGAGAGCCATACTGAGGCGTCAGACGATTCAAAGCGGATGGAGCGACACACATGCGATTAGCTCAGTCACAGACTTCTCTCTATATATAGAGAGAGAAGAAGATCTCTATATATAGAGAAGTCTGTGGCTCAGTCATCAGCTGGCTGCTGCCTTGGGGTTTTGTGTCATGAATTTATATTTGTCATCTCAAAACCTTAACATTAAATTGTTTATTCTATTTACGGATACGTTTTGAATTGACTTCCTAAGGAGTAAGGTTTCACCTGTTTTTTTTTTTTTTTAGATAAAAATCCTTCAAATACTAGAAAATATCGCGCCGTAACAATCTTCAAATCAATATCGTGTTGTTGACAGGACTCTGAGGTGCGTGTGGAGTCGACCACCAAGTTTTCTCAGCTGATTGACGACCTGCGGGGGATGACGCACGCTGAGATCAGGGCCCTGCACCAGCACAGCCCGAGCATCTGCCGACACGGACAGTGAGTTGGAGACAAATGGAGACTTAGAGAGACAGAGGCGAGCAGGGCTCACTCGGGGGTGCGTTATAGCATGTGGCTGATGATCTCAAGCTATGTAATGCTTTTAGTAGAAGAAAATGACTGTCTGCCTTGCGTTGTGACGGAATTTCCTTCTCGTTGCGGCATATTTGAATAAACGACGATCTCATGCATCAGAGTATGCCTAGATTAGGCTACCAACCGTAGCCAATATTATATTTTGTTGAACCTCTCTGTTACTCGTTGCCTCACTCCACCGTTCATCCCTCGCGTGTCTCGCTCTCACAGGCAGCTGATCGAGGACGCGCTACCGGTGGTATCCACGGCCGGATCGCTGAACCTGATGACCGACCTCATTGTCGACGGCAAGGTCACCGACCGGGTCGCCAACACCTGGCTGCTGGCGCTCAACTTCATACCCAGGTGCGGAGAACATTGTGTGGTGATTGATACTTTGTTTAAAAGTATAAATGCATAGTCTCCTGTAAAGGTCAATTACTGAGCAGTTTTGCATTGGTAACCCGTGCGTCTTAGTAGTTGCGCTGCTACGAATTATATCTACGCCATTGATATGCATTATATGCAAACGATTTTTTTTTTCGAGAACACTTGGCACATATAGTTAATATGGTAGCTGCCGAAGGTGTGTTTAAATGTCACCATCTCGTTCTCAGTGTCGACCAGGAGATGCTTCGTATCGCCTCCGGCCTTTTGGAGGTTCGGAACCCGGCCGTGGCGACCCGCGCGCGGCTGGCAGCGGGCGCAGTGCTCTACCAGTACTGCCGTCAGCACGAAAAGTGCGACAGAGACAGTGTGGCTCTGGAGACGATGGAGCAGCTGGTTCGACCGCTCGGTGCCGACTGTCGGGCGAACAGTGAGGAGGAGGAAAGGAAGGTAAGGAGCGTGAGAGGGCTGTCTTCTGTTGGACGTGGTGTGGGGAAGACGTGGTATGATTTTCTGCATGACATTAATTATTGTCTCCATACGTGAAATATGTCGAGTTTGATAATCGACTTATGCCTCCTATCAACCTTGTAACTGATCTATCGGTACGTCATTATGCATTTATTTTACATGGATTGATGTGCCTTGCTAAACATGGAACTGGATTTGAAATAGTCTGAAGTTACCTATTTTATTTATTATAAATTGCTGGTTCCGGTTGTGACGCTTGTATCCGTTCCTATTCAAGTATTCAACTTTAATCTTAGTTATTCCAATGAGCTGCATTGTACGTTTCATTCCTTTACATCTTTCCGCAATCTTGATCTCCCTGCACTAACATCTACCCCCATCCCACTCCTTACCTTCGGTCAGGTGCTGCTGACGCTGCGAGCGGCCGGTAATGCCGGTCTCTCCCCGCCGTCCGTGGTCGACACGCTCAACGAGTGCTTCATGAGCCGCGACAACCCGGCCAGGATCAAGGTGGCTGCCATCGAGGCGTTCAGGTGAGAGGATGGGCTGTGGCTGCGAACTTTGGAGGTGGACGTAAATGGTCCTGCTGGTTTATGATTTGTTTCATTCTCTTTTTGTGAAACTCCAGTGGCTGAGCTTTGACGCACTCGTGATCCGGATCAGCAACTTTAAATCGTATAATATTTCTCGAACTCTTCGTTACAGGTTATAATTCAGAGTGGATTAGGCTATATTATCAGTTAATCTCTTATTCTAATTTTCATATATTGGCCAACTTTCATGGATTAGCTCATACACTTTTGCTGATCCGGATCACAGGTGCCCATGGAAACCGGGCTGTTGTCATCATTGCCCTTACAACTCCCAAAATGATAATGATTTACTTACCAGTATAACGCCTTTTGGGGCGACTAACGGAGCGAGCGAGAGGGTGAGCCTTGCACGTGCGAAATTTCGAGGGGGTACCTCCAGCTGACTTATGCACGGCACCCTACTAACCGGTCTCTAGCGATGTGCCAAATTTGAGCACAATCGGCCCAGCCGTTCTCGAGATCTGGAAGCGGCACCCTGCACCTGCGCACGTGCAAAATGGGTCCCAACTGACTTTTGCACGGCACCCTACTAACCGGTCCCTAACCATGTGCCAAATTTGAGCGCTATCGGTCCAGCCGTTCTCGAGATCTGGAATCGACCCCTGCACGTGCGCACGTGCAGCAGCACCCCAACTCTGGCACATGGATATGCATTGCCTAGTGGGTGCCTACCTACATGCCAACTTTCAGCGCAATCGGCCAAGTAGTTACCGAGATATTGCAACAATTACAAAAGTGACACCTCTTCGTTTTGCACGTTGCACGTGCATAAGGGGTCACCCACATCCATTGGGAATAGTCCAATACTTGGTAGAAGGAATGAAGCTACCCTACAAAAATTACCGCATGTAAATCGGTCAAGTGGTTGCTGAGATATAAGCGTCGCAGAATCGTAACCACGGCCGGCCGGCCCGGCCGGCCGCTCATACTCAGAAATTTCCGTTATTCTACGTAAGACTCCGCTCGCTTCGCTCGCTCCGTAACCAGTATAGCGCCTTTTGGGGCGACTAACGGAGCGAGCGAGAGGGTGAGCCTTGCACGTGCGAAATTTTGAGGGGGTACCTCCAGCTGACTTGTGCACGGCACCCTACTAACCGGTCTCTAGCGATGTGCCAAATTTGAGCACAATCGGCCCAGCCGTTCTCGAGATCTGGAAGCGGCACCCTGCACGTGCGCACGTGCAAAATGGGTCCCAACTGACTTTTGCACGGCACCCTACTAACCGGTCCCTAACCATGTACCAAATTTGAGCGCCATCGGTCCAACCGTTCTCGAGATCTGGAAACGACCCCTGCACGTGCGCACGTGCAGCAGCACCCCAACTCTGGCACATGGATATGCAGTGCCTAGTGGGTGCCTACCTACATGCCAACTTTCAGCGCAATCGGCCAAGTAGTTACCGAGATATTGCAACAATTACAAAAGTGACACCTCTTCGTTTTGCACGTGGCACGTGCATAAGGGGTCACCCACATGCATCGGGAATAGTCCAATACTTGGTAGAAGGAATGAAGCTACCCCACAAAAATTACCGCATGTAAATCGGTCAAGTGATTGCTGAGATATAAGCCTCGCAAAAGCGTGACCACGGCCGGCCGGCCGCTCATACTCAGAAATTTCCGTTATTCTACGTAAGACTCCGCTCGCTTCGCTCGCTCCGTAATAAATACCTACTCCAAACCTTGTTCAAAACTCAAAGAACATACGAGCAATGAACCCCGTCACCAGTTTTGCTAAACATTGGTCCATTTTAAAGGAGGTCTTTTTGACAACTCTCCCTCGATCGTCCTATCTTCTGACGTGACTTCCCCCTCTCCCCACAGACGGTTCAGCTGCACGGTGCGCCGCGATTTCATGCGGGCCGTGTTCAGAGACATGGCTGAAGACAGCGAGGTGCGAATCGCCGCCTATCTGGGCCTGATGCGGTGCCCGTCGCACCAGGAAGTGGGCCTGGTACGCGCCGCCCTCGAGCGGGAACAGGTCAACCAAGGTGGGTACTGGGGTGCAGTGGTGGTAGATGTGATGCACGGAGTGAGCAGTCTCGGCAGTCTAATACAGGATTACAAGACGTGTTCGCTATAGCAACTGAGGTGTTCCCTATCGCGATTTCATTCAGACCAGCTGGACTTCACGTAAAAGAAGTAGACTACGGAAATGCGTAATACGATAGGCTGCCGCCGCAATGGGTTTGAGCTTTGTAAGTGCTTGGTCTTTCCATTCAAAACATCGTTCAGACGATATTTTGCCTCGTTTTATAAATGCAATCTCAACATTTTTTGATCCTGCTAATCGCCTCTTGCAGTGGGCTCGTTCGTGTGGACCCACCTGATGAACCTGCAGGAGACGGCCTCCCCCTACCAGCTGGAGGTCCAGGGACTTCTCGCCGATCTCCACCTGCAGAACAAGTTCAGCATCGACACACGCAAGTACTCGAGGAACTTTGAGATCTCCGGCTTCAACTCCGAGTACCACGTGGGCGCGTCGCTGGACTCGAACCTCGTCTACAGCTCCAAAAGCTACATCCCACGCTCGCTCAACTCCAACCTGACGCTGCAGATGTTTGGCGAGAGCGTGAACCTGCTGGAGGTAAGACTTGGGCTTTCGGGTACATGAGATGGCCTAATGAAGCACGGTGATTTGCTTTTAAAGCAGCCAGGGACTGTCATAAATGATAAAATGCGTACACATATGTACTTGTTGCACGTATTTTGAACGTACCGATATTTGTATGATGCGTATATATTTTGTATGATGCGTACTTACCCTGGGATATACTTTGAAAATAAATGGGAAGCTTCATGGCTCATGGTGCTTGATGTAACTGAGTATGAATCGTCATTCGGTCGCCAGTTATATTCACAATGCGCAAACCAACCAGGAGCTGGCTGGATGTTGGTCAATTCAGCATTTCTTTCCCGTTAAGGAAAGGTAGGTATGGGACCATCGCGAAAGTTGCCGAGCCAGGCTAGCCAGGAGACTGACCACGCCGCCATTCTATTTCAGGTCGGAGCCCGAGTCGAGGGCATGGAGCGTCTCGTGGAGTCGGTGTTTGCGCCCGGCGGAGGGCTCCATAACGCCGCGCCCGAGCCGCTCTTCCGGAGTCGCCGCGACGCCACCCAGCGGGAGAAACTGGAGAAGATAAAGGCCGACTTTGACGCAGCAGGCAGGATGGGCGACCCGCAGGCATTCTTCCACATGAAGGTATAAATGGCAACGTGTAGAGTTCATCTTTGTTACCTTTTTTGTGAGGTGCTTCGTTTCGTTTCGTGTGTAAGTGTTTGTTATGATTATTTAGAGAATAGCTCAGCAGCTAAGAATTTACGGGAACCGACTCATATTACGGGAGCCTTGTGGAACTGCTTTTATTATCAATGCACAAGCATATGCATGTGCTCATTTTGATATTCAGGCTGCCCCATCTGCTTGTGCTATTCCACGATCAACCAGAACTAGAAGAGACAGTTTTCCACACTTTTGCTAAATTTGGGTAAGCAATAAGCATGCTACCCAGTGTTTGGGCGCGTTGGTGTTTGTCATTGGGTGTTTGGACACGTTTGTTGTTTGTTTCGCCAGGTGTTTGGACATGAGGTGGACGGCGTGGATCTGCGGAGCTCGGACGCTAACAGAGTGACCGGGTGGCTGACCGAAAACGGTCCGGGGGAGTGGATCAAGTGGCTGGGAAGCACAGAGGTGGGTGAGATTGGCGGTCGGTAACCTGTCAGTGGCGGTAATGATACGAGTCGCTAGGTGTTGCAGTTTATCTATCAATAATTAGGAAAAACTCCAAAGATATATATTGTCGCCGTTCAATAGACATAAAACAGCCAGAATCGCAAGGTAAATACTTATGTACGACCTCGGTGTTTTGCTGCCGAAATAGTTGCAGTGCCAAAGATATGACGCCTAACGGAGTTTAACCCTATTCCTGGCGGGGGGGGGGGGGCCTCAGGAGCCCCCCCCCCTGAGGTTTTTTGGTAATTTCTCCCAAACGCGTTGAGCTAGGAAGCTCAAATTTTCTGACTTTTCCTAAAAGGCTTCTACGCAACATGTCTAAAAATTTTGAGTTGATCTGACCTCAGGTCAGGTCACCAGAGGCGGTTTGGTGACCCTACCTCAGAAAAGTTTGCAATCACGCCAGAGCTAGAGTTTTTGACCGATCAATTTCTTCTCTTCAGGGTTTAGTTAGGGTACCAGTATGTGCAATTTGTATATCTCGGAATTTTGATATCGGTGACCTAAGGTCAGGTCAATTTCGCGACCTCCCCATTATAAGTCAATGGGGGAAAAATCAACTCCCTGTTTTTACCACTAAAACGGGTCGGAATGGCCCCATATACCATACATGACTTCATATACGATCAACCTTCACTACCTTGAGGTCTGTTTTGCTGTTGGGCAGCTGTGAGGTCATGTGACGTCATCAAAGGTCACCAAAGGTTTTTGGCCAATAACTCCGTACAGGAACAAGATACAGACGCGTGGATGGTCTCATTGTGTTCAGCTCGTCAAGACGCATCGAATGATATACATGATGACCTCGAGGTCACGTGACCTGAGGTCAACCTTTGACCTTGACCTTTCGAGGTCAACATATATATCTTTCGATGCGGATTGACGAGAGGATCACGACGATGCCCTTAGTTTGTTCCTATCTTGACTAATTCGAAAGTTATCCGAGAAAAACTCTCTCCATATCTAGCGCCGCCATTTTGTCTTTTTCGACCCCTGTGACGTCATCTTTGACCTGACCTGAAAATGACCTTTGTAAAAATTGTAGATCTTGGCCGTGCGTATCCGATGCCGTTTACCGCTTGTCGCTATCTTGCTTCGTTCTCGAGATCTCAGGGGGGGGGCCGAATCGGCCCCCCCCCCCGCCAGTTTCTTGTCCCGGCGGAGCCCGCCAGGAATAGGGTTAATATTATTTCATATCTTATCAGTTTGCAGTCATGTACTTTAAAACGGCCATTTTTACATATACGACTGACCATCCCTTTTTCCACTTAGCCAGTAACCTACCGTATGTTCGATCGAGGACGCATGATCCCGATCTGACCCCTATCTGCCTCCCTGCGCAGAGTCTGGACATCAGTCGCTCGGTGAAGTTTCTGGAGGGCACCTACATCGTGCCGACCGGAGTCGGTTTGCCTATGAACCTCACCGTCTCTGCCGTGGCCGCTGTCAATGTCCAGATGTCCGGTAACGCCCAGCTGGAGAGGCTGTTCAGCAGCCAGGAGCTGGATCTGGCCTTCCGACTGAGGCCCAGGTCAGTCACTGGTGGGCGCCCAATGATGCAAAATCAGTTAATGCAGAGCATCAGACTAACGGCATTGGTCACTTTTGGGACACCAAGCTATGTATACGTGGCCATATTTTGCGTTCCTATTTCTCCTAAAAATGCGTCTCACAAATTTGCTCAAGTTCGAAATGCTAGTTATGTAATTTATTATTATTATTATCATGACGATTCATGCTATCTATGATATATTATTCATGTCAAGTTCTTTCTTCCAACGCAGTTCACGTATAAGATGAGATCGCTGTAATATCGTGACCTCAGCGATACTGATCACAGCTGCGGTAAGTTCAGTGCAGCTGTGGCCGCCTGATTATTAACCACTCCATTCCACTCCAGCGGCGCGGTGACGTGCGACATGACGATGATGGTGGACGGAATGGCCGTCCAGCTCGGAATGGGCATGAAGGCCACCGTCCACTCTTCCACCCTCGTGGACGCCAGCCTCAGAATGGAGGGCTTCAGGCTCGTCAACGCCCAGGTCAACATGCCCAAAGAGAGGATGGACGTCTACAATTTCGAGTAAGAATACATGCGATAGGTACAGAGGCTGAAGAGGGAAGCGTAGATGGTTCATTTAAGTCGCGATGTCGCTCTGGCTATTTTCACAGATCAGTGTGGATGGAACGATTGTTTAATTTCCGGGCATCAAAGTTCGTTCAGAGAGCTGGCGAATCGCTCAAACAATTATGTAGTAAAGCAGGCTGAGATTATCGTCCCTGCGATTCCCTCGTACAATTGTATTTTCTCCTCTCTTACAGGTCTTCGATGGAGTTTATTCATCAGGACCAACAGACAACGCTGACATCAGAGATCACCATGGAAGGGGACAAACACCAACAAGTCTCCTTCGTGTCCTGCTCAGGAAATGAACGCGTCCTGGTAAATATGAGACGCCGTCACTGCCCGCGTGACGTTTCAGTGGCTGGGTTAAGTCTTTTTAACGTAGAATCAAAGCTCATGTGGGGCCCAATTACAGATTAAGTCATGAATAAAACATTGCTTGTTGTCCAGCTGTATGATCGTTGACACGTATAATGTCGCCACATGCTTATCCAACCGATGGCACCTATTCCACTGACCCGAGTTTGTCTTTCTTCCAGGGCTGGAAGCTGTGCGCCCAGCTGCATTACGTGAACGCCTCGGATAACGAGATGGCGCCTCATTTTCCTCTCACCGGGCCCACCAAGATCGCCCTCTCCGTGGAGAAGACCGACAAAACGATGCAGGGCTACAAACTCGAATGGGGCATCACCGATAACAATGTAATTAGTTATTACAGATTAGCGGGTGTGCATAAAGCGTGCTGTCGTTGTTAATGTGCATTCAGTGGCCGTATTCACAATCACGGGTTAAGGGTAGGGGTAGGAGTAACGGTTAACGGGTTATTTTTGTGGCCGTATTCACAATCGAAGTTTACCCCTGATAGTCGCCCGGCGCCATGCAGACGGCACCTGGCCTGCCAGGTGTTGAAGATGGTGTTGAAGATGATATTCAGAGTATCAGAGACGTGGCGAAATTGCGTGGTGCTGGTAGATAAATCATGATGCACTGACGATGTTGATAATTATGGGTAGGGACAGGAACGAAGACATTTAAGTAATGAAATCCAGCAATCGTTCGATATGTTGACGTATTCGATCGTCTCCCACAGTTCGAACACAACTTGATCGTGACGCTCGACACTCCGGAGTCCACGATAGATCGGCGAGTCCAACTGAAACTGAAGAGGTCTAAAAAGCACGGCAGAATCGGCTTCATATTCACCTATCCCGGTGAAAAGCTCAGTGGAAACGGTAAGTGTGCTTTCAAAAATATAGCATGATAGCTTAACATGCACAAAAATATCCTGATTGTACAAAAGGGCAAAATATGTATGCTCCCTGAGTAGAAATATCTGTTCGATGGCGAAATAGGTATACTCGTACTATCGTTAAATCAGATCGCTTGTTTTCACTTGAACAAGTTCCGTGCATACATTCTATGCACAATGCACATTCATTAATCTGGAGGCGTTTTTCTTGTAACACATCTCCCTGTTCTAATATCTCCCTGCCAAACCTATAACCCTGCTACACTGCCGTCAGGTGAAACCGCCTGGGAGATGAACAGGAAGAAGCTAGCGCTGCAGGTGTCTCGCAGAGGGGTGCAGGTGCTCGACCTGACGGCACAGCTAGTGACCGACCAGACTGCCACCGGCGTCATGTACCGACACACGTTCATACTCAACCTCGTGCAGAACCCGTACGCCAATCTACAGGGTAGGTCAGTGGGACTTTATTTTCAGTCGGATGAACAGCTGAAAGCGATTGTTTTTTATATTTCCCTAGTCCAATGATTTATGCGACGATGTACGTTGTTTTGAAATTTGTGTTTACATCTCTGCATACCGTGTGTAATGAAACAATATATATTTTCAGGATTTGTCAAGATATCTCAGGACGAGAGCGCAATGCAGCGGGAGATCGACCTTGGTCTCACGTTGCCGTCGATTACGCTGGGGCTGGTCTCCAACGCCACAGAGTCTCCGGAGCTGTATAAATCGAAAATCGCCATCAAACATACATTGCGGGTAAGGCTTCCAGTGTGTGATCTTCAGGTATAAGATATGCGTTTCTTGTGGTATGTGGTAGGAGTGCCTCACCCTGACGTTTCTTTTTGTGATGTTTGATGACCCCGATCGCCAGTAATGGAATGACTGTGTTGGTAGGAGCGCAATACAGACAACCCACTGTGTCGATGCTGCTGAAGGCACAAAATGAATTGCGTGACAATTCATGTGTGTCTTTCTGTGATGGTCAGGGCGGGTCGCAGAAGGAGCTCTCCTTACTACTGGAGGTATGAAAGGGACACAGTGTAACCGTGTGTCTATCTGTGACCGTGTGTCTGTCTGTTGTGTCTGTGACTGTCTGTCTGTCTGTCTGTCTGTCTGTCTGTCTGGCTATCTGTCTGTCTGTCTGTGTCTGTATGTGACTGTGTGTCTGGTGTGACCGTCTGTGTGTGTCTGCAACTGTGTGTCTGTCTGTGTAACCCTGTGTCTGTCTGTAACTGTGTGCCTGTCTGTGGTGGCCAGGGCGGCCCTCAGCGCGAGCTCTTGCTACTGCTGGAGGCACGATAGAGGCGCAGTGTGACCGTGTCTGTAAAACTGTGTGTCTGGTGTGACTCCGGTGTCTGGTGTGACCGTCTGTCTGTGATTGTATGTCTATCTGTGGTGGCAGGGCGGCCCTCAGCGCGAGCTCTCGCTACTGCTGGAGGCACGGGACGGTGAGGACGGCGACGGTGGAAGAGTCGGACACTGGATGATGGCCACAGATGTCGACCTGACCGAACACATCCGATTCGCCTGGGCGGGACGCTGGGACAGCAAGGTGAGAACAAACCCGAACTTACATGGTGGCGGTTATTGGAGAAGGCGAATAATTAAGAAGCGCAGATATGTTGGTCATTGCCCTTTGCCGTGGGAACTGGAATGGAGAAATACTCATTTTAAATTAGTTTGCAACAACATTGTTGTGTCGATAAAAGGACATGAATGGAAATTAATTGCGATTTCCTTTCAAAAGACTAATGTTAAGTCAACTAAATATTTTTGGGATCATTTCAGAAATTATATCATCCGTGCGGTATTAGGAAAATGCAATATTGTGAGGTAGGTGATCTAAAGATCTTCAAATCTTGAAACTGATTGTTTTGCCATGCACAAATGCTTCTTTAGCATGTTGTTTGGCATGACATTTAGTGCGCCTTGCTGTGACAATGGCATTGTGATCAAATTGAGCAAGTTACAAAATACCAGCCTGTGGTCGTCGGGTTTTACGTTGTAACTGTGACTATTTCTCTTTGTGACAGAACTCTCGAGCCAGCACGATGAATAAAATCCAGACGGCTCTCAGGCCTGAACAGTTCGACACGAGTCCCACCTTTTCGGTCGGGTATCGGTTCGATTACATGTCCACCGAAGAATCGAGCAAGGTAAGCATGTCCCACTGCAGCTGTTTTACAGTAACTGTAAGCGTGACGTTTTTATTCTTGAGCGGATTTATTCTTTTAATTGCTGGAGAATATCAGTCAATTCGCTTACTCTTCAAAGACTAAAGCTTAGCTAAACCAACATATGCAGGACGGTTTCGCCTCTACGTGATTAACTATAGCAACCCATGGTTTGCATATCAGCTCTGTCCGGCCCCGCCATCAGCCACTTTTTTTTATAAATTTAGTCCGAACCTTTTGATGGGAAGGATTCACAAGGACAGAGCCACCGCTAAGCGAAGCTTGTTGCGATGACCCTGCCCTCTACCCTCCGATCGCGCAATTCCGATTCTATGGCAGAATTTTAGAGTCCAAAGTTTAACGTGCGCACAAAGCCGCGCACGGCCGGTCCCCTCGCTGACTTCGCCTGGCTACGGTCTGCCACCAACCGCAACCATACCTGTCAGGAGGCCCATAAATGTCGAGCGCCCTTCGCGCTTCGAACCCGGACTGTCATAACCGGGAATGCGTGCTCTCACCACGCGGAGTCCAACGCTCTAACCAACTGAGCTACGGGACCGGCTACTTCTGTCTGTTTTTAACGTCAGCTCCGTTGAACGAGGGGCCACACTTTCCGGTCCGCTCTAACCTATGCTCTGCTCTCTCCCAGGTGAGGGGTAGCGTCCATCTCAAGTACCCGTCAGCGCGTCTGGACCTGATGCTCCTGGGAGAGCACGCCAACATCTACCGTGGTTTGGTGAACAAGATCACGCTGCGCTATGCGCCAGGTGAGAGGGCCAAATGCGAGATACGGGACCTTGATGCGGTGGTATGGGATACGGTATGACATTATGGCAGTACGATGATACGGGTACCGAACCGCAATGTGATGATGCAGGATTTGGGAATCGTGATACGAACAGATACGGAATACCGCTATGCGATGCAGCCATGCTTAGAACGGACTGTGGTTCTGTGACAACTGACAATAGATGCGGGATCGTAGTTAACTCAGCGGAAGAAGGAATAGCCAATGGAAGTATTGCAGGGAAGCGCACCTCCGTGCTTAGAAGCATGCAATCTGTCATTAGGTGCCGACTTATCTTGAAGGCCGCACAAAGAATAAGCAAACTCGACAGACCTCTCTTTGCCTAACAATTGGCATGTCTCACCTCCCCTTTCCTGCCTTTCTCAGGTCGTGAGCTGCACTCCCGTCTGAACCTGACCGGACTCCCGGTGGGCCGCACCGACAAACTCGAGGGCTACTGGGAGCTGGAGGTGCCGGGCTACCCGTATTCGATCCAACTCGCTGGCGACATCCGCAGGGATCTCGAGGCCGCTACACCCAGCCAATATAAGGTACGGCTCAGACGGGTCCTGAAGTGAGTAAAGAGTGTCTGTTTAAAGGGACCCTCCCACCTTCAAAAAAGTTAATGAATTGGCATGAAAGTGATGTCCCTTGGTTCAGAAAGAGCGAAAACGAATATCTACCAAATTTCACCGAAAAATATTCACTGGTTTTCAAGATATTAGGCTTTTACTTTTGTTTACTTTTTGGGATCTCCCCTGTTACTAGCGACTTTATTTGGAAGCAATAATTTGGCAGCCCTAAAGTGCGGCAGACGTTGCGCGCAAAGCAGCGTATACCACCACGTGTTAATGATGGTTTTGGTCTAAGATTTAAACATCGTTAGATCTCCGCTGACGTCACAAATTCTAAGGGGGCATTCCAATGCATTAGCCCCTTAGAATCCGAAAACTGCAAGTTTGAAATTCCATATCTTCGAATTAAAGCATTTTTCGATGTTGTGAGTGTCCAAACCGGTATTTGCAGGTCATGGCCACCAATTTGGCTATCTCAACTCAAAACTAATGTTAAGGTGGGAGGGTCCCTTTAAGCGTTTTTGTTGGTAACCGAAGGTTTGTTGTCAATAGTTAAAATATGAATGAGAACATGCTGTCTAAAGTCTCTCACACCTGTTCCAGTACACGTCCAGTCCAGTCCAATCATTATCAGTGCATATTCAGTCCAATGCCTCTGTTTAACCCGCGCCCTGCTGGGGGGGGGGGGGGGGTGTTTGAACACCCCCCCCTTGTGGTTTTTCGCGAATATATCACGTTTTTGGTACACCTTATCATGCATCAATTCTACACATGTTGTAAAAATTTCAGACCAAGGTCATTCAAGGTCAGGTCACCAGGTCACTTGAAGTGACCTCACCTCATAAAAAGTTTCAATGTCTGTTATAGCTACACCGAGTGACCGATCGCTTTGAAACTTTCAGCGATTGCTAAGAGCAATAGCATGAACAAAATGTTTATATCAGAATTTTGATATCGATGACCTAAGGTCAGGTCAATTTTGCGACCTCCCCATTATAAGTCAATGGGAGAAAATTGAAATGCGCCTCTTTTGGACGAAAGACATTATAAACACTTCCAAACACCGAATTACAAGTGGTTTAGACACACTGAACATGAAAATGGTGTCCGTGACCCTTGTTTGTGCCCTGAGGTCATCTTAGGTCACGAATGGTATCTAACAGTTTTTCGCAAATAACTTTTGATAGAGGCATGCTAGAGCGATGAAAACGCCTTATATGTGTTCAGCTCGACGATACGGATCAACTGATATGCAACATGACCCTTTCCGGTCAGGTCATGACCTTGACCTGAGGTCAAATTTTCAAGTTGACCTTTCAAGGTCAAGTTATAGTTCATTCAATGCGTCTTGACCAGAGGAACACGATGCCGGTGAAAGTAAGCTCGTACAAGGCTTAGGTCAAAAGTTATTGCAGAAAAACTGTTTCCGAAAAATCGGCTATTTTTGCAGTTTTTTCCCCCTGCAGGCAAAATCATTAACGTTAGGTCAAATTTAAGAGAATTACTCAGAAAGGGCGTTAATAGGGCTATCGAATGCACTTTTCCGCGGCGCTGTAGCTCTATTGGTTCCCGAGTTATGCGTTGGCTTCTTGGAAGTTTCGACATTCGACCTGGAAATCGGCGAAATTTTGCCTTCAATGACCTCTGGTAACCTGACCTTTGACCTGACCAAAAAATTGACCGAAGTGGTTTCGTCATTATTTTTTACGCTCTTTCGAACGCCGCCTTCCGCGTATCGCTACGTGGCCCAGGAGCCGAGTTACAAGGGGGGTGTTCAAACACCCCCCCCCCCCAGCAGGGCGTGGAAATCCAGGACCCCCAGCCTGGCGCGGGTTAACTTGTATCTCTCCCTCCCCATCCGCTAGTACCGTCTGGAGTCCCAGCTTGTCTCCGGCGGCTCTTTGTCTCTCATGTCTCTTATGTGTCACATATCTCACATGCCCCTCTCCCCTCCCACCCAGTACCGTATGGAGGGCCGGTGGCTCTCTGGCGGCTCGGCGCTGGCCACCGGTATCTACCGTCTTCAGCTGAACGAGCAGGCCATGAGCGTCGACCACCGGCTGGAGCTAGATCTGGCCGTGGAGGGCAGGTCCCTGCTCAACGGCTCGGTAGAACTCGGGATCTCCCCGACGGTGGTCGCTGTCGGAACGCAGGTTTGTTACGGCCGGTGAAGAACGGAGATTATGGGCTAGGGAAAGAGCACAAGTGGGGACCGGTATTGATTTGTTTCATCAATTTCAGAGATGTTCTATCAACAGCAGTGGATTCTATTTGGGTTTTTAGTGAAGATAACTGTAGTATAGTGAAATGATAAGTCGTAGGTGGGTTTCTTTTTATTTTATCTTATTTTTTTCTCATGACGTGATTTTTACAAGCGTACCGAATCCAAGTAGAAGGTTTGTGTCTAGCACACCAAGCTCCCACTTCTCTCACCCACAACACATTACCAAGCAGACATGTGCATGGATCCGAGAAATTGGATCTGGGATCTGATCCCACGGATCCTGATCCCGGATACGACGGGATCATAGATCCAGCTCTGTAATTTATTGAGAGATCCGTAGGGATCACAGATCCGAGTCTCATTTTTTGCTTGAGATCCAGTGAGATCATAGATCCTCGCTTATTTTTTGCGAACACATATATCCCCAAAAAACGCTTGTTTCAACTCACAAACATACTGTTTTAGTGATTTTATGTGATCGCGCGTCATAATCCATAGTTTTGTGGCATTTATTGACATAGAAACCCCATAAAACATGGTTTCAAATGTGCATGGTGGGATCCACTCAGATCATAGATCCATGTTCTTAATTTATCGTCAGATCATATGAGATCATAGATCCAAGATGTATTTTTCTCGCCGGATCTGGTGGGATCATAGATCCCAACCTGTACTTTGCTTCGAGATCCACTGAGATCATAGATCCATCACTCGGATCCATGCACATGTCTGTTACCAAGCACCATTCGGTCTGCAACCAGACTGCTAAATCCACGTCCTTGTAACCACCCTCCCCCACCCTCCTTCAGGTGACCTACTCGGGCTCCGACTACGGCGTGGAGGCGCGCTACTGGCTGGCTCCAGTCGAGTCGGACATACAGCGGTCGGTGCGACTGGGTCTCACCTACCCCGGCTCGGCCTACAGTGTCACCGGCACTCTCAGACTCGGGGAGGTGTTCCGAACCACCCTGGAGCTCTCACTGCCCGCGCTCTCGCGACACCAGCGGTAGGTGGAATGAGGGATGAGGGTGGTGAGGGTAGTGTTTGAGCTTTTCAGAGTAATGTGTGAGCTTTGCAGCGCCCACATCGCGATGGGCTAGGCACGGTGAATTTGTAGGCATTCTACATATACTCGGGCAGGCCTCTACGAGCTTAACTGCAGAACGAGTTCTTTGTCGTTGGTAATAAATGGTGCTGGCTGACGTCAGGCTTTGCGTCATTCAAACCGCTCGCCCAGCTATCTTTTTTTCGCTAGACACTATTGACGCCATATTTTCAGCTTTCCGAAAGCAATACGAGTACATAGCAAAACACCAAAATGTTGTCAACCAACCCTTACCGTGCGTTTTCAGTCAGCGCGACGTCCAGCTGATCGTTGGCGGTTCCCACACGGACTCCCTACTCGCCTGGGTGGTGGATCTCAAATGGGACGCCAACTGGGACCCGACGCAGCGGCTCATGATGGATTTCCGTGCGGAGGAGCCGTCGGATGGCACGAGGAACGTCACAGTTCGGATGGTGTATCCGGTGAATACGATACAGCTGACCATGGACCGAACGATGACTGGTGAGTGAATATGGTGTTTTATGTATCATGGAGGTTTTAGCAACGACTCTGATCTCTTTTCTTGAATTCAGGGTTGTGAACTTGAAAATGCGTGAAAGAAGGCGATGACTAACGTCAGACTTTAAGTCGATTTTTACCGATTTGGCTTGTGATAAATAAAGACTGATCCAATTATACCAATATGCAGCTATAAGTATTATGTTAGGCTATACATAGTCTGCTTCCCTCACTCCCTATCCCTATGCTACTTTGCCTGTCACTTACATACACGGTCAACTCACGGTGCCCGCGCCACCTTTCAGTAACCTCGTCTGTGTCCGCAGGCGGCTGGACCCGCCTGCAGTACCACAACCACGTCCTGCTGGCGTTCGGCGAGCTCGAGCCAGTCGAGATGACCGTCTCTGCCAGTACCGCTCTGGACGTACCCACCAAGAGGGTTTCGGTGGACGCCACACTCACCTCGCCCTTCCCCCACTGGGCCAGGAACTCACTCAAACTCAGGTGAGTTGCTGCTAACTCTTAGCTCAGGTGCCACGCTTAGGTCAGTTACCAAGGTCAGTGGCTTTCAGTGAGAGCCGTTAAAAAGACAATGATGTGCGGGTAGGAAGGTGGAGGTAGTTTGCAAGTAGATCGGTATTGTAATTTAAGGCTTAATATCTGTTTATTTCACTTTCCACCCCAAACACCTCCTAGCCATGGATGAGGAGATATACTAGTCATGACCTCTCCTCCCCCCTCCCGCAGTCACGCGCGCTCGGCCAGCAGTCTGCAGTCTCGACTGGAGGTACTGGCCGGTGGAGAACGGTTCATCGGCTCCCTGGACGGGCAGCGCCGAGGACCGGGCAGTGTAACACTCGCCGCTACTGTTACCTCTACCATGGAGCGGCTGAGGAGGGTGGAGGCCCGTCTGGACCATCAGCGGCACGCCCAGGGCATCACGTCGTCCTTGGTGCTGGTGAGGGCATGGTGAAAGAGGACGGCGTTAGTATGTACTGCTCAGCTCAGGACTTGTAGCATCGTAATTTGACCTTTGGTGGTTATGGAACTTGGAAGGCATTTCATGAACAGAAGTGATGGAGAAGTGGTTCCCAAGGTTAAGCTCGCCGCTAGCCTGTGGATGCCTCAGGCAGCCTGTGGATGCCTGATATTCATTCAAAGTTAAACCAAATTTAATGTGCTGTATTGGTGCGCCAACGTTTTTTTATCTTGGCCAGGGCTCATTTTCTTTTTTTCCTTTCCGAATCATGGTTTGGGTTGTTTTTGATAGTTTATAGCAGTTCACTACATACTGACGAATGTTTCGCGTTATTTCTGTCTATTATAGGAGACTCCTGAGAACCGTATATCGGGCGATCTGGCCCTGCGTGACCTGAGTGGCGGTGGCGAGATGCGCTACCGAGCGGAACTCAACGTCACCACGCCCTTCCAGGTAAGGAATCATGTCTGTAGTGTCCTGGCGTTCGAAGGGGAATGTGGAGTAAGGAATGGCGTGTTGTCGGAATCGGTCATTTAACCCGCGCGGGGCTGGGGTCTCCAGCCGAACGCGCGGGGCTGGGGGGGGGGGGGTAAATTTTACACCCCCTCCCCTGTTATCTCCCGAACTAATGGTCCGATTTGGAAAATTCAAACGCCAATCGAAAGCTCTCATCACGAACTACTAAAAACATGTACTTAATTTAAAGTTTGAGGTCAAGGTCAAGGTCAGGTCAAGGGTACAAATTGCAAGTTTCTACAGTATCGGCCTTGCACCGTAGTTGCCGAAGAATGGAGTCATGGACTGAGACTGATCGCCCAAAACGTGTTCTTAGGCTACCAAGACAATATTCGTTGCATACAATATCATTCAGAGGTCAAGGTCAAGGTCAGGTCAGGTCAGGTCAGGTCACCAAAAAACAAAATATAGAAAAGGGCATGTGCGACACATGTTTTATGGGTCATTTTACTCATAGAATTCAATAGGCACACTCAATAAGTGATATGGACCACCTCTGGATGAATTTCAGGTCGAGGTCAGGTCAAGGTCAGGTCAAGTGAGGTCAAATTTTGAAGTTGGTTGTTAAGGCCTAAAAAGGTGTCTATCTGATGCAGTTTTTCACGGCGAATCGAATGGTGCTATTTTTCTTTCCGTACGAGGTCTAGAACTTCCAAAAAAGTCATTTTTTTCAAAAATTTTGTGTGTCGTGACGTCATAAACTTTTGAATAACTCCCACATTTTTGAACCGATTCTTCTAAAATTTGGTATGTAGGTGCACATAGACCAATTATCTGACATATATTCCGCTTTTTTCGATAGACTCAAAATTTTGGATTTTATAATGATTTTCCCAAAAAAGTCAGTTTTTTAAAAAAATTTAGGCCAAAATCCAAAATTTTCAAAAAACCGAGATAGCCATTTGATAGACAAAGTAAAATTACGTATAACCTTTTTGTTACGTCTTGATTCCTTTAAAAATGAAGATGTTAGCGGCGTTTGAACTTTTGCCGTTTTTGAGGCGAAAATGGCGAACATGACGTCACTAAAACGTCAATTTCTCAAAAATTTTCCGACGGATTTCGCTCAAATTTTCAGGGAACGTGTCAAATTGATGTAAGAAAAGGTACTGAAAGTTTGGCGGCGCTGCGCGCCGCCGTTTTTGAGATATCGCAAAAATTCGCGAGGGGGGGTAAAATTTACCCCCCCCCCCAGCCCCGCGCGGGTTACCTGACGACCACTGGATAGATTGAAAGGAGATGCGTGCCATCATAATATGAGATGCTTTCTTTATCATCAGAACGTTGATCGCGAGCTCGCTGTTAAACCCAAAGAGGTTAAAATGAAGAAACTTGTTACGCGGCTGACCAGGTTACAAACCACACCAAATTGCAAACTAACCTAGTGTTTTAGCTAACCCAATGCCCACTGGTGACATGGTCGGGTATTTCAGGGAATGCATGACGCCACCTACATGCTCGACGCCAGACGGTCGGCTGAAAGCTTTATTCTGACGGGAGAGAGCAGAGTGGAAAACATCGGGCACAACCTGGTATTCAAGGGTGAGTACTGGATTACTGCGATTGGAGCACGATTTCGAAGATGGTCACCGATCCGATAACTTCATACGACGCCCTGTGGTGTATGGTATTAATGCTTTTAAGCAGTGGACAACAACTTAAATACGAAGAAACTTGTGGCAAACAATAGATGAAATTTGTTTTGAAGAGTTTGTTGAAGATCAGGCGATTCGAATGTGTAACATATTGGATTGATCTCCTTGACATTGATCTTTCTCATGTCTCGCAGGTGAGGAGTCTGACCGGATAGAGGGCTCGCTGATACTGGATCAGATCCACCCTCAGCTGAACCTGTTCACCGCCGAAATGCTGCTCGATCCCTCCGAGGCGGGACGGGCGTTCAAGGTAAGAGACCCATGGCGAATTGAAACGAGGGTGATTTTGGTTTTTACCGTGTTATTTACTCCTGAACATGTGAGCGTTGAAAAAATCAGTGCCTTCGCTGTTACATCTATCCTTCGTTAATATACCTTTGTACTCTTTTGCAGACCTCACTGAAATGGCCGGATAACCGTGCTGAGCTGGAAGGGAACATGCACTTCCGGGCGTGGAACGACTTCGGGGCTGGCCTGCAGTTCATCTCTCCTCTGGAGGCCATCAGAGACGTCGGCCTGATGGTGAAAACTAAGCAGACCGGACCGTACGCCTTTCAGGTCAGTGTTGTGTGAGTGGTCTTTCCTGCTAGTATTTGTCGGAACGCATAAAACAAACTAAGCAAGCAGGGTCATCTTCAGTTCAGTGCTGGATAGGTTATCAATTTACTCAACGAATTGAATGAATATGACTATTTGCAAATTCCCATCAAACTAAATGACTTCTAGTCTGCTTCGGTCTCTCTTCTTACTTTACCCCGTCACCACCCCCTCATATCCGCAGTCTGAGGCCCGCGTGGCGTGGCTGGGAGAGAACCCACTCGGTCTGATGGTCGATTTCGACCTGGAGCCGCCCGGCCTGGACCCCTCCAAGGTCGGGCTGACCCTGAAGTCGGAGCTGCGGCTGCCGCTGCGGTTCGGGAGCCGCATCGCGCTCGGTCTGAAGGGAGTCGTCGACCGGACCACCCGAACCCTGTCTGCCGGCATCGACGGCGCGCTCGATCAGTACAAGGTGAGGCTGGCGTTTTTCTATGCGTAAGATTATAGCGTTATGATGTCAACTTATACAGATGTTTGAGTGGTATGAAAATATGTTGTGATATGTTGGAGATCTGCTCTTCCTGCTCGCTCATAGAAATTGCTGTTTGTATTCGTTCGAGGAATTCTGCCGTCATCGGTACTGTGCATCTACAGTCAACTCTATTCAGCGATTCACCACGGTTCCTTCTCAGTTCTCATCACCACGCACAATTAAGGCCTGCTTGTGCTCTGTTTATAGCTCACTACATAATAAGCCATACGAACCTTATTTATTGCCGTTTACTCCGTCGTCCGTCCTCCAGACCTGTGCATCTCTCACCATTTATCCTTCTCTACCGGACAGGTGGCTCTGACGGCTGACGGGTCGCTCGGCTCAGCGGCACTGGACAAACGCTACGGCACCATATCTGTAACACTGCCCGCCGGGCCGGTCCGTCAACTGACCGTGGCCGCCAGTGTGCTTCCTTCGGCCGACAGGAAGTATGAGCTGTTCTTCTCACCCGTCTGGAAAATGGAGGATGGATCCATGCAGCAGGTGCGCTGTGGGAGGGTGGTGTATGGGCTGGGAGCGGGAGGAGACGAGCGAGTTTTTATTCCTGAATGTGTGGAATGAGCGGCAGAGGCTGTAATGTAGCCAAGATGTCAATGAAAGAGAGTGATAGATCGGGTAGATGTCTTGGTTGGTCATATAATTCGGTAAACCTGATATGCAAGTGCTCATTTCCTTGTTGCTCTATCGCTAAATGCAATGTCATGATTGCCTCTGCCGCTGACATGACTCGCCACTACCATGACAACAATCACAAACCTCAAATATTAACTACTCACCACTCATTTTTTTCTTCGTCCCGACAGATTCGCGTGACGAGCGTCATCGACATCAGCCAAATGGCGGTGACGGGATCGGTTCACGCCAACCTGCGCGTGCTGACTCCGTGGACGGAGATGCTGTTCCTGGACATGCAGCACTCCCGGACGCCGCAGGGAGAGATTGACACACGCCTGGTTGGCTCCATGGGCAGACACAACGCCGAGGTCAAGCTGAAGATAGTTGTGGTCATGGTAGGTGGTTCGTTGGTGCGACGAGCCTTGTGGTTTGAGGAACGCGGTGAGAGAGTCGGACTTCGTAGGGATTATTAGTGAATTGTATGTTATGTCGTTTTCGGCCCGTGCGTTGATACAAAAAAGAGCAACCTCAAATAACTTGGAATGTTCAAGTTCATTGTTCAGTCCATTAGAAGTTGATATTATTGCGGAGCTTTATCTTGTAGGTTTATCATGCCGAACTGCAGCTGAGACTGGTCAGCTCAATTATGCATCTGTTGTTGCACTTTGTTTTTCCTGATCGCGTGTTCATGTTGCTTTCAGAGGGGCCCGGAGCAGGGCGTGAAGGCGTTTTTGAGCTCGACCTCCAACATCCCGGCCTTCCCCGTGGTGGAGGCCTCTGCCGTGTACACGTTCAACCCTAACCAGCTGACCGTAACTCTCCTAACGCCGTATGAAGTGAGTGCTCAGGTCTAACTCGGTTTCATTGTGTTACTGTTGTGATTAGACCGACTGCACCGTTCCGTGCTTCTATCCTCAGGATACTGAAATCCTTCTCCTCCACGCCGCAACGCCCCTCCGGGCTGGACAGGCAACTTTATCTCATGCGGGCTGCTCCCTTGGAGCGGCACCGCTGCTCCCGAGGGAGCGCACCCCGTAGCCGGGTGCAGTGAGTACCTTGGGGCTGGGTGGCCTGTCCTCTGGACGGGCTCAGCCCCGGTGACTCACTAGGGTGCCTGCCCAGACCAATGTCTCCCCCTATATCCTATCATCCTCCCGGCTCTGAAATGGTCTAATTGGACCGAAAGGGCCTAACCCAACAAAACAGAAACAGACCGACTGCAAACAAGGTTCGTAGTTATTTAATGGATTTTATTTATGATATGCCGGAATTGTAACATTTTGTTCTCAAACATTTTTAAAGCGCGTCAAAACACTAACCGGGTTATTACATAAAGTCAACGATCTTTTCAAATAAAAAGCCTGACATCTACTCTTATGTATCCGATTACCTTGCAACATTTAACTATTGCAAGGCCATAAACTGACTGATTTTTTTCGCAGTACCGGGTGCGACTGGCGGCCGACTGGAAATCTGCTGACCGAAAGTCGGCAGCGTTCGAGCTGCTTACTCCTCTGGATGGACTGGATAGGGTGGCGGCCAAGTGAGTCTGTTCTTCAACTTCGGTAGTCAAGTTCTACTCAACATGTTGAACTCGTATTCATTGTAACACGTTATAAATAACGTAATCTCGTCATACGTTGCAATAAGTAAGATTAGTTCATACACCTCGCATAGACCACATCACGCATATTCCGCATAGCTGCGATCAAAACTAGAGTCCTATAATAGTACTGCTAGATGCCCTTATTATTTTGAAGTCACCCTAAGTTTTTTAATTGCAATGATGTGCTTGGATAGCTGCTTGCTTGTCTTTTGCGTGTATGTCTATGCTCATAACCAAAGTCCATTGCATTGTTCCGATCTGCTGACATTGTGGCCTCACCCCCGCAGTCTGGAGCTGGTCCGCAATGACGGCGCTATGGACCTGGCCGGCACGCTGACACTGCCCGGCTACCAGCGTCCGGTGGCTGTCAGTGGCACCTACCGACCGCTCGACCTGAGGCTCACCTTCTCGACGCCTTTCGAGGGAGTCACGTGAGTGGAGAACAGAGGCTGACTGGTGCATTTTTGTCATCAGGCTGTCATGCCCCTCGTTTTATTGTCGACTTATAAATAAAATAAGTAAACAGTTTCTAAGAACTAGGATTTCCAGGTATATTTTGCATTGACAAAAAAAAAGGAAAAAGACGAATAGAAACAACGTTAATCAATTTTCTGACTTTTCTCTCGTTGGTCCTTAGACCGTTTACACAAAGGATCTTTTCTCTCATCACTCCCGACATTATTAACCTCTCCCCACCACTACACGCCGTTCCGTTCCCTCCAGGTCGGGCTCGGTGCGTCTGTCGGCCGCTGTGGGAGGTCGCGGTCCCTCAGACGTGGTCCTGCGGGTGGCCTGGGAGCGCTACAAGGTGGAGCTGACCGGTACTGCCACCGTCGGACGGGGTGGCGTGCCCCAGCAGGTAACCGACACTGAATCACGCCGCGGCAGTGATGGTGAAGGGATTGGTGTATTTTACCATACATTCCTGTTGATATTAGCCGGTTTTACGAATTGCTTGGCTCTAATGTTTTACTTGGATCATCTTTTTCATCTTTTTGTCTACACAAAGAGATTGAACATAGAGTGGCGGGATGTTCACCGATATACCACCGTTCTGAGTAGGACGTACGTCGTCTTCTCGAGACGTTGCTAACGTAACCCTTGACAGTATTATAGCTGTGCTGTATTATGGCAGAGCTTGTTCCATTTTACATCCCCACGCCCATCTCTCCGGCGCAGGTGACGGGTACTCTGATAGTGAACCTGCCCGTCGGGCCGCGAGTGAACGGCCGATTCCAGCTGGCCGCCCGACCGGGAGAGCAACTCGTCTATGATCTGTCGGTGACTTCCAGCGTCGATGAGGCCAACTACCAGCTCAAGGGCGAGATATTCACCGGTCCCAGCCAGTTCGGAGTGGTCGTCAAGGTAAGGAATTCTTAATGGGCTGTATCCTGTATTCTTTCAATGATCAAAGAAAATCAATAAGCTGTTATGCGATGAAATTATGAACATGGAATGTCGCCTATTTAGTGTCAAGTTTATCGATATATTTGCGCTCATACTTACTATATATCATACTACTTACAGGTTCATCATCATCATACTACTTACATCATACTCATACTTACTCATACATCTTTAAACGCGTTTGATATACCTAATAGCTTTTGTAGCTAGTTTCTCCTGCGTTTTTTCTCGTGAAAGTCCATCCAAGGTGTTGACTGATCTATATCGTTAATCCTCCTAGAATACTATCACAGTGTTAATTATTCTGTCATCTATGTCCTACAGACCAGTTCAAACGGTGGTGCAGCCCAGGTATCTGCCGAGGCCTTGCTGATTCTGAGTGAGGCCGTGGCCAAGGTGCGGATGAGTCTGGACACGCCACACGAGGCGCTCCGAAACGTGTCGCTAACCGCCGAGTACAGGTACGATTTCCTCCCAGATGGTATCAAGTATCGACGCGCGCCTCGCCGACCCTTGTCTTTCACTGATCGGAATGGCTACGATCTATTAATTGTAGCACGCCATCCTGCAAAAGGGTTTCCTTCTTGTTAGCCGCTAACTAACGATTATGCACTTTTACCAAAACATAGACTTGAAAGTAGTTCTTGTTTCCGTAAGTACGTGAGCTGGAGTTCTTTACGTTACTGATGGCCCCCTGCCTCCTCCCGCAGAAACTCGCCAACCGAGGGTTACAAGCTGAGCTACAAGCTGCGTCACCCGAGAATCCAGGTGGAGGCTTCCACTCGCGTATCGGTCCACCTCTGGCCGGTCTTCTACATCGGCGTCAACGGGAAGGTGGCCATGGGACGCATGGTCCTAGAGAGATCCGCACGGTAAGCCATTCTTATTAACGGCGCTTATATATCTCTTTTCTGATACCAGTTTGGGAATAAACTGGCGAATTAGAAAACAGAACTCGGCGAAACATTCGTTGGTGGAACAGAGACTACATGATATCGGTTTGTCAAGATGTATCGAGTTATTGGTATATAATACCGGTTACTTATTTGCTGATTGTATGACTGTTTTCGTTTTTTTCCCCTCAAGAGTAGATCTTACAATACTTGATCATTTAAAAACTCCACTCTGCAGCGTGTTCCACGAGCCGGGCCGCGGCGGGAAGACGGAGCTGGGGGTGGCCTGGGACGTGTCCGCGGACCGGAACCGGCTGGCCGGCTGGGGACGCTACGCCGTGCTGGCCGACTACGCGCTGAGCGGCGCCGGCTTCGACGGCCAGCTGCTGGCGGGCAGGGACGCCGACCGCGACCGCACCGCCCCCACCGACCTCCGACTGGGTGCCGATGTCGACTGGCAGCGCAGTGCCGCTATGGGACGGGCCGTGCTGACGGCGCACATCAGAGACGCGCTGTACACACTGGATACCGATGTGAGTCCTCTGTGAGGTCATTAGGAGATACGGTATTTCATATGATCTTCGTCTGTCAACACTACAGTGGACGTGTGTTTTCTTTAGAGTTTATGTGAAATCAAAACAAAGTGGAGTTTTTATGCTATTTTTAGAGTGCTCGTATAGACACTTTGGTACAGCTTTTTACGTTTCTATGCAATATGTTGTTTTTGACCTTATCTTTTTCTTCGCAAACATTTTTCTGTAAGATTGGTAATTATCTGGAAATGCCATTATTTCGCATGACACAGCCACTGATCGTAGCAGATTCCTGGTTAACCCATTACTGTCCGGTTTCAGTACTCTGGAGCGGACGCCCACACCGGTTCGGTGCGGTTCGTGCGACGGATGCGCGGCTCAGAGCTCGAGGTGACGGCTCGCGGCCACCTCACCAAGGACTCCGTCACCGACAGATACATGGCCTCCCTCAACCTCACCATGCCCGTAGACGGCTACAAGGCCGTCAACACCGTCTGGCAGGTCAAGCACATGCCCAAGACCTTAGAGTTCGAGTGAGTTCGGAGTTGGTGATTAACACCAGGGAAGTGTCCTGGCTTCTACAAAGAGTCTCGATAACGATCATCCGGGGAAACTCCGCCGCTATCCTCCGCCGCTATCCTGAAGCTGGTCCCCATCACGTTGGGTGCGTCGCAGGACGCACGTCTAGCCCGGCAGAAGAGTCTGACTCAGCCGTGGACGGCGAAGTAGCTCCACCGGCTTCTTCATCAAAATCCAGCGTATTTGGCCAGCTCATCGAGAATGGGAGAAAGCTAGCCCCAAGCGACTTCTTTTGCAGTGTCGTTGCTTTCTCGTTTGATAAGCATCTACTATGGGGCCATTTATTTGTTATTTTCTTGACATGCATATAATCTGGAAGTTCGAATACTTGCTTTTTCGCAAAAGTAGCTAGCTTAGATTTGGCTTTGGTCGTATATGATGCTCCCCAAATAAATTGGTGTGTATTTCATACCGTAACTATGGCGCGCTTCATTGGCCGATGAAGTTTATATCATGAAATGTCGTCTTTTCAGATCGACGATTGAGATCGACCCCAAGTCCAGTTTCTACCAGCACACGAAGCATCACCTTGAACTCAACTACGACGGGCAACAGCAGGTGGATTACAATGGTAATGGTCAGTCGGTCTGCGACATGGGAGGTTGACGATGCCTACACTCGCCCCGCAATGTTTCTCACGCTTTGTGATTTTTGTGCACATTCTTCATGTTTATACCTTAGCCAACAGTTCTTTTGCATGACACCATCCGACTGAAGCGGTTTTCCATTTCAGCCAAGGGAGACTTCAGCTACGTGCATCATGACCTTGATGATGATCTGGATGTAACGAAGGTCAACGGAAAAGTCAACTTCATTAACAATGAGTAAGTTATACATTTTTTTTTTTTGGAATTTGGAAACGTGTGCACGAACATAGCTGTGCGTCAATTTTCTATGAGAATACCCTTCAAATTTGGATTTTTGTTTGTTTGTTTTGTTGGGTTAGGCCCTTTCGGTCCAATGGGACCATTTCAGAGCCGGGAGGATGATAGGATATAGGGGGAGACATTGGTCTGGGCAGGCACCCTAGTGAGTCACCGGGGCTGACCCCGTCCAGAGGACAGGCCACCTAGCCCCAAGGTACTCAGTACTCACTGCACCCGGCTACGGGGTGCGCTCCCTCGGGAGCAGCGGTGCCGCTCCAAGGGAGCAGCCCGCATGAGATAAAGTTGCCTGTCCAGCCCGGAGGGGGGTTGCGGCGTGGAGAAGGATTTCAGTATCCTGAGGATAGAAGCACGGAACGGGGTGTCAAATTTGGAACTATAAAGTACTAAGTAGATTGATCTAAAAATGTACTTTAATTTCACTTTCAATTTCATTCAAACAGAGGCCAAATGGGAGCGAGCGCGGAGGGTGAGCTGAACGATGGACGGTACGCTCTGGAGCTGATGAAAACCCAGTCTCAGGAGCTCGGCAACACCGGCAAACTGAACATCACATCGACATTCGAGTCCCTGCAGGAGTTCGTCGCCAACTACAAAGTAACGGTCAGTAGCTTGGTCCCTAACCACATCGCATTACATAGTCTACATATTTAGCGTAAGCAGCAACTGTTTCCCCAAGTTGAACTTTTCTTAATCTTTTTTTGTTTCAGCTCCTACACTAATGATTTTGTATTCCGAACTTAAGAAATTGGAAACCCTTACACCTAACAAAACGCCTGATTTTTCAGCGAGACCGGGCCAACCAGAACGCTCTTACGAGCACATTCGGCGCCGTGTATAACGGAAACCAGCTGGTGGACGGTACCTATCAATTCATGAGCGACGGCCTCACTCAGCGGCACACCCTGAACCTGGAGAACCCGCTGCATCCCTTCGACGCGGATGTCACCTTCATGGGCACAGTCGATCAGGTGATATATGGGAGAAGGGAGGTTGAAAGGAGACTTTCGGCGTTAGCGGAGAGCGGCTGGTACGATAGTGAGAGAAGGGCTGTCTTCACAGATGGATACCATAGGCAGGATCCATTTTGTTCATCAGTATATTTTCATATATTCTTAGTATGTGCTGATATCGTCTCTTCTGGTGTTCGAGGATTTTGTACTCTCCTAAGCTATTTTCAGTTCATTAAGTCTACATAATAACATGAGACTTCATCGGGACCCATTTTAATCAAACCTCGCCATAGGTATCTTGTCCCACATGACTTCTTACCAGCCTCCGTCTCTCCCCACCGCCAGCGTCGTGCCGAGTTTACCATCAACAGTCACCGCGACAACCGTACCGTATCCGGCTGGGCTCAGCGGATCTTTAACGCGACCGGCTACTCCCTGGAGGCGAAGCTCACCCTACCTGAGCGCCAGCTGGGACTGAAGTACAGCGGCGACAATCAGGGAGACTCCTACACCCGCGCCGCCCGCCTTTCCCTGTCGTCAGAGGCGTTTGTTGGGTATCATTACAGCGTCAGCGATGAAATGGAAATGGTAAGAAAACAGGCATGACGGTACAAATATCGGGAAGGTGAAGGCCAGTTAGGTTCAAAGTGCACATAATTTTTGTACGATTACTTCAGCTTCAACTGCTTTTTAAACCATGATACTACATGGACCAGTTGCTGTTAAGCGGTTTCATGGCATATGTGCAAGTCCGGGTTTACAAATTGCTTTAAATTCTTAGTGAGGATTTTGCAACCCATCGATTGTACCTACGGTTATTAGTGTGCCCACTGCTCTGGAGAAGTACTTGGGAAAGTCTCTGCCGTTTTCACTTTTTCGTGCTGACTCACCGGTGTCTCCCTTTACCACAGCACCTGGAGGAGGGCTCCGTGGTGCGCCTGCAGCTCGATTTCCCTGCCCGCTCTCTGGCCGGAACCATGGAACTGGCTCGGACTCCGACACGGAGGAATGACGCCCACTCCAGCGGCCGGGCCAAGCTGAAGTTCCAGTGGGATGCCGAGAGACAGCCGTGAGTAGACCCAAGTGTCGGTACTCTATGACGGAGAGTGAATGATAAGGCTAGTTTGTTGGCGCTGATGGTCTCTTAGATTTGTGGATGATGACCGAGAGGGATTGGGGGAGGTGCCTGTTGCTTGGCTGCAATACTATTTGAAAATGTGTTTTTGTGAAATCGGTTATGCGCACTGAAAGAAAGAGAAAACATTAGGATAAGCCCAGGATCAACTGTACTGTATAAAGTAGGCGCCACTTTTTAGTGGATTATTTTACTTGGAGTTTATCCATATGAGAATTTATAGGTAATATTTTGGTTTATGCATCCACAGAGAGCGGCAGGTGGCAGCGACGTTCAACGTGGCTGACCTCAGCACCGCCGACAACAGGCACTACAATTTCAGCGTCAACCTCGATCTCGTCGGAAAGGTAGACGCTGCTACGTAGTTGTCAGACATAGCATGGTGCCAATTAAGCCGATCGGTGTTCACTAATGACTGAAGTCTGAACGGTTCTCTGCATAGGACCTATGATGCATGCTCGTACCAATAGTGAATATCTCCGCTGAAGACGTGCAGCGGCAATTAATCTTTGTTGCATTTTACACTTCATCTTTGATGGAACCCACCCCTGACCTGCCCCGCTGTCCTCCCTAGCCGGTGACGCTGGACACCAGCGTTCAGACGAGCAGCGGGACCCCTCTGCAGCTGGACGCCGCGTTCCGCTACTCTACCGACCCCGACTCCCACCTGACCATGTCGTACAGCGTCGTAGACCAGAGCCGCGGCAGCAAGCTGGTGCTCAAGTCGACACTCTTCGTCAGCCACCCCATCTCCAGGTCAGAAGACAGAGAAGTGCGATAGCTGAATATGACAGAGACTTGAGTATGGGCGTTTTAAATAACGAAATTGTTAATTGAGTTAATGGAAGAAGAGGTCATATCCCTCATTCTCAGCTCCAAGTGACCAATGCAAAGCAGACTGTGTTTCATTCGGAAATACTTTGACGTTATTGTACTTCTATGGGATATTCTAAAATAAGCACGTAGACCTATGCACGCCGTCTATGGAGGTGTATAGACTTACAGAGGTCTATGATAAGCACATATAATCACTGACTCACTTTCTTCGTTTGTCACCCCAGGCTGTCTGTGACCGGTAAGGGGCTGCTGGAGGTGGCCCGGGGAACGCTGAAGGTATCAGGAGCCTACACCTACCTGGACATCGAAGACAGGAGACTCGAGTCCAAGGTGCTCCTCGAACTCGACAGAAAACTCGGCGAATTCAAGGCGGAGGTGAGTTCGCTGTTTTTTTATACGTCTGACACCACTGCAGTAACAAGATGATGTAGCTTATACGGGATATTATCCCACTTCGCGAACGTACTACCAGTTTGTTTCGCATGGTTCGACAACTGTGCGTTTCACGCCGCATGACTAAATCGATGTGGTGTCGCGTAGCGTGTTCTCTACTAATAAGCTGTTAGCTCTTAAGCATTATCAACAAAAACCATGAACCTTTCCAACGTTCCGTCATTGCCAGGTCACTCTACCATCCATGATCTACGAACTGAAGTCGACCGTCGGTCTGAAGGAGTACCGTATAAACGGCGCTGCCATCCCCACGGAGCTGGGCAGTCCGCAGACGCTGCTGGCTACCATGGACAGGGAGCGGCCCCTGGTCAGACTGGAGATTCTATACGATCCCGGTGAGCCAATGTATCGGGTTATGGTGGTGGGTTATGGTGGTGTCAGTGTGTGTCGTCAGAGTGAAACATTTTAAAGAACCACATAAAAAGTGGACTTTGAGCCGTGTATCCTGACGAATTTCCATACGTTTTGCGCAGGACTGATTGAGAGAACAAGCGTAAGTCCTAGCGATAAGCTCTAATTGTCCTTGTCGCGCACATAAGTTATGTGCTGAGATGACTCCTTAGCCCCATTTATCACCATCTAAGTTTTTATTCTTCCGGTTATATTATCGGCATCCTAGCTGAAATCACCAGTAACCATCACCCACGCCCAATCATCCCCACCTACTGACAGTGCCCCTGTGACGTTTCCAGAGCAGGCAAAGCGTCTGTACGTCACGGGCGGCATGGTGAACAACAGGACAGTGCGTCTGGAGGCGTACCGACAGGCGGGCCAGTACCGGGTCGACGACATGGTGTTCTTCCTGCGTCTGAACCACTCACACCTGCTGACCTCGCAGGCCCGCTGGCGCACAGAGCTTGGTTATGAGCTGGCCGTGAGTTTGGGGCAAGGATATTTGTTGAAACCCGTGTGAAGCATAGAGCTCGGATACGAGCTGGCTGTGAGCAATGAAGATGTATATGATTGAGGGGGAGCTCAGAGGTAAAGATGGAGTAGTTGAACAGGTCTTCAGGGCTCATGTACCGCGCGCTGGAGCTAGAGCTCGAATGCGAACTGGCCGTAAATGGGGAGGGAGTCGTTATTGGATCTAACTAGAGAGTTGAGACGAGGATGGCTGATGGATACGTGATGGACGTACGAATCGAGTTGGGTGATGGCTGATGACACCAATTCGCTCTAGAGTCTTATATCATAAACTACATCGGATTTCTATACTCCGGCCTTTACTCACTGTCACATCTATGCATTTATATCTTACTGACCCCTCGCCTCTCGGGATCTCCTTTTGACCAGGAGTGGGCCCGGTCCACGGTACTCCTGTCCCGCGACGCGCTCCTGGACGCCTGTGCCAGCGAGTGGGAGGTGAAGGCGGGAGCCATGGAGTCCAGTCTGGAAGACATGCTTGGACAGGAGATTGACCTGCTCGTGTGAGTAGACTGTGGATTCGGGGAAGAGACAGAGTGTGTGGTGTTGGGAGGCATATTGAATTAAATTAAAGGTACTTAGTCAGGGGATGCGTGGACTGGAGAGGCTGCGTGAGCGTAGAAAACGTTGAGTCGCGGTGGAGTTGGGAAGATGTGCTGATCATAAGTTCCGTATCTCCGTATGGTTCTAAGAGGTATTTTCTGCATTACCCGTCACGCTTCTCATTTTTTCAGTGAGGAGTTTACATCGGAGTCTAGCGGAACGGTGCGCGGCGACTTTGAAGATATTCGATACGCTATCTCAGAGAGCTACGAAAATAACGCGTTCTACATGAACACGATAATATCCTATGTATACGGCGACGAAGACTCGTAAGTATGATGTAACAGGTCCGCACATTTTGTTTACCAACCAATCACTGAACTGATTGTTGATTGCTTGATTGATTTGCATTTACATGAGGAAGTTGATGCATAATAACCGATGGCAAGTAACCTACAAGGTTTTCAATGCTTGATGTCTGTCTGCCCCGTTTATGCCTTTTCACTTGCATTTTTCCTTTTCTTCTCTTCTAGCGTGGTGAGTTTCGTTCTGAACAAGCTCGGCACGTGGACTGAGGAACTCCGAGAGGACCTCGGTGTCATCAACGAGGCAGTCTACGTTCGGCTGAACGAAATCATCGAATACGTGAGTGTGATTTTACCCTTTGCTTGCTATGTAATGAACGACCATGATGGATGCTCAGTGGCCTAGCGCTGTTACTGCCCAAGCTTCTTGTGACAAGTTAAAGTGATACTTTTGACACAACCCTGATGAAGCACCCACTGCGCCATCTTGTGCTGTGCTTTACTCTCGCCCTGCTCTCCGTCAGCTGCGGCGTCTGGTGTCCTCGTCTGGATCGGGTGAACGCAGCATGACTGACACTCTGCGGGAGGTGCTGGCAGAAATGGCGGAGGCCTACAATCAGGTGAGCTAGCAGAGAACTGAGAAGGGGCTTATGACAGACACTCTGCGAGAGGTGCTGACTGCTGGCAAAAAAAAAAAAAGATGCCAGAGGCCTACAAACAGGTGAGACAACAAAGAAGTGACTTTTGACCGACTCTGCGAGAGGTGATTACAGAAGTGGCTGGGGCATACAATCAGGTGAGTAAAAGATCCATGATATTCTGGTAATTTAACTTGTATTTGTTGGGAAGCCCAGCAACATTGCCAGGCGGGACAAGTATTCGTTTCATAAGAGGCGCGAAGCTGGGTAGTATCGCGTCCTTTTTTTTTGACTTGCAGAAGCTTCTATCGATCAGAAGTTCCATGAAGTTGTATCCCGTTTCTCTACCTTGTTGCTCATGGGACCGAACCTCCCATCAGCTCATCTCCAATCCTCACCCTCCCCATTTCCCTCCACAGTGGGCCAAGGCGGTGTACGCACGCACCAGCCTCCGTTTGCGTCAGGTGTACACCACGGTGACGGGCTACATCCGCCACCGAATGATGCAGCTGGGTCAGCAGTACAAGCCGCAGCTGCTGCTGCTCTACCACCACTTTGAGGAGAACGTGGTGGCCGTGGTGCGCGACACAGTCAGTAAGTTAACCCGCGAGTTGCTGGGGGGGCGTTAAACGCCCCCACTTTTTCGCCGGGCCATAGCATAAAAACGGCGCGCCTGCGCGCGCCAAATTCTGGGTACCTGTAGGGAATTGATTGAAGTGTATGGTGACAAAGTTTCAAAAAAATCGGTCCGAAAATTTTTGAGGTATCGAGGTTTTAGTGACGTCATGATTTCTGAGTTTTCGACCAAAAACGCCATATGTTCAAAAAAATCATATAAAATCACAGAATAGACATACAGACATGCCGTAAACGCCATTAGACTGCCAATACCATGACCAATCAAATGGCTATCTTCGACTATTGATTATCGCTCCGCATTCTCCAAAATCTTGAACTAAATCTTGGCAATTTCTCGTGACTACTTCACGACCATGATACATGCATTTCTTAAATTGAACTTTTTGAGCCAAACACGTACACATATGGTAAAATGAATTGTCACCATCGTGTTCTACGCCCCAAATTACCCTTAAAATATGTGTCACAGGATGCGGATATCAGTTTTGATTTTCGGGGATATGTGCCTACCCGGTTGACCTGACCTTGACCCTGACCTATGCTTGACTGACCCCAACATGGAGCTGACACTCTTGTAGGCCTTATATGATGGATTGTGCACCGTTCTGTCAGAGTTTTTGACGAGAGGCGCCCATTGCGAAGTCCTAAAGTCCATGCTACTGAAAGCCCAATTTCAGGTGTTTGACCTGACCTTGACCCGACCTGTGACCTCAAAATCCAACTTCAAAGTACTCATCTGAAGCGTCTCGTCGCGTTCTTTCGTTTGCCGCCTCGTGCGTTTCGCTGCGCTTATTGGTTCTCGAGTTATCGGCTGGAGGCGTTTAACGCCCCCCCCCCCCCCAGCAAACGGTGGGTGGCGAAATACCCCAGCAACTGCCGGGTTAAATTGGTTACCTCATCGAACTTCAGTGAATATGTAGCTCTGATGAAAACTGTTGATTCCCAGTTGGTTGATGCTTATAAGAATCTTATCATACCTGTGTCGCGGATGGAATGGTTTCTGTTGTATGAGATATTGCGAGGATAAAATGGCAGCTTCGTAACGAGCTGACAGGCAACGATTTTCATTTCAGTGAACATCAGCGCTCATTATGTCCATTATCCCCATTCAAGCCTAACAGTAACCATGAACTTTATCACCCTCCCTCAGACTGGTTCTACGGCGAGTTTACCGAATCAGAGCTCTACGCTGCCATCGTTTCACTGGAGGGAGTTATTGACGAAATTTACCGCGACCTCTCCGACCGAGACACGGTCACAAACATCTTCGACTACACCAAGAAATTTGCCCGCTGGCTGTATACCAAGTTCGGACTCGGTAGGTGGCGGTGGACTTGGGTCGTTTCGTGAGAGCTTTGTGAAAACACTAAAACGGTGATCTAGTTTGCGGTCTGCAGAAGGCTACTTACAAATACGATTTAACGTTTGAAGGGATACCCTGATTCATTACACCGCTTGATCTGGAATAAGTTGGCTTTATTATGTTGTATGTAAATGTTGTTAATTCTTCAACATCTCCTGCAACACGTTATGTGTTCCCGTCTCTCCCAGAGGATGTGCTAGGGGAGCCGGGTCTCTGGCTGAAGGACATGTGGGACAATCCTCCGCCGGCGCTGGTCAGGGTCAAACAGTTCATCATGGTCGCCTACGTCAAGGTACGGTGAATGTTGTGCAGTGAATCGTCGTTTTTGCCTGATAGCTTACACTGTCATGATCATTTTATTTTATGTGATATGGGTGTGTACGTGATAGAAAGACCTTTTTCCCGTAAGAGGAAGCCGCTATGATTTCATTGTTTTCAATAAATGATCCCGTTTTTCACTCATTACCGTACCTTCATCGCTCAAGTTTCGCCAGAATAGAAATGTTTACGAATCCTATTACCAAGTGCAAGGCTCTATTTAAGGGTCTCATTCAACTATCTCACATAACTTAACTATCTCGGTTGAGCTTGTTAGCTCAAGGCGAATCTGTAAACTGATAGCGGTGAGACTGAACTTCGGTATAAATGTATACAAACATCTTATGCAACGAGCGGCGAGCTTTCCTGTTTCGCGAATTTTGAACCGTGTTCGTCTGAGCTAATTCGTGGAAAAGTGTCACCCAATCGCGTGGTTTGTGATAAAAAAACAAATTCCGTTCCCGGCTGTGTAGGGAGGGGTTTTAGCTATCGAGTTTGGGTTTAGTTCAGCACATGCCATATGTGATTGAAAGAATTGACACTTCTTAATTACTTTGTAACAGAGATGATCGAGTCTATTTGGTTGCAATACAAATTCCCACCAGGCCTTCCCTAATAAACTTGATATTCTGTACTGATTCGCCGTTTTCTATACTCGTACCTTTACAGGTGTCGCCGATATTAGAAGACATCTCTGATGTCATGCAGAATCTATTCTCCAAGATTTACAGAGACGGCGATAAGTTTTGGACTCAGACGGCTATCCAAGGCGCTCAGAGGTAAATACCGAGAACAAGCCATTTTTCATTACAGGCCTCCATTGTACATATGCATATACATATGATCTATGATATCCTCTATGATACATATGCATTATGCATATGTAGCATGTGTTCAGTGCTCTGCGCCTTGTATGCACGTACAGGTCTCGCGGGTTTTAGCGGTAGTTTTTGCACCTATAAAATTTAGTGTACTTCAGGTTATATCTTCGTCGTCTTAAGGTTTTAAGTGTTGAAGATGCGATCGACTCGTTGGTTCACAAGCCGACCATGATCGTGTAAAATGGCTTCATCCTAGATCGATTAGTTTCTGAGATAAAACCGCCTACTGCTTAATCTCGCGAGACCTGTACGTACGTAGTGTACAAGTTTGATGCATGATGCATGCTTCTTGATGCGTTTAATTCTCATCAAAATGCATCCGTTTCAGGTACTTTGAAGGCAAATCCATTATGGAGATGAATCCCGACCGCGGCTACATTTCTTTTATTCAGATCCTGCCGATGCCTTGGTACGGGCTAAACCAGTCGCCAGTCTGGGAGGTAAGTGAAGCGCTATTTTTACGGCAGCCTAACCTACCCAGCACACTTTTAGAAAATCTCTACAAAACTGTTTCCGTGTTTCCGTAATAGCACTTCATTCAAAATCCACAGACATACCATTTTAAAACGACAGTAAGCTGTCGAGGACGGCTTTTTAGAAGCTAGTCAGAATCACTTACAATTCAGTCATTCTAACCGCATCTGTTCTCTGTATGGCCAGGAGCTGCCGGAGCTGCAGCAGCTGCGCTACCTGCAGTCGTTCACTGAGGACAGCTCGGCAGAGAGCGGCGGCGTCTACGACTTCATCTACGACTACTGGCCCGGCAGCAACCCCACCGAGTGGATGCCGCCTTTCGCAGGTGGGTGCCGAGGCGACTCTTTTACAAAAATATTATGTAAGGTCTTTTAGATAATATCAATCTTATTCCGTAGGGAAGATTGTCGACTCTCCGCCCTTCACAGGTGGGTGGACGGTTGGCGATTCTCCGCCCCTCACACGTGGGTAGTTGGGCGATTCTCCATCTTCAAAGTTATTTAGCTGGTCGATTCTCCGCTCCTTTGTCCTTTTTTGTTCCGTGACAGGTTCTGCCAAAATCGCTTGGTTGACGGGGTGCTGGAGAACTGAAGACATTCCTGAAGACATTATCAGATGTCGGCTATGATGATGGTTGACGTTACCCTGGTGTTGGAAGTTCTTATTCGAGCTCACGTTCGAGTCTCGCGAGAAGATGAAAGTTTGCTCCAACTTTTGAATAGCTTTAATCAGCTTTGCTTAAAAAAAAAATTGCTTTCAGGCCGAGTTAGAATGTTAATAAAGTCGTGGGCATGTTTAATGCGGTAAAAGCATTATCCGTGATTTCGGTTTCGGGAATGTATAACTGAATGAAACACTTGCGGGGATATGTTCAAAAATGTATTCGCTAGCATCGGCATTAACTTTCTTTCGTAAATATCGCTGTGATATTACATGGTACAACATCGGTAAATGTGATTTAAAAAAAATGCCTTCACCTTACGATATTCGTAAAGTTTTCATTTGCTATACATCGCTTCCTTGCCACTGGCTAATACACACACCGTTTAACGCTGGACACAAGATGCAAGATGTGTTACAACCGTCAAGACATGCCATACTCCTCAGCCACAAAGGGAAGAACGTCATTTGCAACGTTTTCTGTCTTAAAAAAGCACTGTAATTCACCGTGACCAGCGAAAAGAGAAAAGGAGCTCGGGTCCTACATCAAAACACGAATAACTGCGTTACCACCAGTCATATCCGTCTTCTTGCCCTTCGCTCCGGACGCGCAATCCACCACCTCACTCCAGCTGGCCCCTCAGGCTGCCTAATTCGACGCTGCCTTGTCGTACGCCGCCATAATAACAGCCTCGTGTTTGGGGAACTCAGCCACCAGCTCAACTGGATTAGCCAGGTCGTAATCCAGCCTGCTGAACGAGGGCACTGCCGATCCGCTCATCAGAACATACTCGGTGTCAGAGAGCACCTCTGTCGACACCCAGGTCATGTAGGGCATCGCCAGCTGGAACTGAGCCCCGGGGTGGCGCAGGGGATCTCCGAGCACCTCGCGCGTGTACTCCCCGCTCGGTAGCAGGGCGTGAATGGCCAGCGCCGCGCCGCGGTGGTGCCACAGGAACAGCTGAGTGGCCACGTTGGTTCGCAGCCAGGGGATGCGGGTTCCGGCCGGCTGCAGCTCCATGATGGTGTTGGTGACGGGCTGGCCGTCGGCGTTCAGCTGGCTGGAGGAGAAGACTGGCGCGAAGTAGGTGTTGGCCTGCGGACGAGAGGAGGGGTTAGAGGTGCGTCAGAGTGGTCGCTTAATGTATCGAACTGAAAAAGACAACTGAACAACATCCTCTCATTCTGACATCTGAGTCCTCACCACAAGAGAACTGTGACAAGCAAAAGGAAGATAAGAGAACTTTAGACAAAGTAATCCAAGATACCCTGAATAGCCCTTTAGAAATAAAGTTAACACTTAACGCAAAGCAAAGATCAAACAGGCGTTGAGCATTCCCGTTTGCGTCCCCGGCTTATATTTACCGGCGTTCTGGTCATGTTGAACCTCTGCACGAGATACTCGAACTCGGCCTCACAAGTGGCGTGGCTGTGGGCGGTGGCCGACTCGCAAACTGGCGCCTCTTCCGCCATGACCTCTGGTGCCACAGCCGCTCCAGACACCAGCACCAGGCTCTCCAGCACCAGCAGCGGCAGCAGCGCCCGCGCGGCGGCCGTCCTCCTCGGCTCCATGGCTGTCTCTGCGCTCCGCGCCGCCGCGCCGGCCACCGCCGTTTATTTGTCGAGTAGCCCTCTGTCGGCTAGCACACGGCTCTCGGTGGTTGATCTAGCTGCACAAACGGCTGAGGCTGCTGCAGGGTTCAGAGATGATAACTCGGTCGACAGCTGATTGGATGTGACCTCGACTGGAATCTCCGAGTCGGGAAGGCCAGTTCAATAACGTCCCAGTCTCAGCGAGTTCCGCCCTGGACTGCGTGGGTGTTTCTTCTGAAACGTGTCGCATATTTTACTATAAACGTTCGCGGCGGTTTTCCTTCAAGCGTTCTTACTGTAGTGCGTTCTGCAAAATGGCGACTTTGTGCTATGAAAAGGCACACTTTTGCAGAGCACTTACTGCTGAATCATGCATCGGCTCCAATGTTTATAGCGGACGCAAATGTTTGGGCTGGTTTTGATAGAGATATCGTAGACGGCTCAGATCAACTGACCTGCAGCGATCACTGATATCAGCTTTGTGGGGAAATTCTGCCGTTACCTACTCGTATGATTCGTGTCTTTTTTAGATAAGAGAATCTTCCGTCTTCGGTGAAAAGAATCTGCCTATATACTGTACGATTTGCCGTTAAAAAGAGTAATAAGAAAAAGACAACAAACTACTGATCCTCCAGTAATTCCCCAGTTCTTCCAGAGTCTCCGTAAACCCAGCTCGTCATATATGATATGCAGTGCCCGATAGCATTTGCCACTATCGCTCTCTATCCACTCCAGGGTGACCCCCGTTCCTGTAACCCACGAGACGGCCTCCCAGTGTCATTCGCCACCGCTCTGTTATTGCTTTGGCCATTGCCGAGCTCGGGTGACCTCTGCTGGTTTCTTTGTGGACCGATTGAGTGCACCAGTTAACGGCTGCAATTGCCGCCATTCTGTTCCCATCTAGCGCGGCGTCTCCGCTCTGCAGAAAGTGACATTGGGGACGAGCGAGATAGGACGGTGTTGAAGAGAGCATTAAACCAAACAGCTCGTGCGCGTATTGGGAGCAAGAGAGACAGGAATGTATTAAAGCGGCACCAAATAGGGCAACACGTGTTTAGACCAGATAGGGGGTTTTGGGAAAGGCAACAGGGAAAGGTGGGCCGCTGCTGTCTCAGACTGCGAAGCGATGAGCCTCTGTGCTTCAGTTGCATTCTAGGTATTGAACCCAACATGACTGGTTGATCTTGGTATCAACCAGTCATTATTATGTCATTATTATTATGTCATTAATTATCATTATTATCCCGCGCCCAGATGGGGTCTGCCGAGCAACGCGGTCTGATGGGGGGGGGGCATTTTGGCCCCCCCCCCTCAGATCTCGAGAACCACGCAACATAGCGACAAGCGGTAAACGGTGTTGGATAGCCCCAACGGGTAACTACCTTGTGACCCAATTTCATTGACCTCGGTCAAACCGATGACGTCACAGGTCAGGTCAAAGGTCGAATTTTCACCGTTTACAGGCATTTCAAGAAATGCGTTGTAAAATCGAGTAAAATGCATTTCATTGAAAATCATCGGTGGAGAAATGTTCTTCAAACACATATTTTGCTATTTGAGGTCACTGATACCAGGTCAGGTCACAGAGGTCAGGTCACTGGGGGGTCACAATATGAAAGTGTCGTGTGATGCATGTTTTATGGTCCATTTTACATGACAAATGCGATTATGTGGGTTAGACAGACTTTAGGGCCAGCTTAGGTCACGTTTTGGCCAAGGTCAGGTCAAGGTCAGGTCAAATTAGGTCAAATTTCAAAGTTGATATTTTTGCATAAAATGGGTATCGATTCGATGCAGCTCGTCACGGGGAGTTCAATGGTGGTCTCCGTTTTGCGCTACGAGGTCTAGAATTGCTAAAAATTGAGTTCAAAAATTTGACGTCATCAATTTTTAACAGTTTTTTTTGCTATAACTTGGCCAAAAAAAGAGGTATCGATCTAAAATTTGGTATGTATATCGAAGAGCGTAGGGACTATCACATATATTCCGGTTTTTTTTCGAAATTCGAAAAAAAAATTGGAAATTTTTTGAGTTTTTCTAAAAAAATCAATTTTTTATTTTTGGGGGTCAAAATCCCAAAATTTCGAAAATCCGACATAGCAGTTTTGTAGCGCCGTCTTTTCTCTACACAACCACATAAAGAACTTTAAAATTGCTTGTTAACTGTAGAATTGGTGAGCGTTTCAAGATGTCATGTTTTTTGCTCATTTTTGCTCGAACATGACCTCAGTTTGACCTCAATAACTCCTGACCTGAGGTGACCTGTGACTTGAAATTTTGTGTGAAGGTGTCAAATTGATGCCCGGAAAGGTACTGAAAATTTGGCGGCGCTGCGCGCCGCCGTTTTCTTGCTATTCAGGAAAAACCACAGGGGGGGGGCCAAAATGGCCCCCCCCCCCATCAGGGCGCGGGTTATGAGAAAAAATGGTTTGTTCAGAAATACTAACTCGGCGATACATGACCGCCCTCCCTCCGTTCGCCGCAGGCCACGCCGTCCTCTCGGGTTCCTCGACGATTGTGACGTTCGACGGTCGTCTGTACACGTTCCGCAGCGACTGTACCTACCTACTGGCCGCCGACCTGCTCCACGGCAGGTAAGATTGAACGCGACTGCTGGGGAGAAGGCAAACCTTCTCGCCGTTGACCTGCTGCATGGCAGGTAAGATTGAACTGAGCACCTGCTGTAAAGAAGGTAATCATCTGCTGGCCACCGACCTGCAGCACGACAGGTATGATGGGAGTGGTAACCTGCTGCAGGGCAGTTAATTACCCGCTGGCCGCCGATCTGCTGCACGCCAGGTTAGACGGGCTGCTGGTCTTTTACACTGTTTGTAAGACAGCCTGCTGGCCTAATCTGCCGCAAGGCAGAGGAGGTATGAGATTCCTGATGGTTTTGATGGTTTTGAAACGATCGCCGGTGTCTCATTTATGTATGGCGAGCTCACTGGCATCATCACATGGACGGTTGGCGTCGTAATTTTAGTGATTCCATAAACCTAGGTTCAGTGGCTGTAGATGCTAGCGCTGTTTTTATAGCCAGGTTACAGCTCCGGTCCCATGTTTCGTTTTATCGCCTCCGTGTTGACAACAGTCACAACGTAACGCGAATTACGTACACAGTGGCGCCGATATTGAGGCATAAAATGCTATACTGACGAACATAAGCCGCCTTTACGAGCTGCAACAAATGCTGCTGGTAGCTCTAAAGTGGAATATTGCCGTGGCACGTATCAGAATTTATGTGTTCTATCGCGTAAATTTTCAACTCGAGTTTTCTCGCCCAGCATTCGATGCTCTTGGTCTGGCCTCGCTGTCCAAACGAAAATATGCTGGCCTGGCAGCCTACCAGTCTGGTGCCGCCATCTAGCTGAATAGACGTCGCTTCAGTGCCATCTTGTGACCAATAGTGAAAATACGTCTCTACCCCTGCTATCGCCGGATTGGCTGTTGAACTAACTAGATTGCAAACGACGGATTTGGACATTGCATTCGTCCAAAGACAGTGACAAAGGTGTCACTTTATGAAATGTTAAAACCGAATTGTCGGTTCAGGGTGTTCAGTTCACGAATGTACGGAATCGAATAAATGGTTTTTCTAGCGCTATGACGTTTTAGCTCTGACTAAATCTGACTTATGCTATTCTTAACCGCAGGTTTTCGGTTGAGGCCACGTTCAGGAGACGTGGCAGGGCCTCCAAGACACTGTCTGTTACTGCTGGGGCTCATACCATCGAGCTGGGAGGCTCCGACGGATACAAGGTGAGTCAGGTCAGGGTGGCCGGGATCGGGATTAGTCGTAAATCAGAGTTATCTCACCCATCTTACACGTAAGCTGGCACGGGGGTCTCAGGGTGACACAACATAAAGTTTAACTCGCGTTGTCCTAAGCTTACTTGGACAATTACTACACTTGTTTGGTGATAGTTATTGTTTGCCCACTGTTTTGAATTATGCCTCTCCTTGATCACGATCTAGCGGTTTGAATCAAAACTCAAAAGCCTGCACAAATATGAGCGATTTCCAGCAAACCATTCGGAAATGGGTCAAAATCATCCTGTTCCGCCCAGTGTCGAGCTAATGCATGCATATTATTGGCTTCACGTAGGTGTCCCAATTGACCTACATTTCCTATTCACCACCTGATGGTCTACCATTAGCCACATTCCACCTATAAATGCTGCATACTATCCAGCTTGGTTTGACATTTAGTGCGGGCTAACGGTAACACAACCACGCCCAGCCCACACATTGACGCACTTTCCACGGCTGAATAGAATATGCACTCCAACGTGCCAGCCGAACATGAGTGCTTTGTGGAGTGGATAATATAACGATGTAGGAAGTGTTCTAGGCTGTTTCGTTACCTGCGTAAATTCTGTGCGATATGCGAACTCCTAGTTTTGATTTGATTTGGTATGCAGCTCTTAGAGTTGTTCGAACAATTGGTATGCTAACGCGGCTGCATGCCACTGCTTATGTTGTCCATAATCCAACAGAAATGTAGAATCCGGATAACTTCTGAAAATTTAGGAGGCGTTTCTCATCCTAACCGACCATTTGGGCGCAAACTTTTACTTTCCAGGTATTTTCCATCATTTTGGACGAGCAATTGTGTACACATCCGGAAAACCATTAGCCTCCGCACTTGGCACATTTGCATCTTACATAAGCCTGCCACACCACAGAGTTCCTTTGATTGTTCTAATATATCGTTCTTCTGACGTCATAAGATCGTTTTGTTGACGTCACAATGCGTATGTGATCAGATTACGGCCGACGGCCGGCCGGCGGACGCTCCGCTGGAGCTGGGCGATCTGAGGGCGGTTCGCTCCGGTGACTTGATCACTGTCAGCCTGCCCGGCTGGCTGGAGCTGAAGTGTAACCAGCGATCGGATGTCTGCGCACTGGAGATCAGCCGTAAGTTGGTGTGCAAATTTGCTGACGATAATTTGGGAACCCAAATCGGTTATGCAATTGATGACTGTTAATGTTGAAAGGATTTAGCGTATTGGTTTGATTTGTGAGCATCGTGTGAGGGAGACGTGCGTTTCTTTTATGTGCCTATCTATGTGTCCCGTTCAACGAATGCGACTGCGTCTGTCCAATTGTGACAAGTTTGCTTTTGTATGCATTCGAGTGCGCTCACTAAGTGAGCGCCTTCCGCGGTGGCGTGCGGCGTGACTCTGATCAGGATCGACAAGCTGCTGGCCGTGACACCCACGGTCACATCCATTATTTCTGTGCCCGTGAGCCCATGTATCACAACTTTCTCACGTGTCAGGAAGCGGTGACTCATGCATACGATCGGCCGTCGGACGAGGCTGCTTTACATGATAAATGCATGAAATCGTGCCTTTTCACTCCGCCAGCCACGAAATAATGCAATAAGATTCGTCTGAAGAGCGAAACGCGGAAAGTGGCAGACCCTTGTTGGCTATTCAATGTGTTGCTTCCTCTAGTACTCTATCCAAATTGCTTCTTTGCTACTGGAAAGGTCCCGGACGTTTAATTCTCGTATCTTCGGGGTATATCCGCTTATCTTCACTCAGATTTATTACAATGCTGAAACGCGGCCAGGGCATCGTTTCATAAAGCGAGTCCGTAACTTACGCCGGTTTTTGGGCTTGTATTGCAAGCGCATGTGAAGGTATACATTTATTTCCCCTTCTCCCTTCTGTTCTTGCTTGCAAGATGAATAAATTCAACGATTCAAACTGTCGTCATCGCCTCACATGCAATTGCAATACAAGACCAAAAACCGGCGTAAGTTACGGACTCGCTTTATGAAACGAGGCCCAGGATTGTGTATTGACATAGACCTTATTGAATAATGTACACGACCCATCTCATATTACCGGTAGACTCAATGTATCATTGTTCTACGGTGCTGTTTGCGAGAATCGCCGTTGTGATTTTATCATGTCTGTTGATAAAAGAACAATTAGATACTGTATCTCCGCTTCTGACGGATCTCTCTCCCTCTCTCTCTCTCTCTCTCTCTCTCTCTCTCTCTCTCTCTCTCTCTCTCTCTCTCTCTCTCTCTCTCTCTCTCTCTCTCTCTCTCTCTCTCTCTCTCTCTCTCTCCCCCTCTCCTTCTCCCCCCCCCACAGGCTGGATGTTCGGCCGAACCGGAGGTCTGTTCGGCACACTGGACAATGAACAGTTTACGGACCTGCAGACGCCCGATCACCACAGTGCCAACGGACCGCTGTTCGCTGCCGGGTGGGCACTACAGCACTGTCGGCGACCAGCTGATATCACTGAGCCCGGAAAGCAGGAGGCGGACACCGACGGGTAAGGAGAGGATGGGAAATTAGGAGTTTGTAAGGTAGTAACTACATATAGGTAGTAACTGGTTGGTTAATCGTCCTTGCTGCTTCCCTGGGCCTGTTCAAGGCACACATGGATGCTCACGGGAATTGCATCCGATACCAAATTCCCGATTGATCTACGTTCTGCTCTATGAGAATTCAGAACGGGACCATCAGGTCAAGTGGCCTACAAATTCTCGAATACGTTACGGTATGGTATCATGGTTAATAACTGGCTGGTTGTTGCTAGTTGGTTGCTTTGGTTGATAATTTAGCATTGTGCTCTGAACGCTAACCGTTCATGCTCTCTGGCTGGTTCGAGGGACTAAGGAACGGCGAAACTCCAAGCTGGTGATGCGCAGAAGTATTGAAGGTCTCTGCGTAGATGAAGTACTTTGGGGCCCAGGAGAATGTTTACTTCTGAATATCAACAGAAGCTAATTTTGTATGGATAGTCAGATGACCCATTGACCCTAAGGACTGGTCTGACTCAGACCGGTCCTTAGGGTCAATGGGTCAATGGGACGGGACGTCGGTCATGATATTAGTAGCAATAGAACATGGTCATCAATCCTGTGACCGCTTTTGATAGTGTATGTACCCATCCTGAAAGGCAGGCTCCTAATGTCATGCTGACCTTTTCAGTGCACCGTAGCGGCTATTGACTCAGCTAGCACGGTTTCGTTGATAACGATGCCGTGGAGAAATGAAGTGAAAAAAAAACCCGGATCCCAAGGTGCCAGGCATTAGACTGAGTATTACCAAATACACGCTGAACGTTGCTACTGATTGTCACCAGAGCGTCACAAAAAAACAGCGAATAACCCTATATGTATCATGTCATAGTATTGGCTGGAATCGAGCTACACAACGGTATCTGGTACGGCGAACTTTGTTGGTTGGCAGCACTCACAACTTAATCACAATGATGGCGACTTCAGAAAGATGTTATGGCCAACGCAATGGTGTTTTAATTTGTAATAAACACAAACTCAGTACCTCCCACACGAGAGAACAGGGATCAATCAACTCTATCTAATACGATTGGCTTCTAACTTGGTGTTTAGAATGGAAGACGATGAGCTATTCGGAAAGCTCGTTTGCATATCATTTAGTTTAATGACTTGGCGCGTGAAACGAGAATAGACCTTTAATGTCATCCTAGTCTGAAGTTGAAATAGACCGGTAATGAACGTTTGTATTATCCCATTTCATGATTTTGATGGCCTCCAGTGCGCTTATATCGTGCCTACACAGAGCCGCGCTTGCATAACATTTCCACTGTTTCGTCCATATTTGTTAACCCTATTAGTGGCAGGGGGGGTTGTTTTTATCCACCCCTAAGGTTTTTCGGGAATATCTCCGAAACCGCGAAAGCTACGATGCTGAAATTTTCTGACTTTTCCTAAAACTAAATTGAGCACATTCCCTGAAAATTTCAAGTTCATAACTTTACCAGGGGCGGCTCCAGAGCACTGGGAATTGGGGGGTCCTATTCGTGAAGCGAGTCATTTGGGCAAAGATCACGATGCTGCACCAGTTTTACGAACAGTGAATGAGGTATCATGTGATAACATATACAAAGTTATTGTGCATCCTCTTTTGACACGTTTTTGCTATAATAGGCGGATCCAGGCGTCCAAAAAGGGGGGTTATTTTTTACCTCCCAACATAGGTGCCCTGACACCGCCTATGCATGACCAATACAATTTTAGTCGTTCTCTCATAAGAAAATTGTAACATAACAAGACCATTGCCACCCTTTTTAGAAACAGTACCAACAAAAACCTTATTTACTATACTTTTTGTGTACCCCCAATCTCAATGATCTGTATCCGCCTATGATTGTTGAAAATGCATATTTTTAGGATCCATGTGAATTCCTGGTTCATTCTCTATCGATCGGCAAAAGTTGCGTTAAGATTGGTTCAGAAACCTGGCCGTGATAAACAGTCTAAAATGTATCTGCAATTTGCCCGTTTTTACCCCCCTCTACCCCCCTATTGACATTTTTTAATTTTATTTTTTTTTAGAAATGTAGATCTCGTTGAGCCAAATCGAATGCCGTTTGAATTTTGAAAATCGGCCGGTTAGATCTCGAGATATCAAGGGGGGGTCGTAAACAGCCCCCCCCCCCCTGCCACTAATATGGGGTAGCCAGGAGCCTGCCACTAATAGGGTTAAATGAACTGGTACCGAAGGATATGGCCTTTGGTTATTTCATGCAACTTGCAAACCCAATGATTTGCAATTTGACACGTTTCTATTTAACTTTTAACGTATATTTTTAACACGAGTGCGTATAAAGTGTCATTAGAATGCATAATGCATATTTGTACATTATCCACAGTTAAACAAATGTGTTTATTAATACGTAAGACCTTCTGAAAGTCGTAGGCCGAATCGTGCATGAATAAAATGCACTGAAGCAAAAGAGGCATTTTATAATTTAATCAAACGGACACTGCTTATGCGTGCAGTATGTTGATTTCTCGTGGACTGCAAAGATGACAGTTGTACGAATCAGTTCCGTGGCTTCAGGACACGTATCCGGAAGTTATGACGGGCCTGTCATCCTTTGCCATCAAAGCTCGTGCGTTTTATGTAAAATATTTTGAAGTTACGCCGTTCTACTGCGCACTTGCAGTGACATTGCTGCTGTGCCGTGTATGGAATCATGTGCTTATGTTAGGGCGTGATCGGTATGCGTTTTGCGTTATATCATGCTCATGTGATATTGAATGGTCAATGACACTGAATGACATCGACAATTATATTCGATGGTAGACTTCCCGATGTATTTATAATTTGGGGTGGATCGAGAATTCTTCCATTGCTCTGAAATCAGTGTGGGTAACTTTCCTCAGCGACTGTGCATTACGTTCACAGTGATAAAGGAGACTGGACAATTTAATATCATAAGATATGTTTAATGTTACCTACAAATAAGAGCTATTTGTCGAGCTACATATTATCGTAGCAGCCCCAGCTTTTTCCAAATCAGTACCTATAGCAGTTAGCAGTTATAGTCTTAGCAGTTAGCCATTAGCATAGGACTCAAATGATTGACACACTCATGACACAGACGGGCTTACGTACTTAAGAGTGAACTCTCAGCGATGCATCCTGACGCTTCAGGATGGCATATATGTTATTAAGTCATATTTGTTTAATAACCTTGTCGTGTTCTCTGCTGTCAATTTTTTTTTTTATTAACCAAAATCACATCGGCCTACATGAGCTTCGTTAACCCTCGCCGGCCGAGGGGGGGGGCGAGTGCCGCCCCCCCCCCCCCATACGGTTTTTTCGCGATAGCTCCGAACACGCTGGCGATAGAGAGCTGAAACTTGGCATACCTGGCCTTTGATTCAAGCCGGATCTTTTGACACCAACCGCATTTTTGGGTCAGGTCAGGTCACTGACCTATGACGTCATAAGTGAACCTCTGCATTGTCTTCAGATGTCGCAACTTCGCAACGCCCTCACTGCCAGAGGAGATGTCACAGGGAAATGAAACTTGCAGGATCTAGTATCCATTATGAGTCTCACAACTTGTGTATCTCGGATTTTTCTTAAAGGTCATATGAGGTCAGGTCATTTTCGTGACCTCACCATTATAAGTCAATGGGGAAAAATGAAAACTGCTATTCTGGCGCCGGGAACGATCTCCAGCTATCTCAAGCACACAGAATCGTGATTTGATGCACACCTTGCAAGGATAGATGCGTCGCTTTTGCAATGTTGACCTTGCGTGACGTCATTTATGACGTCATCAAGGTCATATTAGTTTTTCGTCAATAACTCCTGATCAAATTGAGCTAGCGAGTCGGGGAAGCCACCAATAGACTCAGGAGGACCTGCCGAATCGAGTGATATGCGACATGACCTCTTTCGACCAACTTCATGACCTGGGGGTGCTGACCTGACCTTGACCTGAGGTCAACACCCCAATTTGACCTGACCCGAACAAAAAGTATATCATTCGACGCGCCTGAGCGAGGCGAACACGATGCTGCCAAAATCGCGGCTTTGCGGCCGTTTTTTTCGAAGTTATTTACCAAAAACTGAACCGTACCTTGGGGCACTTGACCTGACCTCAGAGGTCACCAGTTGACCTAGGACCTTAAAATCGGATACCAATCTCTGCGTCTCGTAACGGCGCACACGCTCGTTTTTTTCTGCGTCGCGCTAGCTCCACCAGGGGCGAAACGGCGAGGGGGGTCGTACCCGCCCCCCCCCCCCCCCCGGCCGGCGCGTATGTAGAAACTAGAAAACCAATAGGTCCGGCGAGGGTTAAATAGCACAGGGTCATAATGCAGGTTATATGACCACAGCTGTAAATCTGCGAAGATCTTTTGAGTTCAATCGTCACTGGCCTGTTGTCTTTCATCGTCCTTTTTAAGCGTCATTGATGATTGCCTGACAGAAAAGACTTCTAGCAAGAGACCTACGCATCAGAATGCATATAATTCAGCGACAGACAGCAATAAATCACGGACCGATGAGGCCGCCATTCCGCGGCGTTACAGGATCGATCACGCTCGTCAAATTGCTGGCGCCGCTCTGCGCTGGCCGAGCGCCCAATGACGTCATCAAACAGAGGCCGTTAGCGAGTCAGATGACCCGGGGATGGGCCGTAGCGTCACCGGCGGACGCCTCAGCCCGTCGCCCGTCCCGCCTGTGTTATATGTCAGGAGCCATTGACACCGAATGCTGACTTCCTGGCAAGGGCGTCGCGTTGTCACGCCCTATCTGTGCCGGTGTCACATGGAAAAGTACCGACTCGACTGTTTGGTCGTTGGCCCTTGGTGATATCACCGGCCAGATGGCGGTTGGTTTTTGTGGTGATGCTAATTGTTGTTTGGATAAGGCGGCGAGACATTATGTGATGATATGGTGTATCCAGTCGGTAGCTTGGCTCTCTTCATGGTGGCTAACCCTGACCGCATGCGTAACTTCTGAGCCAGACGGTTGGTCATTCAGTGTCAGACAGACCTCCCCAACAGGCGACATAAAACCGTGACGTTATGCAACAACATGATCACGGCGCTGTAGGATGGGTAGGGGAAGTTGGGGCAATGCCGGAGTTGGGGCAAAGCCGAAATTCGAGATATTTCGAAAACCGTAAGGCGTGGATGCCACCTGTCAGTGATGCTCTGAAGCTTAAGTGACTACAATTATCGCATGTTTGTTACGAGTCGTCATTCGGAATACTTCGACTGTGAGGGCGCCAAGAGCGTTTTCAAGGTACGTTTCCCTTGTACTACATGCGCCTTTGAAGCTGCATTTCTCACTCATTATGCTACCGTTTGTCTGGCCAATTCGGTCAAGCAATCTTTAGCATGTCTTTGCATAAGTGTGCTGCCTATTTGAAATTTATACAGCACGTTGAAAAGTTATGGGCCTGCAAATGAAAGTATGGCAGGCTGGGGTAATGCCGAAAACGTGCGATTACGCACGTGTTGAAAGCACGCTACGTGGACTTTACTGCTGTAGAATAGCAACGCGTATTTTTAGTCACACAAATTACACTTTCAACCGACACAACGGCCTGTTACCTATAAGGAATGATTTACCTGGCATGTTCTTATTATATCACACAATTATAACTTCCAGTGTGCACCGCGTCCTCAAGCTCTTAAAACGCGTGTCAGCTTTGATCAATTCTGGATAAAGTTTGAGATAAAATGGCAAAACATCAATGTCGGCATTCCTCGTAGATCATTTCTCCCATTTTCGGCTTTCCCCGCAGTCCGGGGCAACGCCGAAAAAGTCACTTCTTTGATATTTTTAGTTTGTGCGCTTAACGGTATGCGAATTCATCAAATGCGCCTGGTATGTTTGAAAGGCAAAAGACTGGCCTCTCGAATGACGCCAACAAGAATAGCTTATGTTGTCTACCTTGCGTGCTACGGGCGTCAGAAAAAAAGTCTTCGGCGTTCCCCCAACTTCCCCTAACACACGGCAATAGCTGTGGTCTTCAGCTGGTTTAGTGTTTTTCCGTTCTAGCTTTCAACCAGTGCGTCCTGAGAAAAGTGCAGTTCATCCAGCACTGTTTTATTTGCGATACTGCTATTTATATTGTGACTGATGTCCTTTTTTACTTCATTGGACTTGTCCCTGAAAAATGTCAACACTATGGCAAGCGTAGTGCGTACTTTCATTAGTTTCTTTAACTTGTTTTTCAACGTAGTTTTTCTCCGCAAGACCATTGTGCCGGTCGATAGGAGATTTGGTGTGGTCTGTTGTCCGTTAAGCCGACCTCTGACGACTGATGTCCCTTTTGCACGCTAGCCATGTCAGGTCACTAATTATGTCGCTGTACCGGGGAGGATAATCAATGCAACTGTCGAACAAGGGGTAGACAAGCCAATGGTACCATTTTGCTCGTCATCAGTTATTTTGATCTTTACCATTACCGAAAACGAATTATTTATTTTCGCTTCACCTCTCAATATACCAGTTTGTCTAGCTGCCTTATATTTTGGTTGTATTTGGATCGGCTTTTAGTGGACAGCAGTCAGCACGCTCGATTTATCGCCATTAAAGACCCGACGTAGTGGTCAGTTGATCCAACTAGCCGCCACCCTGACCCGAAGCCCCTCGCCCTGTCATTAACCCATCCCTCTCTCGCTCCTTAGCGTGAGAGCGGTAGCGAAGCGCACGGACGGGTTCTGCCGCGGCCTGCTGGAGTCGCCGAGCTCAGAGTACCGGGTCTGCCACCGGCTGGTGGACCCGCGTCCGTTCCTGGCCGCCTGCGAGGCGCAGCAGGACGAGCAGCGCTGCGTGGCCGTGCGAGCCTACGTGGAGGCGTGCCAGCAGCTCGGATGGCCCCTGAAGATGCCCAACAAATGCGTACAGTACGTGCCGGGGGAGGGGCGGGGGGTGATGGGGGTCGGAGGGAGATACGGGCTGAGGTGGGTGGACGAGGATAGGGTGTGGAAGAGCGAAAGTGGGTGGGGTAGAAGGAAGGTAAAGTGAAAGGCATGCGAAGGCGAGGAGGGAATGAGTAGGGAATAGGGATGCAGGTTGGTCGTAGAAAGCTGGTAGTCATTCTGCATGTGAAGTAGAGCCCTTTCGAATTCCTGTCAGATATTCTACCTTGTATTTGCAAAGTTTCAGGTGTCGTAGCTTCTAGCAGTTGCTTTAAAAATAGACCATGATAAGCTGATAGGGCGTCATTTGGCTAGCCGTCTGTGAAGTCAAATGCACAACCTCTCAACGAAATGCCATAACTTTACCCGTTAACGTTAGTTTCCCACGCGTCGGCCTGTAACGTTGACTTCATTATTTTATGCCGCCAGATTTACAGGGTGGGGCAGCGTAATCGGGAATGCTTTTTGGGCTCTAATCATGAGTAGGCATGACATTATTTTGATAAATTATAGCATGGCAATGAAACGCCCAAAAGTTGTGCATCATCTAACATGACTACATCCATGAGCATGCAACCTCCTGGAAAAGAGCAGCAAAATAGTTCGACGGTGCTCCAAGTGCTTTGCGCGCGCCCATAGACACTAATGTTAAAGGGACCCTCCCACCTTCAAAAAAGTTAATGAATTGGCATGAAAGTGATGTCGCTCGGTTCAGAAAGAGCAAAAACGCATATCTACCAAATTTCATCGAAAAATATTCACCGGTTTTCAAGATATTAGACTTATACTTTTGTTTACTTTTTGGGATCTCCGCTGTTCCTAGCGACTTTATTTGAAAGTGCGGCATTTGTTGCGCGCAAAGCAGCATATACCACCGCGTGCTACAAAACGTTTTAGTCAAACATTTAACGGACGTTCGAAAGCCTGATGACGTCATCAGATTCCCGTAATGGTTAAGAGATAGGGACCACGCTGGTCCCACCCTGCAAGTAAAGGGAAGAAATTTCTTGAACACCATAAAGCTGCGGGGGTTGCGACCAGGATAAATGGTGGTTTCTGAGCCTGGCCGCAAACTTGGCTATCTCAACTCAAAACTAATGTTAAGGTGGGAGGGTCCCTTTAAACGAGTAAAACAAGAACATTTTGTTGAAACCCCTGCAATTCCACGTAAAGGTTGCTGGACAGGTCAACGTGTTATCACGGACAATAAGGATTGTGTGGGAATACTTAGGACAAAAGGTTAACGTAATCGTCGTAAAATAACTCTTAGCAGAGGACATACAGATGACTCACTTGAATATAAGGAAGACGCTCTTGAGCATATTAAAAAGAAACAATGTTCAAAACTTCAGCGACCAAAAATCTCACCACCGACTGGAATACGACAAAAAAGAATGGCAAGCCATATAGGGGATTGTATCGAGAATATTCCAGCGGTCATGCAAAGTAAACATCCTGTTGGGGTGATGGACCTATGGGTGGTCTTCAAGGGAGGTGCACGTGGTGCACCCTACTTCATCGAGCCCAGATAAAATGAGCACCTCTGGTAAATACATCCGCACTGTGGCAGACTCATGTGGAGCCGTCGGAACAGAGGATCACTGACGGTCCAGATCACGTCTTACGAGGACTCTGTCCGTGCTGGTACTGCAGTGAGGACGACATGTTATTGTGTAGGGCACCTCCACCTGAGATGAACCAAAAACTTCTGGTCCTTCAACTCCGCCGATTTAAATCCGACCAAATTCTTTACATGGAGCGTTTTTTGGTAGAAGGTTAATGAACAACTTATCATCAGTAAAGACGGTCTTCAGTGCAAGGTACGATGCTGATGGGCGATCATGGACAAGCAGGAGGTTGCACGTGCATGCGCGTGCTTTTGGACCCGCCTTGAGAAGGTCATCGACGCCGAGGGCGGTCACATAGGATGAGAGATAGGTAAAAGGTGACCAATTGATGGGATGTTGCTAAAATAGTGCTTGGAGCTGTATTTTTAAATTCATGACCAAATAATCCCGTTTGATATTTATTCCCGATTATGCTGCCCCACCCTGTAGTCAAAGCATAAACCTTCTCCTACAAAGGGAAACAATCGATTTGCGCGCTACTCTGTTGATAGCAGTCTCTTGTCAGACCTTTTGAAAGTAGTTGGGTAGGCTGGCGCCGCCACTGCGTCAATAGCGTGACGAGTATCATTTGGTGGCCGCGACCCCCACACCCGACGTGTGGCGATGAATAGAGGTCAGTCAGTTGTTGACTGGAACAAAGGGGTGCTGATCGGGTGGGACGGCTGGCACGGATGCTGTTGATGAATAGCCCGTATCGATATTAAATCTGGTAGATGGAGGCCGCAGTGAAAGACTGAATTTCTCGGTATGTACTGACGTCAGTACGTCGTACGTCATTATTCTAAGTGTGGTGTGTTCCTCCTAATCTGTACTACGCAGTTAAGACAGTGCAAACTACGCAGTTCTGTCAACATGGCATGCAAGAGAAAGTTAATCACATGACCAGGCCAGTTGACAAACACTGGTGACAAAACATACTACGCTTCTCGGGCACATGTACTGGGTATTCCAGAGAACGTCTGAAGTGATGTCGCCATCACTGAGTGGTGTGGGCAGAGGCCGGCCCATATCATGATCGCCCAGCAATGCTACCGCTTAATATGTCAGTCAATTTAGGTGTTTGTTATTCGTACAACTATACACGATTTGCGTGCGATATAGGTATATGTTTTACTCAGCCATAGGTGATGACGCTTTCTACGTCGCCGTTTCAGGTGTAGCATCGCCGGCCAGTCTGTGTTTGAGGGCAAAACGGTTAAAGTTCGTATGGAGAAGCCGGCCACGGAGGTTGTGTTCATCGTGGAGGCCAAGCAGTGTAATGCCAACGCCACCCATGAGCGTAGCCTCAACTACATGGCCCGTTCGCTCAACATGAACCTGCGCAGAGAGGGATTCGCCACCACAAGGTAAGAGTTTATTGAAGGTTTACGGGCTCTTTGTTACAATTGGTTTGTGTGGCTGCTGTATTTTGGTTTTCGCTTGGTCTGGTAACTTTGTAGACGCGTTTTGTGAGTGCAATTCTCTTGCTTGTTTTTGACTAATGGTTTGGTTCGATTTGATTTTTCTCATTGAAGTGAGCTTCATGTGTGTATATTCGAATTTCGAATGGTACATACTTCGCTGCATAGCGATTAGCTTTCTCTTACCAGCGAGATTATTTGATCGTTCATGACTTGCTGATTTTGGTAGCGAAATAGCATTTCACTCGATCTAAACCAATGTCCTGTTCGGTAGCATTCGTTGTTGATATCACCACAACATGATCTCATGGAAGGCTTCTCTTCACGGAACAAATTACTGTCAAGTGCTGTGGGCAGACATGCATTCCTTAGGAGGGTCCCGTGGATTTTTCCGCTGTTCCTCGAACTCCCATGTCATGTCTGCCTCTCTCCGAGTAAGTGCCCGTGTTTATTGTGATGTGCACTGCAAGCTGTCGCTGGCCACTCGCTCATGTTCACATGAGCTGTGACAGCGCGGAGCCGCTCAAACACCGGCTGGGCGTCGGCAGTTAGTGCTCTGTGTCATGGTCAACTAGCACTGGCTTATCAGCCTGATGGGGTTACATAATGACCGCAAAACAAACAAACCCCTGACCGCGGCGACGAACTGAGAATAGCCTCTGGTCTCGTAGTAGTACACACAGTCTGTGTGCATAGTGGCATGTCGACTCAGGTTGGTACCAGAGGCCGCCACTCGGCTCAGTTTGTTACCACGACATTCGCGACGGCCATGCTTCCACAAATAATCACCGGAGGGGGGATATGCTCTCTGTTTGAAAACTGCGCTTGTCGAACGCAGTTGTACTTGGAATATTTTGTTAGTTAATGGGGCTTCACTCCCACTGCGTCAGAGAGATTAATGAGCACATCTTAAGTTCTCGTGAATTATCGGCTATGTGTATGCTTAAGTGCAGTGCTCGTTCTTTGTATTTATGATGCCGCTGTGGCCAGGGTGTATCGTTCAACTAAGAGCAATGGCGCAGATATACGCTGCAATATTTCTCTATGATCATTTTCACAATCAAACTTATGGGAATTCCTTTAGCAGAAATGGCTTTCTCAATGTGTGGGCTTAGCTCAGACGGATGTTGGCTAGATCTCATTCCCGATTTGAGCTTTCGTCGTACGATTGTTCGATTTTTGCTAACGCCGCAGTAGAGTCATGATATGGACCCTGGGAAATTTCCACCCATTTGTGGGAATGGATGGCCAAACTGGGTCACAGCTTGGTAGACAAATGACCCGGCAATATGGCTTTGTTGTCATGATAAAGCTGACCAGTCCGTCGTCGTCATTATTGTCACTAATTTGCTCCTAACTTTGCTACATTTACGACTGACTGGCTGTGGCTGGCCTTATAATTGCCAGCGTCAAGTATTGTAATTTGATATTCGTTAGCATTTTTCAACATCTATGAGTGTGTTTGGCGACCCGATCGATGCGCAACATCTGCCTCGATACGTTCTGTGCATGTGATAGACCGATGACGGGTACAAATCGTGACCATGCTCGCCAGGCCTGTCATCAGTTATGCGATCCTTCCGCTCCAGAGGCGCGACTGATTGACTGTGATTGTGACTGAGTGTTGCGACTGATTGTGACTGACCAACAGGTTCGCTGTGATTGCTTTCGGCGGCTCCGGCGTTCTGAATGAGCCGCGTGTTATGACCGTCGACGGACACATTTTCAACTCGGCAAAGAAGGTGCCGGAGGCATTTGATCAGATCAAGCCCGGTAAGTATCGTTGAAATTTACTAAGTCTGTGTGCTCGAACATCTGGCCATTTTTAGGTGATTTTATCAGGTAGTTCACCCCAAGCTACAAGTCGAAATGTGCCTTGCCTACTGAACACTCGGGCTCAGCAGTCACCACTGTTCAACAGTGCTCATCCGTAATCTGAGATAGTTACAAAACAGCTGTCTTCATATGTGTGGTTGTGTTTGTAAGTACCCATTGATGATCAAGCGTATCCTAAATCCTACCTATTGCCAGGCTCTGCCCATTTGGAGAGCATTGTGTGATGTGTCACTTATCTTTGGTCATGAACAAGCTGTGTCCATTGGTCGATGGCTTTTAGCTTGCGTTCTCTTGGTCAAGATCTCCCTCGATCGAGCACCTGATACTACACCGGAACTGATGACCGGTCAGTCAGGTGTAAAATCGCTTCGACTGGTCACGTGGCCCGGAAACTGGTGTAATCGACACTGTAATTGATCGTATCCTACGCTCACACTGGGGATTTCCGCTGGTGTGGTGCGCAGTTGCGGGCTAAAGCCTAAATCTGCCGTCGTGATCTGACTTCAAACACCGGGCCGGGCCGGATCCGTGAATCCCCTAGGATCGGTGCAATTCGTTTCGCTGTTGAGCTGGGACAAAGACCGTCGTAACGTAACGCAGAGGAAGATACTCTCATGCATAATCGTAGACAGCTTGACTCGACAAAGACTCCTCGTACTTAGATACGGAGTATGAAGTACTGAAGCGATGCAGTGTGCCTTCCAAATCACAGCTGGATCATGGCTGCAGGCTGTTTCCAGTTCTACCTTGATCTACACCTTTTTAGGTGCAATTTCGAAAAGTTGAAAGTCAAACTCAAAAAGTTTACGTTCGAAATGCACGCGAACGTTTTGGGCTATAACTTTTTGAAATTGCGCCTGAAATTAAGGTGTAGAGCTACACCTACAGCTGAAGGTGTACAGCTGTACACCTACAGTACACCTACCTGAACAGCTCTGTTCAGCTGAGGAGCGGAAACCCTGCGCTGCACTTCCATTGCGACACGCAGTAAACGAAAGCGTTATGTTACACGCCTCCGCTGTATTGAACCTGGTCGGCCTAGCTCCGATGACAATGGGGGCGCCGGTAGCATCGGTTGGGCTCGGAAGCGGGCGGCTCGGATCACGACACTAATTGCCGTGGACATGCAGTCACGGAAGAGTACCAGCTGTGACTGGTTTATTCCAGGACCTAGAACCGTGTAGCGGTGGCTTGCAAACCTGTTGTCATAGTAATATGGAGATAATCATCGTGCAGTGATTCTATGCGTCTTAATTTCTAATTTTCGATAGCAAAAACTCTCAGGCCTGCACCTGATTTACAATGTCAAAGAAGTCGCAATGCAACAAGGCCGAAAATTGGAATCAAAATGCTAATAAGTGAACGAAAGATCTAAATGTATAGCTCTCATTCTTATTGTTTCCCAGTCTTATCCCTACGTTCCTCCCTTGCTCTGCAACCTCCTCCCTCATTTCTTCCCCACCCGCACAATAAGCATACACTCACTGAGCACTTCCGCCCTACCTCAGGCTCCGGCGGCCGGGACGTATTCGGCGCCCTCCGGCGCGCCGCCATGCTACCGTTCACCCCGGGTGTGTCACGCACGTTCATCCTGCTGCCCTGCTCGCCGTGCGAGGCCACCGAAATGAGCATCGACTACACGACGCTGGCCAACGCGTTCGCTGAGCAGCAGGTCACCCTGCACGTTGTAATGGATGGGGACATCAAGGTGTCCAAGCAGCAGAACCGGCTCGTTGGTGAGTGGCGAGGGGATGTGTCACGTGCCAGATCACGCTGTGGGAGCGTGGTGGGGCAGGGGTCGCGGTCACGCGGTCAAGAGGGGGTGGGAGTTATGAGGGGTGTTAATCAAGGGGTGAACGACAGGGAATGGACGGGGTCACGGGTAGATGGGTAGGTCTGGACCGTGTGTGCTTGTGATATATTGCAAGTGATGTTATAATCTAACGCTTGATGCAGATGGTGTCCTGTTTGTAATTAATGTGCTTTGTATGGTATCATGTTTTCCATCAGTTGCACCTCATTTAGTATCAATTATACTATTACTGAAATCGAAGCAATCTTCACGCATCCCTTATCATTTCAGTTATTTTTGTGTGGGATTCGGTGGTTGGGCAATACATCATTCGCTATTATCCAGTAATGTAAGCAGAACAGGATGTTATTCTACCAAGCCGCAGTGTTTTTGTTACATGAATGATGTTTCCAGCATTGGAAACGTATGTGTATAACTATGTGTATGATGTGTTTTAATACGATACCAAGATGCGTTTCTGAAGGTAATGTTTCCCTCCTAACCCAGGTATTGACAAAAGCAAGGCGTATACCATGAAGGATGCTAAGCGGCTGCGTGGTGACTCCGCCCTTCTGAAGCATGTGAAGAGGCCCAAATCGGAGCTGCGTTTGTGCGAGCCGCTGGCTATCGAGCAGACCAACGGTTAGTCCAGGGCTACTAGAAAATATTGCTCAACTGCTGGGTACGCGGCCATAGTTCCACGAGTACGTGAAGTCTACGCGAAGGGCTGTTTTCTGTAACGCTCAATAGCAATGACGTCATAAAATGAGCAAAGCCTTATCTACGTTTCTTTGTATGCGGTTATAATTGAATCATGTGTCTTGCTCAAACACATGGCTACATTTTCTGGGCATGCTAATGACCTATCTTTTTAATATGGGAAATTCCCGTACTGGGCGGCATCCCGGGGCCAACTCGACGGCAAAGTTATCAAGTAACAACGCCCGTCTGGAACTAGGACATGAGTGTTCCCCTCTTTCCACAATATTAGGTATGTTAGTGTTACACAATGGTTCATATATGCTGGGTTTGTCTGAATACTCTGGACAGACACCAAGCTGGACGTGGTAAGTTGTTATAACCAGGGCTGCGGAGTCGGAGTCGGAGTCGGAGTCGGAGTCGGTCGGAGTCGACAGTTGTGACCGGAGTCGGAGTCGGAGTCGGAGTCGATTTTAGAAACCCGAGCCGGAGTCGGAGTCGGAGTCACCGAAAATCTGTCGACTCCGCAGCCCTGCTAGGTCTGCGGAGTCGGAGTCGGGAGTTGGAGTCGATCGGAGTCGACAATTCTGCCCGGAGTCGGAGTCGGAGTCGGAACTGGTTTTTGAAAGCCGGAGTCGGAGTCGAAGTCGGAGTCGCCGAAAATCCATCGACTCCGCAGCCCTGGTTATAACACCCGTCCCTTCTCTCCCTGCCCCCAGGTGCCATCTTCTCATCGTCCAAGCTCAAGCCGCAGCCGAGGAAGGCTAAGCTGAAGCGCTTCCTGACTGTGTTCGGCCGCCGCGTAGCGCAGACGGCCCGACCGGAGGGCTGTCAGAGCTGCGAGTGCGCCACAGATGTGGAGGGCACAGTGCGACCCGTCTGCATGTCCTGCCGGTCGGACCTGCTACTGCCGCTTGACCCGGTCAGTGGGGAGGGTTGGAAACTGAATGTATGTACGTGAGAGTGTCTTTGCGTGCGTGTGTGTTTGAGTGTGCGCGTGTCTGTTAGGTACGTTTAATATTTAGCTGTAGCATGCTGTTAAATGGAGTTTGCGGTGGCATTATTGACCGATACCAACACTTATGTTACGTTAAACGGACCGAAGACAATGGGGCATTCGCCGACTGTTATAATATTACAACGATATTCCGAGCATCGAATGCAATTCACCTTTGTCCAGGCACAATTTAGGACAATTCTACGGAACTGCCGCCGGAGACATGCCCTGTAATCTCTCCCTTACTTCGAGCAGCGCTAACCAATCAAGAACTTCTCTTCCCCCGGGTGTTGTTCCCTTAATAACCTGTCCATCCCGACCCGTCCCGCTCCACCGGCACTGCTCAGCGGGTTGTCCAGCGAGTCTGACCGCCGGGAGGCACTAACGGGGCCGGTATTTCCGCCGTACGTCTGCTGGAGCCGCCCCGAACATGTCCGCCGGGCCCCCGAATGCTTCCAATGACGCACTTAGTGTGTCTGCTCCGCTGGGGCCGGCCCGGGGGGCTTGTCCTTGAAAATTGAGCCAGTCCGATCGGGTGGGGATGCAATGGTGCTGAGTCTTGAGAGGTACTCGCGTCAGGCGCCATGCTTGTTAATGTGAAAACTGTCGGCTGGCTGGCTTGCGGAACTAGTTTAAAGGGACCCTCCCACCTTCAAAAAAGTTTATGAATTGGCATGAAAGTGATGTCGCTCGGTTCAGAAAGAGCAAAAACGAATATCTACCAAATTTCATCGAAAAATATTCACCGGTTTTCAAGATATTAGACTTTTACTTTTGTTTACTTTTTGGGATCTCCGCTGTTCCTAGCGACTTTATTTGAAAGTGCGGCATTTGTTGCGCGCAAAGCAGCATATACCACCGCGTGCTGCAAAACGTTTTAGTCAAACATTTAACGGACGTTCGAAAGCCTGACGACGTCATAAGATTCCCGTAATGGTTAAGAGATAGGGACCACGCTGGTCCCACCCTGCAAGTAAAGGGAAGAAATTTCTTGAACACCAGGTCCCACCCTGCAAGTAAAGGGAAGAAATTTCTTGAACACCATAAACCTGCGGGGGTTGCGACCAGGATAAATGGTGGTTTCTGAGCCTGGCCGCAAACTTGGCTATCTCAACTCAAAACTAATGTTAAGGTGGGAGGGTCCCTTTAAATGCAAACAGCATGTGATCGCAATGCTCGCAGCTCCCAAGAATGTGACGTTCGCTCATTAGCGTCGGCAGAACGTCGTTTTGGGAAATGATCAGGGAACGATTTACCTCTGATAAATGTCAAAACGTAATTGCTTATAAACAAGATCCTATCGCTGGGCGGTCTTATCTTGTAACAGAAATGTGACACCCATTCTGAATATAAGATGACGTTTCACACAGTGGGTGGGTGTCTCTGTACCGGTTAAATCAACGAGCGACACCAGACGTCAATATCGGGTATTTGACACACACCCTTCAGTTGACCAGATGTCGAGCTGAGCAGCTGCCGACACGTTTGTTAGGAGTTCCCCAGGGATGGTGGGCTGCATACTGCCCACCAAAAGAGTGGGCTGCAAAAAGCCCACCCATCCGCGCAGTTCCAGGAATTCAACGCCAGTTCAGGTCCGCTCAGGTCATGTTTCCTCGAGCGCTATTAGTTTCCAGAACGCGAACAGAAGCGACAAATGTTCAATAAAATGCGTCGCACAGCATCGCATGCGTCGTTTCTGTATCGCCCCTCTATCTATGCTTTGGCTAGGGCAAACAGAGAGTCGCAGTGGAAAGCACTCGCCATGGCCCTGAGCCAACACGGAGCTGGACAACAATGGGGATACATTCGATTGGACGTCATGCCACTGCTACCTTTGGGTTTGTCTTTGTGAGTGTATGAGCATTGTCTCTGTGCATGGGTATGTGAATGCATTTATTTTAGAGTTGCAAAGTTTCCCCCAAAGGCTGCTACCGGCACCGCCCCGCCCCACAAAAATTTTCTGGGATACCGGCATGCTACCACGCCCCAAGCAAAAACACCACCAAATTACCGGCATACTAAAAAACCTGCATTGTTGATTCCAGCTTACCCCTACAAGAGATGCCACATTTTGACAATTTCAGTAGGTACCCATCCCACCCAGTAGCCACCCATTGTCCAACCACAACTACGAGCAGGCTGATTTTTACTCAGTTGGCCCTACAAATACCCACAATTTTGAAACCCAACTCCATCTATAACTGTTGAAATATAACCTGTAATCAAAGAGGTATTGCCTACAAAAAGCATTAAACTATCATCAAAAAGCAAGGACAAAAAGAACTTGAATTACTGAAATGTGTTTCTGAAGACTGGACAGTTAGCAGTAATCACATTTATATTTCACAGGTCACAGGTGTTCTATTATTCCACATTCTCCTAAAATGTTTCAGGCATCAACCAAATGTTCAAAATATAGATGACCACAACATAAAAACTACCTACCGATTCCAATTCGGCCATGTTCCTAACTGAGGAAGCGAGATCAACATCTGTTTTTTTCCTATTCGCCATGGCTTGCTGCTTCGTGAATAATATACGAATCATGTAAAAATATATGTTAATAACTCACTTGTCCTGAGAACAGTCACCAAATAATATGTATAAAAACGGTATGATGCCCCCATCGAATCTCACGATACTCTCCAAACACAAGGTTTCGAAACAGATGCGCCATAACAGTGGCTTTTAACCAGCTGATAAAACTGCTGCAAAAAAAAGTTTTTGGACTGCAACACACTGCCTTGTGAATGACTTTATAGATGTAAATGATCCAACGATATTTTTTTCTAATGAAATTAATATTTTGAGTGCAATTAACTACAAGAAAATTCATTTCCCCTCAGTAATTCAACCAAAAGGGCATATGAATAATTGTTACGTCATCATCTCACATCATTTCATTAGGGGAGAGAGGATCTTAAAAGTCAATCCTTGGTTCTCTAAGCTCTTATTATTTTGCACCACTTCAACTTTGTATTAATTTTGTCTGCGTATTGTGTTTTCTTGTAGAGATAAGGCAAACTGCCAGTTTCATTAATTTTCATTTCATTTTTGGGACCAAAGTCAGGCTCAGGGCTACCTAATACCTGCCTTTTCAGATGGATTTTCAGTTTCAACTTCTTTGTAGCGTATCTCAGACCACATCTCATGACTCAAGGCCAGTTTCCAAACAATGTGTTTTGTGGTGTTTTGATTCTGCCTTTTCCCCTATGAAATGTTGTCATGAACATTTATTTATTTTATTGTATTATACCTATTACCTACCATTAGACTTACTTATTGATCGTGCTTTTGCAACATGAATGTGTGTTCTTCCTTTTATAGACCACAGTAGGTTCTTGACAATTATAATTATAACCAAACCTGTGAAATGCTGAGGTCCATATGTACCCCTACCCTTAGCAATGTGTTTTCTACCACAAAATGTATTTTGCAGTGGCAAAGATTGCTGTTGTTACAATTTGATAACCTCTTAGTGTCCAAAGTTTGAATCGTATGCTAACAATTTTTTGTGAGTGCAAAACCAAAAATACCGGCATGCTACCGGCAAGACATGCCAGATACCACGAAAAAACCTGCGGTAGTGAAAAATTACCGGCATGCCGGTAGTGCGGTAGGGAAACTTTGCAACTCTAATTTATTTGCTATATTGATATTTTCATTTCTATCTGAAGACTGAATGTGTGCGTTTTTGTTCGCGCGCTGATCTAAGGTCGCAAATAGGTAATGTTATACTTATGTGCCATTCATTTTTTCTGAGCTCTTGTGGGAGGGTGTGCAAATTCCATACACGCCTCATGGCAACACCGTCACACATGGGTGTTACATAGCCTGTTTACCAGGCCGCGTGACCATCCATCCGCCGCGACAAATGAGGCTTCCTTCTCCATTAGCGGCGGACGCATGACGCTTAGGTCACGTGACAGTGTGGCAGCAACCGAAGCCACTCTTTCCATTAGCGGCCATACACTGGCTCTCATATCACGTGACCATGTGCGGCAGCAACTGAGCCTTCGTTTCCATTACCGCTTGTCTCCGACGTCCAGGTCATGTGACATCTGTAACCCAGGCAACTAAACCCTCCGTCTCCATTTGAGATTGTCATAACTCGTATGGACCGGTGACACGTGACCGACTGCAGTAACACTGGTCCAATCACTGATGGGATCACGTGGTCACCCCTCCTGACATTGACCTGGTGACTTACATGCGACCGGCCACAATATGCTCGCGGGGGTGACAGTGGCGAGCGGCCAGCATAGGCAGTCAGCGCTCCTCCTCTCTCCCCTCTTCTCCCTCTTTCTCACTCACTGACTCTGCCTGGCTCTCTTTCAGGATGACGATATCTTCATTGAGGAGTGAGGACGCCAATTCAGCACCGGTGGCTCCTTACTCAGCAACTAGAGACGATGCCGAGTCGTCTCCAGTTACTGACGGTCCAGCAGCAACCCGAGATCGGCGATACCAGCAGCACCGGCCGGTTGCTGGTGCTGGTAAAATGTACTCAGCGGTGCTGCCCCGGACTGGTGCGCGGTTTGGTTCTGTGCTGCCCAGTGCTGAGCGCTGTTGTAGGCAAAAGGCAGGACTCAGAACTTCTCATGGCATGTGACAAGTGACTGTAAAGCTGCCTTTTTGGTCCAAGCGCAGTAGCCAAAGTAAAAGGGGGGTGATGATTTCTAACCTTCGCCGGCCTCGGCTCGGGTACTCGCGAAACTCGGGGTTTGGTACGTAGTGGTGATCATAAGTGCCTTCTTTGTCTTCCGTTTCGGCAGCGCCCTGTACTCGATTTATGACGCGGTATTTGGTATGTTTCTATTGAAAATGTCACTTATTCTGTCGTTCTTGATGAAGTGTAGCGTAAGAGAACATCAGGAATGCATTTATTGTCGTAGTTAGTAATTTTGCGACGAGCATTGCATTTTCTTACTGGAAGATGCCGGTTTAAGATCTGTCTTAGCTAATTGTAACCTAATCATTGCTTTGCGTCATGTGCCATTTACAATAGTATATGCGAGTGAACGACATTTTTTATCGGTGGCACGATGTGTTGAATGTTGATGCATTCCACGTTCTACCGGAGCGCAATACAAATAACGGGAATTTCCAGCACGATGTGTTAGTGTTTGTGATCGAACAAGAAGCGCGACACGTTATTAAAATACCAAGACAGAATCAATCGCCATGTTTGGTTTTAACGGTTTAGCCAGGCGGATAATGCTATACGAAAACGAAGAGCCCAAATTAGAGAAGTCGAAGCGCGTGCTCCCAGCCCATCGTAAAAAGTTTGTAGGGTTAAACTGAAATAATTTTTTAACTCCAGTCTTTCCTGACATACAATGCGGAACAAATTTGTTCCTGATCAAAATACTGGTTCTTGTACATTCGCTGTTCACCACGTTGCATAATATGCACGTGTGTCAGAAACACAATATGGAAATAATAAGTACCACCGGTATCAAAAGGGACGACTAACGCCAGACACATCAAACTCGGCGAGCGAGTATACGCCCGTTCGATGAGCTGCCGGGCAGGGTAGACTGTGCCGCACGACAAGGGTGCTATGCGGTACAGCCTACCTGCAGGCTGCCGCCCGTTCGCCCATGCTTCACGCAAAATGAGATAACGTGTGTGGCTAAAAACGACTTGACTATATTTTTATTAGTGGGGTAGCTGATTCATGAGGATTGCGGTATGAAGGACGCCGGTAATTACTCTGGCAATCACCAGGACTGTCATTCCGTGGGAGTGATCGGCTGCTCGTGTCTCGGGCCGTCGGACTTCTCTCTATCTTCCACGGTTGTCGTTCATAATTGCGTCAAAATATAACGGACTAATTGTTTGTTTTAAATGTTGCCTGATAGTTTCTAATGTTAATTTATTATTGACTTTTTCGATCCTCTACGGAATCGAATCGATCGATCCTTTATCCTTTACTCCACCCCTCTACGGAGGGGTGGAGTAAAAAGGATGAAATAGTTGAACAGAGGTGACCGCGCTCTATGGTTTATAGACGGAACGTTTGACCAGTGGTCTGTTACAAGCAGAAGAGACGGCATAATTCTAGGTAAGATGGGCTGAGAACAACTATAAATGCATGCATTACATATACACACACTGATTTGATTTATCCGACAACGGTCAGGGTCATAAGTCGTTCATCAGTGTTATTCCTCCGTCCAGGGTCAAGGCGTCAGTGCAGCGGGTTCTCTGCCAGACAAAGATCCCCCGCCTCCGATCCTGGCACGTGTTCCGGCGTCCCGGCGCGGAGGCGTCATCGCCGGCGTCGCCCCGTGTCTGCGTGAGCCTTCGGGCGGTGGTGGTGGGGGTCCAAGACGGGGCAGGGCGAAGGCGTGGCGCCGACCGCGCCGGCGCCGGGCTCCGGTGGCCGTCGGAATTTTCCACCGGGATATCGACCGTCGGCGGGCGCTCCTACGTCAGCTGTCGGGAGGGGGGAGGGCCGGGACGAGCCGGCTGACCCGACGGTCAGAGCCCGGAGTGCCTCAGACGACACCCGGAGGCTGGCCAGAGAGGAATCGTGACCCGACAGCTCCCGACACCTCCCGACATCCGGTCACGGACTAGCCGCCCTGCCAGTGGGACGCCGCTGTAGACGAGGTCACAGCCGCAGAAGTGGCCAACATGGTCATCAAGGAGACAGCGCCTAACCTGGTGAGTACTGCTCGAACTTCTCAGTTTGATTTTTCGTCACATGATTCGTGGATTGGGCTATTCTTAAATATTTTAGTCTATTATTGGGAGCCTTTTTGAACTCAACCGAGAATGCAATGTGCTTGCATGACAGACGATGTTGAATTAACCATTCAGGTCGCCATCTGACATAACGATGTCAATTTTACAACGGCCCGCAGTGATGTAATGTGGCTTGCAACTCGTGTGTCATAAAGCTCTGCATGCAATCATTATGCATTGAACAGCTAAGTCATGGCGGCTATATGGACGATTGGGTACTTATATCTTCGTATCGTCTGTGTGAATGTTAACCAGTGTTCGCCACGGGCCCCAAAATCCCCAGCCCAGCCCGGCCCGGGCCCATGGGTTCAGAGCCCGGCCCAGCCCGTAGCCCGCTCTTGGCAAATATTCCAAGCCCAGCCCGGCCCGGCCCGTCAAAAATAGCAATCTAGTTATTGTCTTAGTCTATTGCTATAATAAGCATGATTGATTACACTATTTTGAGAACAATTCAAACTGCATGAATATTAACATGGCAATCATGACTCCCTTCTTTTCAATGAATATAATCATTTCAAGCACCTATGGCACAAATTTTAACAGTAACAGCAAGCACCTCAGTCAATTAGGTCATGATTACACACATATAAAAAGTTTACATGATTATATTAACTACATTCTATGAGTAAAGTTATCTTGCAAGCTGATGTGGGCGCGTATATTCGGATGCAGTATGAGTAGAGCATGGGTCCCGAAAAATTCTTCAGAAACTAGAGAAATTCTCACGGCCACCGGCATTTAGGCGATCTGCTCGTGCTTTTGTCACTGGAGCGCTTCTTTCACGGAGATTGCGCCGGCCGCCTGCAACGGACGAAAAATACACGGCTTTGCAATCCGGCTGATCGTGGGAAAATACAGCCGGAGGTCTCGGCTCTATGCAGGTATACCACCGGGAGAGATGTATTTATTGTATAGTATATACCACTGGCTCGATGTATAGCCTGCAAGTTGGCTTTGGTGCAAACATGTCAAACAGGGTATAGGGCGGATCGATGTAAGCAAATAAGACGTTCAATTGACAATTTCCGATTCTTATTCGATAATTACGACCAATTATATTTTATTTTGGGAAGTGTTATTGGGACCGGGAGCAATAAAATCTCATTTTCCCCTGTCTCCTTACCTATCTCCCAAACCCCTTGCTCACGATCATCTTTCCTCTCTTTAGGTATCAGTCTCCTTCCCGTCCTCCCCGAGTCTCTGACAAGTAATATCCATATCTCTAAGTCTTTTCCTTCATCTGATCCTCCTTTCTCTCACCACCCTTCTCTCTCTCTCTCTCTCTCTCTCTCTCTCTCTCTCTCTCTCTCTCTCTCTCCTCTCTCTCTCTCTCTCTCTCTCTCTCTCTCTCTCTCTCTCTCTCTCTCTCTCTCTCTCTCTCTCTCTCTCTCTCTCTCTCTCTCTCTCTCTCTCTCTCTCTCTCTCTCTCTCTCTCTCTCTCTCTCTCTCTCTCTCGTCCGTCCATCTCTTTGTCCGTCTCTCCGTCCGTTCGCCCGCCCTTCCGTCTCTCAGTCCGTCCATCCGTCCGTCCGTTTCTCCATCAGTCTGTCCATCAGTCACTCTCTCCGTCCGTCCGTCATCAGTCTCTTCGTCCGTCCATCCGTCCCTCCGTCGGCCGTCCGTCCGTCCGTATCTCCGGAGGTGCAACTTTTCCCAAATAGTTCTTGGAACGTCACACAGTATATCGAACCCACATATTACATAGAGGTGCAACTTTTTCAGGTCCCACGTTCACCACGTCCAACGTTCTAACAGGTCCCAATTTTCCTGCCTTTTGGGTCATTGACCTGACCTGGAAGGTCAACCGATGACCTAGGACCTTAAAATTGGGTATCATCGGCTTCCTCTCGTCACGGGCAACACGCTGGTTTTTTCCGCGAAGCTCTAGCTTGATCAGGAGCGAAACGACAAGGGGTTATACCTTATACGTTCGCGGCTGGAAAAAAACACCTATACGGGCGAGGGTCAAGTTAAAAGTATTAATTTGGTTCAAAACGATGATGTAGATAAGTTAGTTATTTAAATCTAAATATCCTATGACGAGAGCGATGGACATTTTTGGTATGCAGTGTTATCCATTGAAAACAGGTCAAAGCTATTGAGTTTTTAATTTAGTGGTCGCCGCTTACTAATCATGCGGCATACACGCCGCACATAACCGCCAATGCCGCAACGCAGCTTAAATTTCGAAGTAAGCATTTAGTCTCACCCGCATTCATATGGTACCCGTCGTGTGTGTCCGAGAATTTCTCTAGTTTCTGAGGAATTTTTCGGGACCCATGCTCTGCTCATACTGCATCCGAATATACGCTGTGTGAACATTATCATTCATAATTGGTGACTCTAATGCATACTTGAAGGAAGTATTTGCAACATACTCTATGCTTCCCAGCACTTACCAGCAGAAAAAAAGCTTGACTTATGGGAATTGATGAATCTGTCTGGGATTGACCTTGCTGTTAAATTCACTCCATAGATGCTGCAATATCAAAAGCCTGAGAAAGCATACAAAATAGGTGACACTCACTTTAGCACTGTCTTCCAAAAAAAGAGAAAATCCATCCATTTATCAGAAAAACTGATTTAATCTATTTTCAATTCATGCCCACGTGTCAACCGAATCTCTGTGGACAACTATCTGCTACTTTCCTTGCTATTTTATGTTAGGCTCTTTTCAAGATATGGATATCGCTAGCAGCGTAAGCAGAAAACATGGTAAGCTTGAAATGTCATTGGGTACTTTTGCCACTTTTACGCATCATCATCATCAATCGAAAATGAGCGAACACTTCTTGATTGTCGCAGCTGCGGCAGGTAGCGATCCTGACCAACTGTATAATAAAACATATATGATCAAGTTTTTGTTTTGTTTTTCGTTCGAGTTTTCAGACTTCTTGATTGAGGTTTTATTTTTTATTTGTTTAATTTTGTTTTTCACCTTGATACTTACTTAAAAAACGTATTTATTTGATATACTGTTGTGTATACTACCTAGATGCCGCCACATAAACATAGCGCCGCCGCCATGATTGCAAGTTTTGTTGAGAAGGCGCTGGTTTGTTGTGATTTATTTTGACAAATTTATGGACATTTAAAGAAGCTTTCATCGCAAAATACTCTGTAGAGTTCCTCGTTACGTACAGTGTGTTTTGTGAGTATCCTTTTAAGGTTCTGTTCGTTAAAAAGCCGTCGGTGAAGGAAAAAAGACTGTTGGAATTGTCTCACTATCGCCATATATAAGTGTTAAACTTAATGTAGCCCTGTAGCCCATCATTGTTGAGTGGCTTCTTAGTTTTTGGAGTTTTAGTGCTAAGTAAGTTATTCTGATGACTACATTTTAACTTTTATTAACAAAC